ACAATATCTCAACAACGTCAAAGAGTAAGTTTTCATTCCCTAGTCATAGTTTATTTCAATCCTTCCACTCAAGTCACATTCCTTGTTTAATTCTCAGCTGGCAAAGTCTCGCCTGTGTTTTGCTGAACAAAACAAATTTCCAAAACACTACCTACTCATCCTTGAACAACCTTACGCTCACCGCAATGACAAGCTCAACGTAGATCTTCAAGTCCATACCATCAAGACCCTTGAATATCAATCCGCCAACGCCAACAAATTCATGCAAAGAGTTGACTCCATGATGAATCGTGCCGCCACCACGTCTGGCAAGGCTCCTCAGCGCCAACCTCGATTACTACCAATGGTCCCCGTAGCTTCCAAGTTCAAGACTCCTCCAAAACAACTGCCAATGGATTATTACAAAGCCAGGTGGTACAATGCTCTGACTCCTTCACAAAAGGAAGAGATTGTGAACCACAAGCAAGTGGCTTTGTTACCAAACACTGCCGAATCTCTGATTCCCGCTCCCAACACCCATCCAGCCGAAAAATTATCCGGCCGTGAGTTCAACAAGAAGTATCATTGTTGACTGACTACACCATACAAAATCAATGCACCGGCTGGCGACTCCGAAGACAAAGATCTCAACGGTCCTGGTTTTGCCAACAAACCTATATATCAAGAACACATGTCGGACTTGATCAATTTACAGGCTCCCAGCAAGGGAAGTGATGCAGAGGATAAAGCAGCGGTCAGTAATAAGTTCTTTGCTGCTGGGGACTATGGTGATTTGTATGAGGAGAGCGAGGATGGTGATTATACCCCGGATGAAGATGATGATGACGAGGAAGATGAAGAGTTTGATACAATCGGGGATCAGGTAAAGCAAGAGTAGGGGTTGGGATCTTTGGGCTCTTTCAATTGTTCTTCTGTTTCTAGTCTTGTGTTTGAAATTACGTTTTTTTCTTGATTGTGTATGTGTTACAAAAATGATCAAAACAATACAAAAAAATTAGTAAAAATGTTTCAGAAATACTTATAAAAATGTCTTTCCATTTCATCTTCTGACTGGTGTTACCAAATTGTGTGCTGTTTTGAAGAAGTTGCTGTTTTATTGACAAGTCGGCAATGAAGTTTTCATTTTTGAGTGGGCAATTGAGGTTGTATTTCAGCCACTGAGAGAAAGAGACACATTACAAGATAATCACGGGAGAACAAGTTGCATTGCAAGCGAAGGCACCAAGTAACAAAGAAAACAAATAACAAAAAAGAATAAAAGGAAGAAAAGGAAGAAACTAATGTTGAACCGGGCTGAGTATGATGCCACCTTCAGGCAAACCAAAAGTATGACTGGGCAAGACTCGATAAGCTGCAGTGGTGATCACGTCCATGGGATCCACAAAGAACATGAAATCTGGTTTGGTCCTCCCTATCACACTTCCCATCAAATGAAGGTAATAACAGAAATTCTGAGACGGGATATAGCACCATGCCAAATAGATCAGTAATTGGCTTGATAAGCTCAGCCTCCTGAACACTACCCTTCTCTTTTTCAAACCGATAAATTTGCCTAATGATCCCATACAATTTCCTTCCTCTCTCCTCCTTATAGCACACACAGTTATTAGGGGCTTTTGGTGAGATCCCAAATGTGCGTGTCTTCTTGTCGATGGCTAATCTAGCAATTGGCGTTGAAAACAGCTGGAATATCCTCGACCCCTCTGGGTGCAGGTGGTTATTGTAGTTTCTCAAATCGGCCTCCTTTATATTCAAATGAGCCAGGAGTTTCTCGTAAACATGGTCTGAAAGTCGAATTTGTGCCGTGTCCACTGCACATTCTGCTTTCTCTAGAATTGGTATTGAGTAGTCCTTCGTGAAGCGTTGAAGTGCACACATCTTGTTCATCATGGTTCCATCCATTTGAGCTAGGGTGCAAAAGACAGGGTAAGCACACTTCACAGTTGAAACTCATTGATTGGTCACTTGTACTTACATAATAAATGATTTGTTTTTGCTCCCTGCAACAGTCCATTAATACGTTTGCCAGCAAATTCTGAAACCCCCATCAATGGGCCCCAGTATTCCATCATGTCCGGTATGTTCTTTGCATAGTGATTATTTGGAAGGACTTTCAATCCATTGAAGATCTTTGCAGAAGTATCACCATAGATATTGTACATGTGGCGGAATTGACTGATCATGTCTTGGGAGACTCTCTTTGACAAGACAATTTGGGTGCGTCAAACCAAGCTGGCAATGTTGCGGACAATCGTATGGCAATCCAAAAGTGCAGGAAAGTCATCCACATCCAGGATTAAAAGTTCCAAGATGACTAAGGGGATAACAAACAAAAATAGTGACTTCCATTGGCTTGCCTTCAGTTTGCCGTGAGAGACGTCGCCAAGGTTTTTGGCAATTGGCTCCACGCCAGATGGCAATATCACATGCTTCAGCAGACGTGGAAGATCCAACAGTTGGCGTTCTGAAAATAGGCTCTCATCTGTCCCCTCCTTCAAATCAAAACTGTGTTGCCACGCCCCAACCATGATCACATCTTCATACTCATCCTCTTCAACAGTATCCTTGTCAATCCAATCACCTTTCTTGGGAGGTTTCTTTTCTTTTCCTTTGAAGCCCCATCAAAATTGGAAGTGGTGCTGGAGAACGCCTTCCAACCAGTTATGCATGATACCAAGGGGTACATGATCCACTGGATGTCAATAGTTTAATCGATTGAGAGTAGAATGTCGGATTCCAAATTCCTTGACTAGGTTGCTTTTTTCATTCAGTGTTTTTGCATCGTTCCATGCTGCTGCCCGCTTCAAGACTTCTTGCTTAGTGCGTTTTTTACCAAGGAAGAGTTAGACCCGTTCTTCTTGAGTACAATGGCACCAAGAACAAAACTGGTTTGCTGAGTGTGAAGCATAACCCGCGCACTTATAAACAGCCACTATATCGCCAATGAGAGCCAGAAGTTTCACTTTCACAAGTCGGCCTTCAGGAAACTGGTAAGTCTTGATGCTGATCCCGTTCTCTAGTACTAATAGCTCATCAATCAAAGGCTTCATGACATGGTCAATCGTGGTCATGTCCGGTTCGTGAGGTCCAGGGATGATCCCGGCAATGCAAGTGTTGGGAACAAGATTTTGTGAGGATGGTGGCAAGTTTGGAGTGGTGAGAGCCATAAGACCTAAAGATTCCTTCTTTCCTGCAATCTTGTTGCCACGTGGGTTGAACCAGTCAATGTAAAGATTCATGACCAGGTTAAGATCGTTTGAATGAGTAGTATTTGTATCATAACCCAAAGATTTCCACGCTCGCAATTGCTGTATATTGAAAATGTTGGGATCAGTGATGTTGTCAATTTCACTTGTCCATTCTTTGATGCTAGCTTCACTGTCGGATTTGCTGAGAAACCATGTGAGCCATGATACAACTGATTGTGTAACATATACACACTTTGGGATATTGGGGTTCACAAGATCTTTTGGGTTGATTCTATAAGGCTGCCTCTGATACAATCCCCTGTCTTTCATTGGCCGGAAGTTGTTGCCTTTTTTGAAAAGTGATTCGCCACATGGATCTGATGTCCTAGTTGCTTTGTAGGTGCAATACATTGGAGCCACGCGAGCGGTATACATCATATAGCAGGTTTGGCAGCAGATTTGTTTGGTGAGTTCCGGCACGATGTTTAGCTGGTTCATTGAAGTCCTGATGTCCTTCGGGATGAGTTTTGAGACACTAATGTCAGGAGGAAGACGTCCAGCCAATTCGACGATTCGGACCAAAAAGTCTTGTGCTGTCCGGCAGTTGTCTCGACTAAGCCTACATTTTAAGTGAAGCCAGGTCAAGAAGACAGATGCATGACCTAAAACAAACATTTTAGTAACGGCGTGAGGGTTTGAAGCAGTCAATGCTTACCTTTGATGACAAGACTAGGGTTACCATCTTCACTCTTGCTGTCGCTGATGCCAGCTGAGCTCTTAACAGTGAGTGCTGACAAAGATGCTTGTGCTGCCTCGAAGTTGGTGGCTAGGTGCTTTTGTCGGGTACGGTTTGCCACATATGTTCCATTTTGTCTTTGTGATTCATCATTGATGTATGTGTTGAGAATACACTGAGAACACTTGCATATGACGAGGTTGGTGGGTGGCATAGGAAGTGATGAGTAAAAAGTAAGTGGACGGCGAATTTAGCAAACTTAACTAAGTCCCTCGCTGGCTCTGACCCAAAGGGCCGAGCTCCAGCGAGGGACTTACCGCTTAAAACACTTTTCTCGCGTGAGAAGTGAGCTGTATCAGCTCCATATTCTCTACATCCGTGTAGCTTTTTTGTCCCTCGATGAACATGCCTCGGGACAAAATAAAAATATCAAGGCCAGGGGCCTCTACATATGTTCCAACTCCAACATCCTCTGTATTGATTTTGAGTCGGAAGCTATCCCGTAATCCTTATCACGTGTTTTCCACTTGTTTCTCCTTTCGGAATCTGTATATGCCTCCTGTATATGCTGCGCGTTTGGCTTGTAGGTTTTGGCACGCTTAGCTAAAATCCACCTCGTCGGAAAGACCTTTTGGGCGAAACTGCAGTTCCCGACGCGTCCCCTCCAGGTATCAATCGTCTTCCACCCCAAGTTTTGGAATCAGTCTTATCATGTTGGAGGCTACCAATAATATATTTTAATATATTTGAATATATTTGAATATATTTGATTGTTAGTAGCTATATCAGCATGTGTTCAATGACCCGGATTGGAACAATTAGAGCCAACACCTCCGATGTGTTGAATGAAAATGTAACACATTGAAAGAACAGCCCAGGGGATCGGACTGGGCTGGTATTCATGAAGCATATTAGCACTTATAGGTTGGGTACATTCGTATCCAAATGGTCCGCCATAGGATACACATTCCCTTGATACTTCAACGCAAAAGCTCCTCATAGATTACTTATAGAATATCTACAACTTCCTCGTCTTCACATATTCTTCACTTGAATACTTGATTATACGTGTGACCATGAACGCCGAAGTTATTCCAACGGGGAACTCTGATGTGGTTGGCTCTCAGATTGTCAAGATCTGCGACCACATCCACGATCTCGGCCTGACGCCCAAGAAATTTATTCTTGGCTTTCTTACATCTAATAATCCTGAACTGGTTTATCGCCGCAGACTCATCAGAGCGGGTGTGGGGTGGTCCGGTACGGTGGATATACTGGAAGGATTTCGCAACGTGCTCATGGGTAGTCCAGAGGGTGCAGCGCGCTGGAAAGAATTCATTTTAGATGAGGTTGGTCCCGTCCAGGACATATACCGTGTTGTGATGTGCCGGTTGAATATTACTTAACCAATCTCCAGGCTTCCTCCTTTGTCAATATCAAAAACATACGAGCAGGCCCCTACCCACAAGGCGCGTATGTCAGCTGAAGCTCGATCAATGAGGACTTTTTTAGTCAAGAGGCCGAGGAACATCGCGAGCGTCAAGTCAAGAACTCCATGAGCTTTTTGCATGAGCTGATTCAAAGGAAGCTGCGTGTATCTTTGGACATTCCCGATGTCGCCGCCGAAGATTCGGAACCTGTGGATGATGATGATTCCCAGGACTTTCCCTCGGAAGAACCCCCTTCAAATGCCACCTTGTCAGAATCACAACTCCTAGAGAACCCTTCCGATGAAGCGGCAATTCTATCACTTGATAACCTTGTGTACATTTTGAAGCGGGCTGCTGGCTTAAGAGAGCATAAGCTGAGAACAGTAAGCTACCAGGTTACTACATCCTTTTCGGATTTTCGAATACAAACATGGAACTAACTATGTCTATATTTGGTTCTAGCTTCCGCTGGCCATTTGTTTGATGTTGGCGTTTGCCTGCAACAGAAGAAGCAATGCAATGCAGGTGTTGAACGGAGTGACCTTTGTTGCCGGCGGGGTCAGCTGCCGCGTAAACGAGTTTCTACACTCTCTGTCCCTCACCGTCTCGCGAGATACCTCACTGAGGTTGATGGAGCGATTGCGCATCTTACAATCAAATTGGATGATGAAGTTGTTCAAACAACAGAACATTGTCCGGCCATTTCTCTGTTTTGACAACATAGATATCCATCTACGCATACACAACCTTCGAATGGATACCGCCAGTCAGACTTTTCACGGGACGTGGGGTTTTATACATGTTCCTCCGCCTGCTGTGATGGAAGGGGTTGAAGCCAAGGATGTCAATTTTGTAGCTTTTGAAAAGGCCATGGCCGCGGCTGAAGGTAAACCAGTCGATGTTCAAATGTTCATTCCCACAGCCCACGAACTGTTGCATTGGAAGAGTGTCATCCTGGCTCAGATAGCCAATGTTTTGAAGACTTATGTCGAACATCTTCTGGGAAGTGAGACTGTCAAGCTGGCCGATTTACAAACTCACCCTCCACCGATAGAGCCAATTGAAATGTATAAACCCAACATTTTTTTCTTACGCTTGATGGATGCTCCGGACTCTTCGGCGGATGGTGTTTCTCGCGTGATCAATCAGGTTCTTGCTCAGATAGGTGTGGATGTTGAAACCTTCTCGGAAGGCCTCCTGGTTGCTGAGGGAGATGTCGGCTCTAATGAGCTGGTTGAAAGTTTGCGTCGCAAGCGCTTTCCTTCTGGGAATCCCTCTGACTCCCTGCGATGGCTACTCACCGTCTTTGGGCCTGCCCATGCCACATGGAACATGTGCAAGGCATTGAACTCGGTCCATTGGGGTGATTCAACAAATGGGCAGGATACGGGCGCATGGCGAACGGCAGAGTCTTTGGGCGGATCTTCAAAGCATCCGTCACAACAGGATTTCAATACCTTGATGATGATGACTAAAAAGATGCATGATGCATCTCTCCTATTCACTTTAACGTGAGTTTTACATTTCCTTAATCCACCTTTAATCTATCACGATTTCCTTCATCAATACCTAACTGAGCTCTTGGAACCCTTATAGTGAAGTACTAGGTTCTATTGAACCAATTGACTTTTCGGATAGCAAATCCTGTGCTTCTCTCCTCGAAAAAGTCTGGAAGTCATTTTTTTCGCCCTGCGCTTTCAAATCAGCCAACGATAGCAAAGATACCAATCGCGTCAACCTACTGTACCGACTACGAGACTTTGCGACGATCATGGAATAGGTCGTCTTCTACTCATGTGGAAGCGGTGGTCCATAATGTTGCAAGGTATAAGTGGATTGTCACATTACTCACGTCATCTTCCTTGCATGGTCCTTTTGCTTGAACAGGATCTTCCAACCAAACATGCCCGGGTTGTGAAGCACATGCTGTTGATCCCCTCCAACAACCGAGCTAACCACTGGTTATCTGTGGATGAATTTTTAGAAATAAATAATTGCTGGCTCAAACATGTTTATAACAGTACAGTGAGTATGTAATTCTCTGTGATTATTCTGTGATAATCCGCTCATGATAATTTTTTTCCAGGGCAACGGAACAGATATACAAAGATTAATGTATCGATTCTCTGCCAATATTCCGCTGGTGAGTTAAGTCGTATTATGATAGAGACATTTTAGTATTAAATCACTTAAGTTTGTTTTCATGAAACTATCAGCTTAGAGCTCTTATTCAACAATTGAAATTGCGTTCGGGTAACAATCTTTCGTTTCAAAACAACCCAAACAAAGTCACCACCGAGTCAATGAAGAACTTTTTACAATATGCCCGAAACAAGCTCTCTCCAGCTTCCACTGTCCAGAAACCATCACCTGTTGCTAATGTTTTTGCAGAGGGTGTTAAAGTCATGATCCGTACCACTAGGACTGAAAGAGCCTTGGGTCTAGGGTCTCAATTCCAATGGGGAGGTCCGAACCAGGTCCTGGCGGCAACGCAGCAACAGTTACCAGACTGTACCGGTACCGCGCCGTACCGTGGCTGTGCAACGGAGTACCGTATTAGTAGTACCGTACCCTCTGCTTATGGACGGTACTGGGATGGCCGTGGAAGCCATTTTTTCAAAAGGTACGGTACCAGGTACAGTACCGCCAATTCGGGTACGGTACCAGCTACTGACCCGGGGAAGTACCTGTCTATAAGGTACTATACCGTACCGTACCTTCTTGTTGGTGGGGTACTTAGCAAGGGGTAAACCCCTGGCAACCCTCGCCCCACTTTCCCTATCACACCACCTGTGATCGAGAGATTCAGCAACGCAACAGCCGTAGCCATCCAAAGATGTTTACGGATCTGTTGGGTGAGAACCGTAAGTCCTTCGTATTTCATCTATTTCTGTCAAATATAACCCCTTGCGTCAATCTTTCCACTAATACAATGCTCGAATATGCTCTAGAAACCGCGGTCATGCCACTACCATTGCAGTGGGTTGACAACTGGCTGAGTGGGGGCAATGGTTATAAGAGCAGACCCTTGCTTCCGTTTTTTCGGTGCGTCCCTCCACCTAATTTTCTTATTTTCCTTTTCATTAAAACATCCTCCCATCCACCATTGGTATTGACCATTCTTTTAATCCTATTTGACTCGACACATTAGTTTTTTTTGCTCAATCTGTTCAACGTCTATATACAAAACCATGTCATCCTCCTCTGTCGCAGCTAGTCCCCAACCAAATCGACGCAGTAGTCGACTGTCACCGGCAAGAAAACAGTCTAAGATGATCATTTTACCTGCCGACTCTCGCCGTTCATTTCGCCGCTCCGCCAAGGACTACGAATCTGATGCATCCCAGCCAGTTACCGGCAAGAGACAGAGAACATTACCTACCTCTGATGACGAAGTCGAAGAAATTAGCAGCAAAAAGAAAAGGAAGGATCCCTCAGATGCGGACCGGGACGAAGAAGAATCTTTAGCTTGCACCGAATCCACCAGTAAAAAACCACCAAAAAAATCTAGATCTAGCACAAAACGAAAAAAATCCAATCAACCAGCCAAACCTTCTGCCCTCAACCCTTCAAGTGAACAAGGTGTTAAGCTTAAAATCAATTTAATACAAGACTCGGATGAAGAAAATAGCAAGGTTATGAAGAAGGACGTCGACAATCAAGAGGACGATGATCGGTTTGATCCCATCAGGGATTATTATGAGGCGCCGAAGCCAGGCAAGAAAGATGTAAGTCTAGTTTTATGAGGTCTTTTTATCTGATCAATTACTTACAACTGCTTTCCGTCTGTTTCCTCTTTATCTCCTTTTCTCCGTTCCCCTTTTCTGTTTACTTCATATCTTCTTTCATCCTTGTCACAGCCACCAGGCCAGCCGGGAACCTATCCCTGCAAACACTGCGGCAAAGATGTCCGTAGTGCAGGAGGCACCTCCGGCCTTTGGGCCCATCGAGACGGATCTAAGCAGCCCATCAAGTCTGGCAAGTCTGGATGCGATAAGAGGGATGCAGCCATCACAGCTGGATGCATCCTTCCCCTGACCATCTTCGAACAACGCCAGCTCGACACGACCCCTCCAGTACCCGGTCAAACCTCTATCACAGCTTATGCACAAACCGTTCCCAAGTTCGACAACAAGATCCTCAACCAGATGTTAGGCATGTGGGTCATTCGGACCGCTCAACCGTGGCAACGAGTCGAAGACCCATATTTACGGGCTACTTTTAGGTATGCAAACCCACATGCTCACTTATTGGGTCGCATGTGGGTTGCTAAGTTCGCCCACGAGGCCTACATGGAAATGCGTTCATCGGTTTTTAAAGAACTCAAGGTCAGTAACGACTTTGATTTATAAGTTAACTTTTTCTATCAACTGACTTCTTTTGTATCATTCTTTTACAGTCCCTCACAAGCAAATTTGGACTTATCCATGATGCGTGGACCACCAAGGGTAATCGATATGGATTTCTTGGGGCCACAGTGACATTTATCAACAAAGATTGGAGATTCGTTACGAGACACTTGTGCCTCAAGCTTATTGCTTGGCACCACAAGGGGGATTGGCTTGCTGAGCCTTTAATTAATATGCTCACCAAGCATGGTATACATGGAAAGATAAGTTTTTTCAAAAGTCCTTCATTTATTTTCAAGTTTTCCATCTTTTCATTCAATTCTTTCCGCACGTTCTAATTTTTTCATGTCTTTCTTCTCTCTTATCCACATGTTGGCGCAGACTCATGACTCTGGCAGCAACAACAACACCCTCGCCGAAGCAATGCAAATCCGGCTCAGCAAGTACAGTGAAGATCGCAACGAGCGTTTTGAATGGAACCACGAGAAGCACCGAGTGCGTTGTGTCTGTCACAAGTTCGCTTTGATTGTGAACGCTGGACTACAAGCTCTCGGTATCCAAGCACCACCACCTCCTCTTGTCAAGTCAACTATCCTAGGTGAATTTCCCATTCCAACCAACAATCTTCAATCGATCCCCGAGGAAGATGAAACCAAGGATGAAGGAGCAACCTCCAAAGAAGAAGTCGCCGCCTTTGAGTTGGACGACACTACCAGCATAAAGTAATTTTCCCAAGTAAAAAATGAATACATTTAGAGCAAAAAATGATTGAAAATGCAGTTTATCAGCATTAAATCAGCATTAAATCAGCATTATTCGGCATTAAATGAGCATTTTTAATTAAAAATGCATTAAATGTAATCATTTTTTCCTTGGGAAAAATACCTTTTCCTGGGAGTGCGAGGAGGTGGATGACGCCGATATCCACACATCACAAGCTAAAGACACACCGGATTGGTATGATGTCGTTGATGGCCCTCATCCCGAACCAGACATAACACTCGAAGATGTTCTCCAAACCGATCGTCATGAAGCTAACGCAGTTCACCAGCTGATGACAAAAGTGAGTCATTTCAATTTTCATCATGCTGATATTCCTAGTGTCTCTTGCTAATATATATATCTATATTGTTTTGTTAGCTGGATGTCATAGGAAGGAAGATCGGTGGCTCGGCTGTCATGTGCAGCCTTTTTGATGCATTAAGCCTTGCCATGCTTAAGCAAAAGCTGCCACGACCAATTCCAGGTTACGGCATTCGGTGGAATATCAAGCTGCAATGTTGGCGTCGGCTTTACAATGCACGGGAGGTATGGAAAAGTCAACTATCTTTTGCTGATCATTGATTTACTAAATACCCGATACATTCATTACGAACTAGCTGATCGATCAAATCCTCAAAGAGGACCAGATGGACCCACCCCGTAAATCTAATCAACAGACTCGACCTGGCGAGACACCTTTACCTCCGGATGTTCATCGTCCCCGAGGGATCTTCAACAAAGTAATGATTTCTCCGGATGAATGGCGCCAAGTCCAAGAAGTCATGGAGCTCCTTGAGGTATGTATCTCTCTCATTCAATTTATGAATCTGAAAACAATAAACTTATTATGGTTTACATCTAAACTACCTCAGGATTACAAGACTTTGACCAAGTTCTTTGAACAAGATGGTCCCACAGGCTCGCTAGTTATTCGTGAATATGTGAAGTTGAAGAAGAAAATCCAGAAAAAGATCGACGGAACAAAATCACGGGCCGATCCTCTGTTCCCCATGTTTCACGCCATGCTAGTGCGTGTTGAAGCTTACCTCAAAGAGGTGCTTGGCTCCGAAACACTCATCCTGGCCACCATATTGCATCCGGGTCTTCGATTGGATTATTTCGAATTTGCCTTCGGAGCCTCATCAAATGAGCATACTTCAGCGAAATTATTGATTGATTCAACTTATGCCAAGAAGAAGGAAGAAGTCGATGCAAACGGACCACCGACTTCCGGCTTATCAAAAACTCCGGGACATGGCAAGAAGTTAGAAGCCGAAGACGAGGAATTCCGTCGCCACAAGGAGCTGCAGCGAAGAAACACAGCAAATGAGCTACGGTCTTACTTGGAAATGGCTGAAGAGCCAGCACCTGAGGTCGTGGAAAATCCTCATTTGGCCTTGGCTTGGTGGCAAGTGAGTGACGAATTCAATCCTCCAATCCTAGACTCGTAACTGATATTGCTTATTTTCTTATTTTTCAGGTCAACGAAGGGAAGTATCCCATTCTTGCTCAACTTGCACGGGACTACTTGGCTGTTAGTGCTACAGCTTGCCCTGTCGAGCGCACGTTTTCATCTGCCGCCGATGTTTGCACCGCCGACCGCAGCTCTTCTTGCCGCGTCCCATCGAACGGCTTGTTTCAGGACGTATGTGGTCAGTTGAAGGGGTCAAGATGAAAGGTAAATTCAAGGATGCGACGGCAGCCATGAATCAATGCCTCTTTAATGATGCAAGGGCACGTAAGCGGCGGGGTTGACGTTACTGTGCTGCTTTTTTGTTTCTTTCTTTATTTCTTTCTGAATGTTTTCCAACCAATCTGTATGTTTGCATTTTGTCTAGTTGACAAAAAGCTTCAAATTTGTTTCTTGCTTTGATCAATGGCATTCCATTGTTCAAATGGTTTTTTGATACGGCAAAACATAAGGTACTAGCTACCGTACTTATACGGTACTACGTAGTACCTCAGAAGGTGCGGTACAGTATTGTACCGGAAATTTTTGGGCGGTACTGGTACAGTACCGTACCTGGCCTGCCTTTGGGGGACGGTACTGGAGCTTGGGCCATAAGGCGATCTCAGCCACTAGTCACGGTACGGGTGACAGTACCTAACGAGCGGTGCGGTACTAGGTACTGCCCTTTTTGGTACCGGAAAGTTAGATACAATACCAGTACCGCAGGTACGGTATCAGTACCGTAACTGTTGCTGCGTTGCTGGCGGGTGAGGAGGAAGATGGTGACGAACGGGATGAGGAGGAAGATGAACATTCTGATGCATGACAATCTTGTCAAGGAAAGACCTACCACCTGCAGAGTTGATGTTGTCCTAAAGCCCAATACACATGTATTCATGATTAGAATCAACATGATTAGAATGAACATACTGGGTAGCAAAAGAAAATTCACTCACATCCTTTGGATTTTTCGCCCGTTTTGTAACCCTTGAGTCTTTTCCGTCATTTGATTGGTCAACTATAGCCCGTTTGTTGAGGCTGGCCTTCTGCTTCATAGCCCCACTAAGATCCTTATCATGCTTCTTCTGTGCTTTCATGGCGGCCTTTCGAAGTTTGACAGCCTCATCGTTAAGCTTCTTTGCGGCCTTTTTTGCTTCAGCTTGTCCTTTATCTAATTTCGCACCTTCCACTGATTGGGGAACCCACCGTTTGAGTTTAGAGCGGCGATTAGGGTGATCTTTCACAGTTGTACTACCATTTTGAGCGGTGTGACCTGATCTTTCAATTGTGAGATGTGACTTGCTAGTTTTGAGTAACACTTGGAACTGATGTTTGATGACTTCGGAACCCAAAATTTGCTCAAGGAACCCGGGTTCCTCTAAATGATCAATGTTTTTGATTATCTCCCAAGCCAGAAAAGACGGAAACAGATCATCGTGTCTTATATCACAAGGTTCGGTGAAAGTCCCATTAAACAAATCTAAAAAGGACTTTTGGAGATCATCAAACGATTAGACAGACAAAGTACAAGCAAGGATGGGATCGTTCTTTTTAACTCGTTTAGGGACCCAACCATTGGAGCCTCCTTGAACGTTCATACCGGTTGGAGCTTCGTCTAGCATCGTAGTCAGCTCGGCAAGGTCCATTGCTAGCACCTTGTCGATGGCTTCGTTTGTGATGTGAGGTTGAAGAAGCCAAATCGCCTCGGCCTCCTCTGGCGAGCAGTTTGAGCAGTCGCACTGAGGCATCCCCTCAGCCAGCTGTCGAGCTGACTCGCCCTGGTACTCGGGTTCGGTTGTATCCAATGGGATCCATCCATGCCTAGGCGGTAGGCAGAATAAGTTAAAATGGTTACATTGTGAACGAGTAATCCGAAATGAACCAGTGAGAGAGACACAGTATGTTGCTTACTTCAGATCGACTGCTAGCGCAACCCAAAGGCATACGGGTGTGATGGAGATTGCATCCATGCGATCATCATCGCACATGACTCGCCTGTTGTGAAATTGTGACACACAATTTTTTCCTCGAGTCCGGTGAGACTCAACCAGTAAGATGCCCAGACCTCGCCGGCGGTCACGACCAGCGCGACCAAACATTTGGATCAAATTCCCTGGTTCCTGACGGCCAACGACTACCACCCGGCGCACGCGATGCCAATTCTGGCCTAGCCCCAACGCGAGCGTACAGCAGATGACTGCTAGGCTTCCTTCCAGGAAGTCTTTGACCGTTTGAACCTTGTCAAACACACCAGTTGAGGCATGATAACGACAAGCAAAAGAATTTAAGCCATCAGAGGCAAGGGCTAACCGACCACGGGCCTGGCAAATGATTCGGAGATAATCGAGTGTTGCATTTTGAGTTCCGGCGTATATCAGAGTGGGCGGGATTGAGGCCGTGGGCACAAGTGATTCATTTGCCATGATTCCTCGAAGAGAGGGATTAAGTGGACGCTTGAAACTCCGTCGGATGAGTCGGAGTTCCGGTCGTACCAGTTCCCCATAATAAAATTGCACATCCTTGTATTTGTACTTCAGATTTTGCATAATTGCTTCAACTTGCTGTGGCGGACAGGTGGCAGTCATCAAGAGGAGAGGAACATCGTCCGTGGCCAAGAATCGCCGCGCGAGTTTTCCATAGTGTGGTCGAAAAGCCCCTTTGTCCTGGACCTTTAGATGACTGACTGTGGTCTTGGCCTTGCCGGATTCAACCAAGACCCATGAATAGATCATGTGGGCTTCATCTACCACTTTCAGGATCAGCTTCCTTTGGAAATGTGGATTATGCCACAGCTGCTCAAAGAGATGGTTGGTGAGCAGTATCTCGGGACTCTGAGAAAGCAGAAACGTCAGTTACATATTGGGAAACCAATAAATTCATCATACTGACCACGTAAACATAGTGGTATTTACCGTTCAAGATATCACTTATAGCTTCCTTTGAAATAGAATTGGATGTCAAGTTAATCGCGGATTCGTTGACACTGGTCTTTTCAAGCACCTGGAATTGAGCAACATTAAAGTATCAACTCATGATGCTTTAATTAGAGCTATAACATCAATTTAACCAACCTGGTCATCACCAAGGGCTTCTAAAGGGCAGATTATAAGTACTATGCCATCACTATACAAATTGCGATAGAGTTCGGGTATGCGGCTCTTTCCATAACCCGTGCCTGCAATAAGGAAAGTAGTCTTCTTATTCAAGAGGCTAACTACCACATCAATCTGTAGTGGGCGCGCAGGGCACTTGTATTTCTCTTGGAAGACTCTACGAGCCTCTTCGCTTTGTTCCGTTGGACTAGCGGTGCCGATATGGCCAATAGGCTTTGGGAGGACGGCATTATGTGACAATTTCGCGGTTGGTGAGCCCTCGATGGCTGGAAGGACCTTGGTCTGGCTTCGAGTGCGATAAAGCATTTCAGTATCCTCGGGCTGATTACTGATGGACGACAGAAATTGTTTATGACGATGATGCTGATGAATAACCGAAGTGGTACTTTGTGAGATCGTGTGAAGTTGTGATGTGGTACTTCGCAATTTGTTTGGACGCGTCAAACTGTGGTTTGGCTTTGTGGTTCGGTGTTTTGTTTCTCGAATTGCCTCTTTCTGCCGCCGCAGCGGGTTAAGATGGCTTAAATACATGAAATCCAGTCAACCTCTGGCATATTGAGTGTCAGACGAGATACGGAGGATGTTGGAGTTGGAACATATGTAGAGGCCCCTGGCCTTGATATTTTTATTTTGTCCCGAGGCATGTTCATTGAGGGACAAAAAAGCTACACGGATGTAGAGAATATGGAGCTGATACAGCTCACTTCCCACGCGAGAAAAGTGTTTTAAGCGGTAAGTCCCTCGCTGGAGCTCGGCCCTTTGGGTCAGAGCCAGCGAGGGACTTAGTTAAGTTTGCAAATTTAGAAGGCTTGAGAATGGGTGGTAGGCGTCAAGGCTCACTTCAATAGGGGTTGGGCAAAAAAGCAACCAACCGGTTTTGCGCCCTTGAGAAGTGAGTCGAAAAGAGCCGAAGATGGCCGAAATCAATTGTGTGAAGGTTTCACAGGTCTGCCGAGGTCTGCCGCTCTGCCAGGGACCCGAAGAGTCCCAAAGTCAGTCTTCGGCTCTGATTTTCCTCCTCCAGCCCCCACCGATTGCTCAGCAAAATCCACACCAGGTGGTACTCGGGTAGACTGTTGCACCTTTCACAGAAGAGACCAGAGACCTGTAAAAGGTGAACAGAGCGTTTGTGTGGCTTGTAGCGGCACAAATGGCTTAGCCCTGTAGGACTTTTGAATGGCGACAGCTTTGGAGTTGTGAAGAAACACTTCATACCGGTATATTTTTTTGCGACACAAAAAGACAGACAAAAATGTTTGTCAGTTTTGAGTGGCTTTCATATTGCTTTTGAGCAATCTCGAAAGCATTCCGAAATTTTTGAACTGCGACTGAATTGTGTTCGCAAACCGGTTGGTCGCTTTTTTGCCCAACCCCTAATGACCCATCGGCTTGCGTCAAGCCCGTGTGTGAATTTTGGCTGGCGTCAGCTCGGGGCCAACCCGCGGCTCACGTCACTTTGGCGCGAGCCGGGCTCACGCCAATGTTGTTCCCGCAGTGGTAGCGGTAGAGCAACACACCTTGCCCATTACAAGGTTGAGATCGTGTGGTCGAGTCCCTGGCTCCCTTTTTATTCACACTTTGCACATTTTTTTTGTCAAGATCGCTAACAATTTTAATGGAGACAAGAAAACATTGCAACACCAAGTGTTACTATGCTAACTGTTTTGTTTCATCACATCAGACAAACATCAAAAGAAACGTACAAAAAGAATGGCAAAAATACCAAAATTCAGGCTCAAACCAAAGACCAGAGATTAGCCAGATAACCTCAAAGAGTTACACACCGCACTGTCACCAACTGCACCATGATGATTTTGAGACCAAGATGTTTTTTGTTGATTGATCAAGAATTATTTCTATGTATGTATTTTGTTCGAAGAACGTCTCTCTCATTCTTACGGTTACAAGACTTGAAAGGACAATAGTGGTGCCAGGCTGAAGTACGTGAGGCATCTTTGACGACCGGGGGAAAAGGTTTCAGTGTCATCGGGCAAGCGTTGGTCTAGTCGAGGTCGTTGAACAGGCTTTTGGATTTAGATGATTTACACCTTGCTCTCCCAAAAGATAAGGCTGTCGAGTCTTTGGTTTTGTATTTCTTGATGTTCATCGAGGCTTGGTAGTGAAGGGGTTGACTTGATGAGGTGGAATGCTCGCTCCGGTCGTCGACCTCAAGTCTCAAGACACGTAACAAGACTCCGTGTGTCTAGTCAAGTTTGAGTGATCTTGACCAACCTTGATGGTACATAGGAGGGTTAAGGCTCAAAATCATGCTTCATGTGGTCGATAAAATCCCTATGATTGTTCAGATAAATCAAAATCCTTCATCAAAATCCTTCATTCCAAATCACTCTTAGCTTACCTTAGCCTCCACCATTGTGACACCCATCATCTGTATCCAGTGTTCATAGCTCAAAAATAAGTCGAATCCTCATCATATCCGGTCGTCGCCTATTCATAAATTGTATTATAACCACAGGAGTTTGTTTTCCTTTAGCTGCACCTACATTCTGATTGCAAAGACTAAGTCAGATTCTCACGTAGGTTCTTTTCCGTTTGTGCAGTCCAAGACCCCTGATCATTTTGTTTCTTATAATGCTGATCCTCTACTGGGCTCGCTACAGAATGAAATCAATAACATGTATATTCTTTGTGGCGGCTCACCTCTTGCTTTATGGACATGTGTCGGCAAGACGCCAACAAACCCAAGGTTTCTTGTGCGACTTACCCGCGACCTTCAAACCTGCAAAGGGCGTCTGTGCACCCCCTGGTCTAGCACCATCAGACAAGGACCCCTTGATAAAGTTCATCTTGGATCGTCAGTATCATCCTGTTTCATCCTTTCTTTCTGACCAGGAAGACAAGCAGTCCTACTTTCATGGCACTCTGACAGCACTTACTGACTTTAAATCTCAAAATCTTTAGCTATCGATGCAACCCTATTGTCTGACGACAAAGGCGGCTTCAGTTTGTGGTCCTGTGATGACCACCAGGACAAAGTGTCATATTGCTGTACCGTTTCCGCCGCATCACCAGCTGTAAGTATCTTTTTCCTCCCAAGCTGGTCACATTTTTTCAATGGCTGAAAAACATCAACTTTCATATTCTTTGTAATCCTTTGTTTTCATCAAGGATAAGAATAAAAAGTTAGCTGCGGCCTGTCGCAGGCAGAACTCATCTGCCTGATTTTTGAGATGTGTTTTGTTCTCTTGAAGAGTTATCGTGATGAATGCGTCCGATACTCGCATTTCTTGAGACCGTCGTAACCTTGTATCATGTACAAAAATGCATTTTGAATAGATAATAGGACAATTACATAGTTTTCAATGCCCACCGGACCCTTTGATCAGAACACAAAGTTGATCAAAAATCAGTCTACTGGACTTGGACTGGGAGAAGACAGTTGACTGCAAAGTCGAGAGCCAGGATTACTAGCTTGCGGTCGGGACAGCAAAACTCCTATGCTACTGGAGAGATTGCATGAGTCACAGGACAAAGGTTGAATGCGTCTTCCGAGTAGTCCAATCAACTTCCAAGGCTTCCATGATTGATATATCTTATCACGGGTACATAAGCAGTTTCCCATCACGATAGTACGAGGTTCTTGGGTATCCAAAATTGAGTATATTCCTCATGGCCAGTTTTGGAAAGCATGTTAAGCCTCCGTGTCATCCCTCATCATGGGTTGGTGAGCTGTTCTCTTTTTGGTTGTCAACCAACGAGTGGGAGATTGTGCAATTGCGTGTGGTAGTTTTGCTAAAGTCGAGCTGGAAAGCAATCGGATGATGGTCAAATATGAACCGATAATTTTTACTCGATGCTCCAAATGCTACCGCCAGGAAATCACACGTCTCTCAGCCTCTCTGTTGGCGACATTTTACATGGATTGATTTCTTCAGACGTACATACATGGCGGTGCTATGGATTTTGGAGTGTCTTTGAAATATTTGGCATACTATCTTCAAAACCCATAGGGTGGATCTGATATGCACTTATTGTATGACAGATCCAAGCAGACATCACTTGAGTTTTTCATCTTTTTGAATCATGAGTCTGAAACATTAATTTCAGGGATCAACGTGGTTGCCCGATTGGTACTTGGAAAAGCAAGAGCTGGCCATTGTGTATTTGTGAATCGAAACTCTTTGAATTTTGATGATTGTACATACACTTGACCTTTTATATAGCACACACGTCTTCAACTGGACTTGTTATAACCGGAGGCTGACAATAGAGCACTTAGTGACATTACCCATTCCCAGCTAGTACACCCGATCAGTGAAAACTCAAGTCAAGAAATGATCTAGCCAGATATCGACATACACTGCCGCCAACCCAAGTTTGTTCATCTCAGAAAGCCAGACTCTGGACTGCTGAAGTACCCTCAACGATTTACCAAACACAGATTGATTACAAACTCAGCAGGCATACAGATTGATGACAGTCCAGTATGTAGCTTCACAACAATGTGTGAAAAGACGGGACCTGTGGGTAGCCGACTCGATATCATAGACTTTCTAACGAGGACCAACATTATATACCGCCATCAATCAGCTCCACATACGGTTCCTGCTGCAATTGATTCAAACTCTGATGGCAGTTTCCAACCTGGCTGGGCAGTCAGGACTTCCACTCCAGTTGTTGTTATGAGTAGCGTTTCCTCAAATTGAGCAGACCGTTTCCCATCCCGTGTTACAGCTGTCCAACTTTGATGTTGAAACCAAATTGAGCAAAAGATTTGTGTAGCAGGCGAGAAGATTATCTGGCACTTACTTATCTGGCCAATGATCCTCATCTGATACACCTTCATTGATCATGGGCTCAATTGTGAAAACCTGTACAGCGCCGCATGGATTGACAATCAGAATCGTAGTCTCACTTAACAGTCAACCGAGGCCGGAGCCACTTACCATCCCGGGCTTCATCTCACCAATTGTCTTCGAGCGAGCGTAATGAGGTATATTTGGAGCACAATGGAAAAGTCTACAGAAAGGTGCATATGTGCCATGTCAATATCGACGTCACAACGTTGGTGTGGTCTTGACAAGTTACTCAACTGGTTGATCCCATGTCCACAGTAACGTTTATTGACGTTAAGTCCGACCTTTTTGGCCATCGGTTCAATCACATTTCCGATCTCTCTAAAAAGTGTACCGGGTTTACAAATCGCAATTGCTCGATCTAAACATCTTCTAGTATTTTTGATAAGAGCTTCTGCCTCAGGAGAAATCTTTCCTACTGGATATGTAGCGTTGAGATCGCCGTGGAAGCTATTGATCGCAATGATATTCGATCATACCAAGAATAAGCGACAAATAAAGTTGGTTTGACCTCGAGATAACAATAACGTGACGAGTAACGGACCCTTGATGATACAGTGTTACGTCCAAGTTCACGATATCGCCTTCTTGGAGAGGGCGAGCGTCAGGAATTCCTACAGAAGAGATGCTACGTGAGCATTTTGACCAAATCTGAGTGCTGAAATTCTCGCTATGATAACTTACCGTGACATATGACTTCATTCACACTGGTACACACACTACGTGGGAACATCACATCTAGGATTTAGATAACGTTTTTGAGGTCAATTCTCCAGGGATTTCAAAAAAGGAGCAAGAAAGAGATCTCAAACAAACATCCAAGTGGAGAAGGATACGAGTCTCGCTCTATACAAGCGTCATGAACAATCTTGTCCAACTCCAAGGTCGTGATGCCAGGTTTAACGTGAGAAGCTGCGAGATCCAGAACTTCACGAGCCAACTTGGCAATGTGAAGATGTCAGATCTGATTGTCAGAATTCCATCCAGATCAACGTGTTTTCATCTCTTCACAGACTCACTTTACAGACTTTTCTCATCCCTTCAATTTCTTCGGGTTTCAGTGGTTTTCCGAGCCTATGACCAGACACGGCCTGCTCAGACGGAGAAGAACCAGTTTGTACTGGTAAAGGTTAATCTCATCAGAGAATTAAGTCAGAGACCGGATGGTAAGCATGATACATACTTCTTTCAAGCCGTGAGAAATGACTGAGAAAACATTGGAAAGACCTGCCAGTGAAAACTCACAATCTCCGGCATAATCGGCTAGGCCAATGAAATTATGGGGTTCCAGAAGGTGATGGTGTTTGAGAAGGTGATGGCATCAGAATGATGATAGCTAGAATATGAACGGTCCAGCGGTTTTTCGAGAACTAACGTAAAACGATGTGATCTGGGACAGATCGTCTGGGAAGATTCTCGATCGGATAACAAGCTCTGAGCGAACCAGTGTAGACATAAGGACCCTTTTCTCTGGATGAACGTCTAGTACGATTCCGCAAATGAAAGCTTTCTAGATTGCTCTCGTCAAATGGATCGTAAGCTAGCCAGACCAACGAGTTATATGTCGTCAGTCACAGTCTTTTGGAAATTGATTGTGGAAACTTGTGTCGCGCGCAGAAGGCTCACATGTCTCAAAATTACTTACTATTAGGAGGACCAGTATAACTTTCATCCACCTTTGGGGCAGGAATGTTGGAATGATAGGTTGATTTATGAGCCGGCCAAACTTTCTTGAAACATTCCTGTGAGCAGAAGAATCTTGAAGGTTGGTTCACATCTCTTTTGATTCGAAAGCGATATTTGAAAATTTCGTCAGTGATTGATAATTAAGTGTTGTGATCGAACCATGGCTCACTGCTTGCATTTAGGACACTCTAGGGAAGAGGCAACTTTGGCACAACCGGGGGTAGAACATGGGCGAGGAGCTGATTCGGACATTTTTGATAGTGCCAATCGGAAGAAGAATGCGATGAGAGTTTTGATCAGAGAAATATTTTGGGGGGGCCGGCCTCCAAGTCCAAGAGGCCAGGATCGGGCCGCGCGTCGGATGGCCCCGCGAAACGTCGGGTGTCATGTGAAATTCAAAATGGCGGTCCTCCTCAAGATTCAGACTCAGAGTACAAGACCACTGCTAATCTGTCAACTGTTCATCACATCCTTTGACCTTGAGGGCTCTACTGGGCTCTCCAGCTCGCCATTCACATACTGATAACGGTGATCTCATCATTCTACACAGAATTTTAGGTTGATAGTTGAAGAAGTTCTGTGGAGGATCTTGATTCTTGAGAGATCTCCACAACATAAATGCTAATATTTGGGAGCATAAGTATACATATCACATGCAGGACTCCAGATGATCTGTGTCTAAAATCAGTTCTCCTTGGATTCCAGGTGGACCTCAAAGTTTTTGGAGTAATTTTGTTTTGTAAATGTGAATGCATCAGATAAAAAGAAGATCTTTCTGGTTGAAATCTAAGACTGAGCTTGATATATATACCATCTGAGATCAAGGATATTGAGTGCCTCAGCGTGGAATGTCAATGATGTACTATGAAACTTCATGGTGTGCAGATTTACAGCTCACAGGTCAGGCAAATTGATAACCCAATATAAAAATTTGGTCATTGACTAAGGGGTGAACCTTGTTGTTTGAGTTGAAATATTTGATTGATTTATCCAACTCAATTTTTATCCCCAAAAAGATATCTGCTTTGAAATTTTGATTATTATTAGTCCAGTTAAACTGAAGATAGGTGGGAATTGTTATTTTTTTTTCCAAGGAAGATCATGGGTATGGGCATGAAAAGATAATAAAATCCATTTGACTCAAGATGGTCCTTGTTCAATATTGGCTGTTGTGTGAGCTAACAAACATCAGATGACAAGACCAATTCTGCTGTTAGTAATAATAATTTTCTCTTCTACTATCAAGAGGATTAAAAAATTCTTTGTCTGATCATACAATTTAGACAATGGACATCTTGAGATTTAGAGTAAAGCTCAAGTTAAAAATAACAATCTTTTCCAGTCACTACATAGGCCCTACAAAAACTTCATCATTTGAAAATCTTCCTTTTGATCTCTCATGGAAATTTTCCTAAAATCTCTCCATTTACTATGAGACATGAATGTATGTCCAGAATTCAATTTCTAATGATGGCATATGTGAGTGATACACTGACTTGGATTGTCATGGTGCGGTACATGATGCATTGGTATGATATCTTTTGATCCAACTGATATACCTGTGTGGATGATGGGCTGTGAGTGCTGAATCAAGGGGATCCCATATGACTTCAGTGGTGGACTATTGTGGATGCTGGGTTAAGAGTGGTAAGGTGTGTCATGATGATGGGATATTGGTAAACATAAGCATTTGATAAATCATGTTTTGAAATAACATGATGCCAAAATACTATGATTTTGTTGATAGGTTTTGGTATTGATCTTCACACTTTCTTCCAGGAAGTTTTGTATATTCTTTTTACTGAAAGTAGCCTTTTTTATGGAGAATATGGATGGGTTTCAAATTGAAGAAAGCTATTCTTTTTTCCAAAATGGCATCTAAAGCATTGCCACAGAGGATGAAAATCTCAGCCACATTGCAAGTTTGTGACCATATGGAACCAAGTGGAGGTTTGTTCCAAAAGTGTGATTTGCCAGAGTAAGTAGGTCTGCAATTATCAGGGGTCAACAATCATGCTTGAATTTCACAGCTGATCACAGATTCCTCAATCATGCGCTGTTAGTATAAACATCGGCAAGATATGCATCAATTTTGCTTCCTGATTCAGGTCACGCTGGTCTCATGTCAAGACCTCCGTAAGTTGCAAAGGCTTATCAAAAGCAAAGTGTTGCAAAGAGACACTTTTAAAGATCAAAATCGTGTGATTTGATATGTCAGCTTAACAAAGAGCCGTGGGGATGGAGTGTGTTGAAGAATGTGTACAGCATCCTTAGGAGATAGGATATAGAATATAATCCACGACCCTTCAAGAGATTTTGTTGATGAAGTATGTACTGCTGTGCGTCACCGAGGAAGTTATTTTGTCATTTGTTTGCACATTTGCCGCGGGCGGATATCATCAATGCGGATTAAATTCACTTGACGGAACACCACGGTGGGTGAACTGGAACCCAGAGAGGAAACGGGAGGACTCACTTGTCGACCAGAGATACTGATTATCGTCTTGAGCCTGTGCAAGTTGGCAATACGAGTTAAGCTCAGCAACATGTTGCCGTACCAGGCCGTACCTCGCCATATGAAGCGTGTGTTGAAGGATCTCAAGTGTTTCAGTTCTTTTGTGATAACGATTGTGAAACTTTGAACGCGGTAAAGGCCCAAGGGTGGGAGCGCGTGGGCAATTTTGTAAACAACTGCGAGCTGTTTACTTGACTGATTCCTTCGAATGATCAATCGGATGTGATTCGTTCCCAAGTTGGAGATTGAAGTTCACCACCGAAAATCAATCTTCCGGATTTGTAGGTCGGAGTTGAGCTTCTGCATAGCCATCTGCACGCCATTGCACATTAGATTGAATTCCAGTTTGTGGTTCAAAGTCTACCCCTGGCTGACGGCTGGTCAGTGGTCGGCCTCGTAATCGGAGTTATGAGATATTAACTTAAGTTCTGGACCCGGCCTAACTGTCAATTTGTTTACGGTCGGCTGTAAACATTGAGGGGGTGAAGAATTGAAGATCTATTGAGATTTCTGTTCGAGCCAAAGGTTTGATGACGGAATCGTCTTAGAATGTGTCAAAGTGGAATAGTTTGAAAGTGTTTTTAAAGGAAGGCTGATCAAAGAAGTAAATTCATTTATTTTAACCAACGAACCTATATACAACAAAGCGAATGAAGGAATCGACCAAATCAGTCAAAGTTCAAAGCATTCATCAACTTGGCTATTAATGAAACCAATTTTATTTTGATCAAGAGATTAGTTGAAGTTCAAATCGAGAAGACTTGATGGTACGTTTCTTTTTCATCCTGATTTCTTCCATTTAATTTGAATCTGAGCTCTTGAAGAAGCATCAAGTGGTTATCAAGTATTAGTCATCCATAGTTTTCTGTGATTGCTTGTTGACTAAAAGCACCATTCCATTCAATTCGATTCAATCTAGATCTAGTTCTTCATTACTAACACCTCAACTTCATACTTTTGACTTTTACTATCGAACATTTTAGACACTTCTACCATCTCTTTTACACCTAACTAATCGATTAATCACCATCAAGAAGAAACTGGATCAGATACTACTCAAACTCAAATCGAATTCTATCGATAGTTTAAATTCACAATTTGAAAATATCAAAACCCATACCCTCGATAATCATCACTACTTTCTAATTCTACAATATGGATCGTCATCAATCGTCATCAAACCATCAAATTCCACTCTCAACACTCCATCGTCAATCACCCTTCCTCAAGAAACTCGATAAACTTACTACCTTTGACATCTCTAACATCTTTCAACCTCGTCTCGGTCCTCGTTTACCTCGTCTAGTCTCAATCAATTTACCACTACCTAACACTGCATGGAAATCAGATAAACACAACCAACCTATCATCGGTAAACCACTACCAGTCAGTCTAATTCTTTATTCCTTTCTCAATCAATACCATCTTACTAACTTGTGGTGAAATTTCTTCAGTCTTGGCTTTACCCGAGTAATCAGATTAGGACTGCCAAATATTCGCTCATCACTTTCATTCCGCGTAACTTACTCGAACAATTCAGGAGGATCGCAAACGTTTTCTTCCTTAGTTCAGTGCTTTTCATTTGATCACGCATACATCTATATTCACTCCTATTTACCATCTTGACCATACACTCTAATCACTCTCAATCTTTCCTTCTGTTTTCATCTTTCCTACAGTTCTCGTCATCCTCCAATTCATCCCCAAATTCTCTCAAGTCTCCCCTATCTTGGCATGTCTTCCACTACTCGTCGTACTAGGCGTAACGGCCGCCAAGGATGCCTACGAGGATGTAAAACGACATCAAGCGGATTCTAATACTAACAAACAAGTCGTTCACATCTTGAGATCATCAGCATCATCGCCTTCGTCTGACTATCTCAATCCAAACTTGACGCAACCGAAGCAGAGTCCCTTTAAATTCAAGTGGCTTCAAAGAAAACCCGAAGGTAACAAAGATGCTGCCCTCCTCGCAAGCGAATTACAACCTCAGGCTTCAATTCCAGACGGACCCACAATCGTAAAGAAACATTGGTGGGATCGAAAAGTGAAAGTTTCAAAGTCACCGGATAAACTTGAGAAATTGCATACTGGTCATTCGTCTCTACCTTCTCGTCTTGACCGCGATCTTCAATCCCCTGTTTCGCTAAATCGTCCGCATGATCATCATCAACACCGGGAAGTTAAATTCAGAAGATCCGCATGGGAAGATTTGAGAGTTGGAGATCTTGTTAGGCTTCGAAATGATGAAGCCGTACCTGCCGATATCATCATCTGTTCTACTTCTGATGAGGAAGAGAACGTGTGTTTCATTGAGACGAAGAATTTGGATGGCGAGACTAACCTCAAATCACGTCATGCGATCAAAGAACTCAGCCATCTACGCTCGGTCTCCGACTGTCTCAAAACTCAAGATCCTAGAAATCGATTTGTCATTGAGAGTGAGGCACCGGATCCGAATCTATTCAAGTACAATGCTGCTCTCATCTTCCCCGAAATCAAACCGAATTCCGTCAAGTCCCAGTCGCTTGAACCAACCGAGAAATCCAAAGATGGACACGATGCATTACGCGTGGCTGTCAATCTCAATACCATGTTGCTGAGGGGTACCGTTGTTCGTAATACAGACTGGGTGATTGGAGTAGTGGTATTCACTGGGCCTGACACGAAGATCATGATGAATTCGAGTGGAACCCCTTCTAAACGAAGTAAAGTCGAACGTCTCATGAACCCCATGGTGTTAGTAGTCTCGCAAATCTCTTTGCTCTTTCTATAATCATCGATTTCAACTTTCTGATCATCTGTCTTACCCCCTCGTTCGTCATTTAGTTTCATCAACCTTGGTATCCTTGCCCTCATGTGTCTTTTCAACGGAATCGGTACACATCTTTCAGAAAGGTACTACTACGATCGTAATTCGTATTGGACTGTTTATTCAGATTCGTCTGATGATAATCCGAATATCAACGGCGCCGTAGGATTTGCAAATGCCATGATCACCTATCAGAATATCGTACCCATCTCTCTTTACATCTCGATTGAATTTGTCCGTACAATGCAAGCGCTGTTCATCTGGGCCGATGATCACCTTTATTATCGTCCAACCAAGAAACGTACAATTGCTAGATCCTGGAATCTTTCTGACGATCTTGGACAAATCCAATACATTTTCAGTGACAAAACTGGAACACTCACCCAAAACTTGATGCAGTTTCGACAATGCTGCATTGGTGGCAAGGTATATAGTGGAATAGATCGATTAGGACCGATTGTAGAAGAAGACGAGGATGAGACCGTTGCTGGTGGCGAACCAATGGGATCCAACCCCTCGGACGAGCTTACCAAATTCACCTCGAGAGACCTTGAGAGAGCGGACTCCAGGCAACTCCATAGCCCTATTACTCCATCAAAACCAACTCACCGAGTCACATCGAGATCACTAAGCACGGGATCATCCGATTCCACGGGTCCGAAGCTGAAGAAGAAAGCGAGCGAACCATCAGTAATAAACAGTGCAGATCCCGAGGTCACTGAATTGCCTACAATCGAACCCTTTCAAGATATCGGATTAATCAACGACCTCTCCGACCCTAAATCGGACCAGGCAAGACTTATTCACAGTTTCTTTGCTACTCTTGGTCTTTGTCACACTGTCTTGGCCACAGAAGACGAGACGGGCACGATTCAGTACAAAGCTCAGTCTCCTGACGAATCTGCCCTTGTACAAGCTGCCGCAGATGTAGGTTTTGTCTTTAGAGGTCGAGAAAGAAACGTACTGCGATTGCAAGTGCCTTCGGACTTGGCCAAAACTCGAACCCGCAGTCGCCTACATAAATTACGACATCATGTAGCTGCGGTGGACGATTCAGGAATCGAACTGGCGGATCAAGCAGATGGAGCGGATGAAGACACTGAAATAAATGAATTTGAACTTTTAGAAGTCAATGAATTCACCAGTGCTCGAAAGAGGATGAGCGTGGTTGTGCGAAGATTGGATTCATCGGACGGTCGAACCAGAACATCGACAGATGGATTACCTACCGGAGAAATCTTTTTACTTGTCAAAGGAGCTGATAACGTCATTTTTGAAAGATTGGGATCAGGTCAAGATGAAATCAAGAAAAAAACAGATGATCAACTTGAAGAATTCGCTGATCAGGGACTACGGACACTTTGCTTAGCTTGTCGACAATTGAAAGAGGATGAGTTTTTAAGCTGGTCGAGCAAATATACAACAGCTTGTTCACAAGTTGGACCTGAGAGAGAAAAAGATATTGAAGCGGTTCAAGATGAATTAGAACACAGTTTGCACTTGTTAGGTGCCACTGCTATTGAGGACAAACTTCAAGATGGTGTTCCTGAGACTATTGCTGAATTGAAACGTGCTGGTATCAAGGTTTGGGTGGCTACGGGTGATAAGTTGGAAACAGCTGTTGGTAAGTCATGATGGAGTTTCTTTGAACGTTTGTCAGTAAACTAATGAGACTTTTGTGATATTATTTATATAGCTATCGCTCGGTCGTGCAATCTGATTGCGAAAGATATGAACTTGATCGTCATCCGAGGTGGTGCTTATGGAACAAGGTCATCAACTTACAGTCAAATGAGAAAAGCTTTAGTGGATTTTTTCGATGCCGATGAGTTAGTCGAAAACCTGAAAGAAATGCCACCAGACTACGTTATGAATTCAGAGCGACGACCTTCGAGGTTTTCAACCCACTCCCAAGCACAACCAGGGGAGGAGCCAATTGATCTACACGATATCGTCGGTGAAGATAACGGCAATCGTCAAGGTGGATATGGGCTTGTTATCGATGGTGCATCTTTACATCATGCATTTGAGGAAGCTTTCACCAAAGAAATTTTACTTGAACTATCGACTCGATGCCAAGCTGTAGTCTGTTGTCGTACTTCACCCAAACAAAAGGCCGAAATCGTAAGTTTGGTAAAAGACGGTACAAATTCCATGACTTTAGCTATAGGTGACGGAGCAAATGATGTATCAATGATACAAGCTGCTGATATAGGAATTGGAGTATCAGGTGAAGAAGGATTACAAGCTGTGAATTCGTCTGATTATGCTATTGGGCAATTCCGTTATCTCTCAAGATTATTGTTTGTTCATGGACATTGGTCTTATGATCGAAATTCGAGGATGATTTTGAATTTCTTTTATAAAGAAATCATTGGAATCTCTGTACTTTGGTTTTTTCAATTTTGGTGTGCTTACTCGACGACGACTTACTATGAATATACAGTTGAGTTTGTTCCTCAATCTACGACTCTGACTAGTGGCCTTATAAACCGTACAATGTGTTGATGTTTTTCCTTTTTATCTTCTTCTGTAGTATCTCTTGTTCTACAACGTGTTCTGGACTTTACGTAAGTTGGATCAACTCATCTGAACTTGAACCACTGGCTAATTGATTGATCATGGAACTGCAGTGCCTGTCCTTGGAATCGGAATTTTTGATCAAGATATTCGACAAAGAGTCTTAGTCTCTGTACCTGAACTTTATTCGGTCGGAAGAGACGGAAAATTATTTGGATTGAAGAATTTCGCTTGGTACATGGCCCAAGGGATTTACCAAGGAGCAGTGTGTTACTTTTTCATCTCGTTTGCTTACGACACCACCAGTCCAAGATCAGATGGGATCGACGTGAATATCAATGAAGTTTCGACAGTGGTGATTGTGGCGGTGATCATCGCTTGCAATGCTTTTCACGCCTTGAATCAATTTGCATGGAATACATTTATGACCGTCTTTGTCTTGGTGGGACCGGTCTTGATCGTATTGTACACGGCTGTATACTCAGCTTTCAAACCTAGTTTCATGTGAGTCCTCACTTTTATTCAACTTTTCCTGCGACTCCTTCTTTTGAGAGCTGAAGTCATTGACGGTGATGTGGTTTGATAGTTGGACAACCGTTTATGGAAACAATTACTATCTATGGGCTGCACCTTACTGGTGGTTCGGGATCCTCTTCACTGTTGTTTTGTGCCTCTTACCAGGGTATCTTGTCAAGTATTATCGGGAAATGTACCATCCAACGTAAGATACCGTTGCTTTTGGAGATTATATCCTTGTTACTCGACATCTACTGACTCCATTTGTTGGATATCAATAGTGATCTAGAAATCCTACGATACATTGACCGAATCGACCCAGAGCATGACTACAAAACTGATCCTCAGATGCCATATCTTCGAGAGCTTTCCAAATATGACAATAACGAAGGAGGAAGGCCGATGATCAGGAAACAACCTACTCATTCTAGTCTTGAACCGAGCCTAGCGCGTGTGGAACGCACTAGGACTTCGATTAGTGTTACTCATGATATGGCGACTGGTCAAGCTTCCCCGTCTGGAGTTGGAAGAGGGTTCGGATTTGACCAAGCTGATGGCGTTGGAGAGATTGCCGTCGGGAATCGGTTGAGAAGATTTAATTCTAGTCGACTGAGTAAGTGGTTCATTTGTTCTTGCAGGATATGCTTGATTCCCTGGGCTGATTGTTGTTTGTATTTTTCTCTCACCTATAGGTATTCCTGAAGCGACACCTCAGAGGGGGCATGCGGCCTCAAATAGTCGAGATCGGAGTCGCTCCATTCGTATTGGAAATCTAGAGATCGGAGCAGGAGGTGTCAGAATTGGATCACCGCGAAATTCACATGGACACAATAGCAAACTGGCGAAACGAATCTCAGATTTCATTCATCACCCTCGACCTAAGTCGAGTGGAAGCGATCATAGAACTAGAATAAGTGACAGACCAGAAGAAGAAACTGATGAATCACAGAGAAGAACAGGAGAAGGTTTAAGTGTGATTCTGGATCCACCCACTGAAGATCTTGAACCGAGAAGAGAATTAAATCAAAGTACTAATCAAAGGAATCCAAATCGATTATCATCAGGTCTTGCATCAAACTCATTGAATCCACCTTCTTTTCCTTCTTTAAATTCATCAATGGTCTTATCTGATCGACATGATGAGGAACATGAAGAAGAAGATACTTCATAGACAAGAAACGTAACTCATCTTTAAGTTTCTATGTTTGTGTGGGCGTGTGTTTGTTCTTTTTATTGAACTTTTTGTATACATGGTTTTTCTTTTTCTTTTTTAATTTCGATTCCGAAACTGATGGGTTCGGTTTTTAATTTCTTGTACTCTTTTTCGTATTTACTCATCAACTGATCATTTAAATTGTTATCATGTTTTCGTATTTTATATATATTTTTAAATGTGGGATAAGCTCTTTGAGTGTAGAAGGTTTAGGTTAGGATGAAGATTTTTTTTTATGATCATGATGGTATTAAAAAAAGAACATGATTTTTTTTTATTTTTGAAAACGAAAGAAGGACAATGAATGTTATATTATTTAAAACTTTTTTTTTCTTTTTTTCTTTATTATTATTATCATTCTTATTTCTCTTTTAGATCTTTTTATAATTTCTTTTTTACTTTTTGATTTTCTTTTCTTTTTGCATTGTTATTTTTTCATTTTCAATTTCAATTTCCTTGTTTGATTTGGTTTTCTTTTTTTTTGGCGTGGGGTGGGATTTGTTTAATTTGCTTTGGTTTCAGATTATTGATTATTTTTATTTTACGAATTTATAAGAAATGGTTTTGATGAAAGATGAAAGATGAAAGATTAATGAAATGATAATTTACACTATTGAAGATATGAAAAAGGATATGTACCATGAATATGAAGAAAACTTTTGATCTTTTTGATCTTTTTTTGGTTACTTTCCAATGTTTCAGGCAAGCAAACATCCCGATTTCAGATGAACATCAGATGATTCTTTTAACGCGAAATGGATCGCATTATAGTGAACTATTTATCATGCTCATTCAGCTGATCACATATTACACTTCGAGAATAGGCGTCAAGATATAAAACTATCAGAACTTATTACAATACCAATATTTGAAAAGGACATGTCTACATCCATCAATTCCATGTAATCCATCCCTGGCTGATCTTTATCCATCATAAGAACCACTGTCATTGGCATTTTTGTAGTTCTTCCTTTGATCCTGATGCTGAGCATGAAAACATTTATGCTGACTATAAGTATAAAAAGGTTTTCTATTGCCAAAGGAACTTCCATGTGAGATTCTTCTTAACACAATCACATACCACTATGGTGATTAGTTTACCAGTTTCCAAAGCTTCCACTTCTTTTTTTTCAAATCCTCAATCTCCTTTCTTGAAGCTTTTGATTTGTTTTCAACTTTTCTACAGATTTATCCTTATCTAAGACTAAAACTATTTATTATTTCTACTTCTTTGTCTTCTGTGTTCAGAATTCTTCAATACTATGGTATAATTCAAATTCAAACAGTGGGATCTGTCCTTTTCATTAACTTTTTCAATGATCATTTCAAACTTTTTTACAATTTAGAATCTTTCATTAATATCTTTCCAAAAGTCTTTTAAGCTTGGTATCACCATCCTTCAAAAGTGCTAAAGGTGTATGTGTTGTTGCCATCTGGAAAAAGAGTGACAGTTTAACAAACTTATCATTTCCAGGTACATCATGAAGAGTTCATAGAATCATTATATCTTCAACCACATTCTCATTCTCTGTTTCATATTTATTTTCTTCGCTGGCTATGAAACTCTTTTACCAAAACTTTTTTTTTCATCAACTTGAACTTTTTGATCTGTTCTATGATACTGAGAAATAAAGTCGTTGTCAGAGAAGAGAAAATATAATATACACTGTTAGCATTAGAGAGGTTCCTGGATGGGAAAGTGGGTACTAGGGACCAGATTCCCATTCTGCTACGGTTGAACAGCTCCATAAATATTTACCAAGTAGCCATTGTAATAGCCGTGCTCAAAGTTGACCCGGTTTCAAGAAAACCCAGTTGACCCAGTTGCTTTCTGGCGGTAACTTTGTGAATCAAGTTGACATTTCTTGACAGCTCACAGCCAGAAAGTCAACTGGGTCAACCGGGTTTTTCGTAACCAGGTCAACTTTGAGAACGGCTAATATATGTAGCCAATTTTTCAAGATGCTTGTCTCAGTCTGAACAAAATTACATCATGTATTACATGAGATTTTCTTATCCAGATGAACAGATAACTGAGTCAATCTGTATGCAGCTGATAGCTAAGGATTTACTCAGATGTTAGCACATATGTAGCATATACTTTATGGCTCAGTTGTGCAGTGCAAGATGATTTCATCACACAGTCTACTCTCAATCATGTTCCCAGCCTAGGTCACTTTCCTACCTGGGAAACTATTTAATGGGATCGTAGAATTTTGCAAACTTTGATTTGCAATGATTAATGTTTGCAAATTGTATATGTTGTAAAATTCAAAAATACTTAGGTATTCTTTAATTTTACAGACATTTCATATTTTTAAATGCATGTAAAAAAAAGGTTTGGAAAAATTGTCCCGCAAAAGTAGTACACAGATGGGGCTTTTTGGAATTTTACGGTTGAACTTTTGTGACCAATTTTCTCCGCAAAAAAAAACAGACGCAAAAGTAAATTTCGTCAGGGTATTGTTGAATTTTGCAGCCATTAAATACCGGAGTATGTACTTTGCAAAAAAAAAACATCGCAAAGTTACAAAATTTTGCTTCAATTTTGAAATTTACAATCAAAGTTTCAAGATCAAAAAATAAAATTGTTGTATTACGTGCCTAAACAACATCAAGAACAAGCAGGGAGAAAATATAAAGTAGAAAAAAAGACACAGTGACGACAAGGCTATGAGAAAGAAAAAAAACGAGCAGATAGAAAAAAGTAAATAATTAAAAGAGACCCCAAAGGAAAGATTGACTAGAAATATATAAATAAATAAATAAATAACGACATATTACTCCCTCTTACGCCTTGTACGCTTTGATACACGTATACCGGCCTTACGGTCTTGGCTGCTGTCAGCAGCCACCTCCAAAGCGTCATCTTCTTCTGCCACGTTCTCTTCCACCTCAACCCATCCTTTCCATTGGGGGTTTTTCTTTGCTTTTGCACCATCACCTGCAAGTTCGTCGCCATCACATGCTACGTGATATGAAAAAGAATAGGTGAGATAGATGAATGACACATGAATGACAAATTTTTGTGAATAACTCACCACATTTTTGTTTATTTGAAGATACCTTCTTGGAAGATACCTTCTCTTCTGTGTCTACATTACCTGAGGGCAACACCTCTTCTTTAACAATTGATTTCCTACGTCCTGATAAAAAGAAGAAATATCTATACATAAATATGACAACATAAGGTCAATAGGTAAAAAAAACTAACCTCGTTTTGATTTATTTGCCAAAGGTTCCACGTTTTCTTTCTCTTGTTTTAGAATTGATTTCTTACGTCCTGGCCAAATTAATAAAGATTCATGAATCAGACGTAATAGTCAGTGATGTTAGAAAGATTTCATACCTTGTTTTTTTTGCTTTGCCTTCACAGTTTCCAAAGGCGCTTCAATAGCATAATCATCCTCCGAGGCAAACATCACTTGCAAGTCTTTATTTTGCAAAGGTTCCAAAGTTGCTTCACTAGCAACTTTGTCGGAGGCAAACATACCTTCCATCTCTTTGCTGGTCTTGAACTGGATATTGGGAGTTTTTTTACGACCTAAAAAATCAACAACAAAGTATGAATAAAAGTTATGACACCAAACATATGTAAGATGAATAGAAACTCACTTTGTTTTGGTTTCAACTTTGGCACAGGGGCTTCATCATCCAAGGTAAACATATCCTCTACCTCGTTGATATTATTGTGAACAATTTCTAGATCTGAGTCATTGGGTAATTCATAATCTTCTTCTTCAATATTCATGTTTTGTACCTCTTCATCAACTTCATGTTCATCCCCTTCGATTTGAGATTGAGAAAATGGTCGGTCTAATAATTCTTTGTTGCCCACAGACCGGTCAATCTTGCTATCTGCTTCCTTGATTATCAATGACTCAGCCACCGTAGGTGCTTGAGAATAGATAACCCAGCTCGTATTAGGTAAAGGTCCTCCAATATTCTCTACATCTCTAGATACCAACTTCGCAATTCCAGCATTTTCCATATCATTATGATGCCACGCACCTGTCAGGCCACCAACTGTTCGTATCACTTTACACCAATAATGATTTCCTCCCCAAAAACCGCAAGCCTGCATGATGTAAGTAGTCCCATCAATAATTAATCTGTAAGGTAAATCACATTCTTGCATCATCTTGAAGGCTTCTGGGCGCTGAACATTCAATAAGTAAGTAATATCAAGTTGGACATGTAGATGGGGAGGCGGTGGATCCAATACAATACAAGATTTTTCATAGAAGGGTGGAGACGAAGTAGGATCACCGGATTTTACTTTGTCTTTGTTGACCTTGCAAACACGGCAGTGTCAAGATGATACACCTTGAAGCCCTGTTGATGATGACCATTGTTCCAGAAGTTTACTTGTTTGCGCATAAGTAAATTTATCACCAAAGTGGTTGTGAGACAACCTAATTGAATTTATATGTTTATTTTTGTTTAAAATATGTTCATTGTTATGAGAGCAGATAAGCTTTGTCTTGAGGTTGAGACAAAACAGTTGATGCGTGATAGCTGGAGATGACAGATGATTGGTTCGAGTTTCCTTATCAAAGATACCTTTGAAATACTGTTCAGCGGAAGCAGATTGGTCCGGAAGGAAGCTTCCAGGTCGACTTTCTTGTATGGCAGCATGGAGAGTATTTTGCCCAATTGATAGACTGCTCTTGATCTGAACTTTCTGACTGATCTTCCAGGTTGACCTTGACAAGAACAGCTTCATTAGCTTGGCGAAAATATGAGTTGATTTACCTGTTGCCCGGCTGTACCAAACAGCTGTATGAACTGCATACAGACATTCCGTCATGGAATTGAGCCAACATCGATTTTGGCGCCCAACGGCAGTGCTAGAGGAAAAACCGGGGTAAGTCGTGACTGGGTTTTGGTTGATATTTAAGTTGTGACTGGGTTTTGGTCGATATTGGTAGACCCTTTAGGTCTACCAAGCTTCTTCAAAGGTCCTAGTAGAGCCAGTGTTGTATCTGGCGGCCTGCCATCAGACTTCGTTTCTCGGAAATTACGAGGTTTCTTTGACCATCCCAAAATTTGAGCCACCTTCTTATAGCTCTTGTTTTCTTCCCCATATCCAATTGGAACACCTCAAAGGCGGTCTTTGTGGTCCCTTTCTAGACTAAGAGCCAAGGCATATAACTGGATTAGCCCTATAGCAATGGTACAATTACCTTTGCTGATAGGGCTCAAATATAGTCAGCACAAGTTACAAAACAAATATGCAAAAAGTGAAAACAAAATTAATGAAAATAAAACCTACGTGATCATGTAATAAACGTGATGGAGAGACTCTTGCGCGTTGGTTGTCGCCGGCATGTTGGCGCAAAGTCCATCATTGTCAATTTGCTTAGGCCTTGATTTGAATATCATGGCCTTGATGTTGGCCGCTGTCCACCACTCAAGCCATTGCTTGGCTATAGGAAAATTCTTGCGCATCTGTGCAATTTTTTCATTGAAATTCAACCCTCCAGGTTTGTCTGGCTTCATAAGGCCACGGGCTGCTTTTTCAAACTCATGCTGTGAGCAAATTACAAAGATATCAGTATAAATCACATTTGGATGAAATAATAATTAAGAAATTAATTTGAAAAATATATCATACCTCATTATCAGCAGGTATGATGTTGCGGTTCCTCTTCACCCTTGTCACCTGAGCTCTAAAATGCTCTTCACAACCTTTTAATTTGTCGAGTGCAACAGCACAATCCGTCTCTTGAAAAACTTCCATATAAGCCATGATAAACCTGTTCTTCTGTGCCGCTGAGATCTACTACTTGCCAGACGAGTGTATCACGTTCTGCAGCAGTCATATCTTCTGATTTAATTTGAGACATGAGGGTTTCAAAATGAGCTGGATAGTGCTCTTTGGTTAAACCTCTTAACTACGTAAATAAAATGGGAATCCAACGCCGAAGGTCCTTGTTGTACATAGAAGTCGACAAAAGATAACCATTGGCGAAAAATTTGTAAGTCACATCGGAGAGAAGGTCTCCACTATACACATTGTTGTCTTCGTCTCAAGAAAGAAGCTGTCTCGTCATCCATTCAGTTTGAAACGTCATGTGAGCATTTCATGGCTTAAAAGAGCTGGATCTTTCTAACATTCCATGCCTTGAAAAATTATCCAAATATATGAGTAAGTTGATTGAGACTAAGTAAATAATAGAATAGAAAGGAACTTACTCGGCCCAATGACACATATCCAATACAAAGCTGTCACCTGCTCCAGGTATTTTCTTGTCCAGAATTACACCGGAATTTACCAGAATCGTACGACGATAGTAACCGGTGCGATGAAGATGGCCAAACGCCGGATGAATGTTTGAGACGGACTCAATGTTCTTCTGACCGGCTGGAGCACGTCCTACCTAAAGAAGTAAGATGATTATCATGTCAATAAACAAAAAAATTTAAGAGTTTTTTATGTACTGACCTTGTGTCGTAATGGTCCGATTTTGGGATTTTCCACGACTTTTCGTGCAAATTTGTCCAGTGATAGTTTGTCCGGCTTAGATCGACGGGGCCATTGATGATTGTGGATACCAGCGTGTCGGATTATACCCCAACCGCTGGTATGCTCGTCCATCCGACACATAGTGTTGTTGCATGTAATGTACTTCAGGTAATCTGAACACCGTGCCGCTTGGCATTTACGAGGTCTAACGAGATATACATGCGTGAGTATGAAAGAAGATAATAAATTTAAACTATAACAAAATAACTGACTGGGTGCTCCATTCTCTTCTCTTATTTGAGCAGGTGGGTGGTGAGCCCAAATAGTCACAAGTAATGCTTTTGCAAACTATGACGCCTAAGCATTTAAATCAAACAGTTTGCCAACTCTTCTTTTCTTTACCTCCTCCAGAAGTAGTATACATGAAAGCAAATGCTCCCCAGTTTGTGGGACGTTTCTGATCAGCAAGCTTGACATATACCGTGTTGCCGTTGGGAAGAAGCGGATAGCCCTCATTGTCAAGAGTAGTTTCTTCATGTATATAGGTTACAAAGGATTCCCTGTAGAGGGGTAGGCCAAACGTTTTCTTGACACCCCGAGGTGTGGATTTGTTGGATTTTGAGGACTTTATCGTCGTAGTTGATGGAGATATCTTTGAATTGGTTTTATGATGATGAGTGAGATTAGAATGGTTGTCTCCATCTAAATCCACATACTCATCATTGTAATCAAGATCTTGATCAAATCCATTGTATTCATCGTCATCTTCCATGTTCGCAAAGTCAGTTTCCAAGACATGAAGGTTGTCAAGGTCAGTTTCCAAAACATGACTCATTTCTGAGGTGTTTTGAGGTGTTGTTTGATCAAAAAAAGGTTGGAAAGTAGGAACTAAATGCTTGATTATATCGAGATTGGTCTTGAATGAGGAATATTTCACGATACAAAATTATTGGTTTTTGAAGATGATAGGATGAATTATGGAAATAAAAGATGTTAAAACGAATAAAATGCAGAACAATAAAAGGATAATAAGCCTTTGCATAAGTCACTTGCATTTCTTCAAAGAAGGTAATCTCCGACCTTTTGACAAATCGAGTCTGAGCTAGGTGTGCAAGACTCTGGCCTTGCTGGATAGAGGTCAAGCGGATGTCCTCCAGCCTCATTTAAATCGCCATTCAGATACGTAAGCTCAGCGGCAGTACCTTTTCTACCACCTTTAGTGGATGTAAGGTCACATAGAAACTTGAATGCATTGGAGCCAATTCAATCCATTGGATTGGGAAGATTCATTGCAAAATTAAAGAATCATGAGATGAATTCGACTTTGACGATGTTATCTTTGCGGCGGTTTGGGATGTCTGTGAAGGATGTCTTGCAAAACTATGATATGAAGGGAGATTTTTGACATTTGCGAGGTTATTTGATTGCGATGATTAGATGTCGGAAATGTCTGTTCGGAAATTTCGACAAAGGTATTCCAGTGGTATACTATTTGGACCTTTTTTTTCCGACTGTATTTCTTACATACATTCCAAACAGAAGATTGTATGTAAAATTATATAATCGGCGGGGTAAATACATTTTTGCAATCTTCACGATTTGCAAACTTTAACCATCTCCAAAGCGACATCACAAAATTCTCACGCCCCCTATTTAATGCTGGCAATGATAGAAGTGCTTTGCACATGGTTTTGTATGAAATCAAGACAATTGTCAAAGATAATTGTCGATTTCTGTCTGATTGTAAGAAACAAATTTTGAAAAAAATGGTGAGCTTTGACTCTGAGTATGCACATATATCTTGAAATTCAGAACAGTGGTACACAAAATCAAAAACCACATAAGAAAACCACATGAAAAAACCACATGGATCTTTTGGTCTTTGCGGGGAGGTTCACAAAATCCATGTGGTTTCATGCAGGTTTTTCATACGGGTTTTTCATGTGGTTTTCAACTTTCTTGTACCACTGTAGAACCACATTTTAACAAATGATGAGCTGTGAGTATTCAACAAAGATCAACAAGTCTTGTCTTACAACCTTCACCAAGGTTAATGAGGGTTATTGACGTCTACACCACGGGGCAACTTTGAACTGAGCCCACCTGAGATTGAATCAGTGTGGCATTGAGTGGAGGTGATGTGAAAAAGGTCCCCTTTATAGGTGACAGGAACGTGGATGAGGTCAAGTAGCCCTCACCCTGGCCTTCACCTGGCCTTCACGTGTTCAAAAAGGTACATGTTCCGTTGACGTCGTATTCCGTCTGAAACAAATGAACAAAAATAATATAACAAATGAATGAGTCAAGGTCGTGAATTTTGGGTCTCACCAAATCACGAACTTTTGTCCAGTACGAGAAGGTCTATGGAAAAACCCTTCATACCATAAGAAGTACTCATAGTAAAAAGAATAACAACACGTATAAATTTCCTTCAAGGCAAATACTGAATGAGGTTACTGAGTGAAAGGCCGAAATGGGTGAAAATGAGTTAGAAGAGGGAGTAGTTCTTTTTGTTCTTTAATTTAATTACAATTTAGATAGACAGCTTGCAAGAGACTACATACGCCTTCGGCTTGGTTTTTTTGCTGGAGTAGGGTTGTTAGGTTTTGACTGGGCAGCACCTCCATTAGGCTTTGCTCCACCTTTTCCAGGTGCTCCGGTAGGATTCGGGTCCTTGTTTGGTTCACCTGGTTTACCGCAAGAAGGCTGTACATTCTTTTGCGCTGGCATTGGCATAGTAGCTGGCCATGCGGGTGGAAGTTTGAATCCTGGAAAATCCTTATCATGAGCTGGTGTATAAGTTGCCCTGTTTGGAGTTCCATCCATATATTTTCCGGTCTTTCCATCTTCCCAGCCAAAAACCCCAGTCTGGGGATTAGCGATTGGATTTGTTCCCTCTATTAGTGAAAGTATGAGGAGATTCAATAAGTTTGGGTAGAGGAAGAGATAAACTTGGGGAGTCCGACTCTGTAGGTACAAAAGAAAAAGAAAAATCCAGAAGACACTCACTGCCTTTGAAACCTCCAAGATTACTAGTTACAAATAAGGAGCGAAAATGTGATCATTGTCAGAGCTTATCAAGTCAAACTTTAAGAGACGGGGATGTGTTCATTTGTGAGAGTGACTCAACTGCCAAACAAAAATGTGCGAGTTAGTAGGGTTCGACACAAGCGCGCTGACCGGTGGGAATTGCGAAAAATAGCAACATGCTCCATACGACTATGCGACCAAATCAGGGTCAGTGATATTTTCGAACAAAGGGCTATCGATTTATGTAAATATGCGAGCAATCTTGCGAGCTGACTCACGCAGCCATAAAAAGTATCTTTGGAGTGATCAACAGTAAAAATTGCCATGAATTGGACTATGTTTCCCGATTGATTGTCGGATGAGACGAATATTGATGGACATTTGAGCTGATGACCACGGAAACATAAGCGAGATACACTTACCGTTGGGGTATGCATTTCGCGTGTTATGCTGCGAAGATGTTATCAAAATGTCACGATAGAAGTGAAGGGACTCGGAGTCAGTTTGAATCTCTTTAGAACACTTAATCTCTTCAAAAGAAACTTTAAAAGAAGCTCAACTCACCGAGCACTCAGCCAATTGGATACTTTTGGAGCAGGATTTTGCTAAAGAGAAACACAACAAATCGAGGGAGTTCAGTGATTCTATGATGGAAAGAAAAGTATATCTCAAGCCTCTTGAAAATGAAATCAGGACCATATTCACGTGGGTTTTTGGAAAGCCATGCCGGAGAGACGTTATAATCATGCACAAAACCTGTTGCTTCATCCCAATTGGCTTGAACTACCATGAAAACTAAGCACCAGATGACCAGGATTATGGATGGTGTGAAGGTGTAGGATTTGATGCACATCTTGAGGAATTTGATACAAAGCTAATGAAACGGAAAACCAAGCGCTGCGGTTACTAGTGAGGTCTGACTATATACGAGGAGGTCGCGTCTGACTCTTCGATAGAAGATTGTGCTGAGCAAGTCAAAGACGAAATATAAATTTTTTACAAAGTGCGATATTCACAATCTGAATGATTTCTGTAGTATGATAAGTCAATGTGGGTCTTTTCAAAACTTATATGATTGCGTGATGTATATATGGGGAGTTGCGCTGGTGATAACAAGGCTGTTTCGAGCTCCAAGCTCGCTCAGGGGTTTGTCACAAGTGGTCTGCACCACTCTGATATCTTCATCTCTTGAAGATGCACTTAACCGCCCATGACTCAGCGAACAGCAGCACGCGCGATTCAAGATACCATGTCAGACCAGGCATTAGTGATAGGAAATTTCCATCTGAGCTACAGGGTGGAGCACACAGACCGATGTGATTTGATGAAACAGCCGGATGAGACAGCTAGTCGACACCAAGTAATCTTATCGTATTCCTCAATCTAAACAGTTTTAACAAGTCCCATTTCTCATCTTATCAAGTGCCATACCCGTGCCATCAGAACTCGTATCAGCAAGCATGGCAGTTAAGAGAGGTGAAAAGGCTCGGCGTGACTGAGCTACAATCAAGAGGATATTGAATTGAGAAGAGTCATTCCTACTCTTCATAAAGCTAACTCCCTCACATCCATAAACCAACAGAGACTCGGGGTATGAGACGCCGGACAAAGATTTGCGTCACAACTCAAGTGGTGGGCGTAGCGCGAAAAGCGCGCCTTTTGGGCGCGCCCGGAAAGTCGAAATATAGGGTCGGCGCGCCCTTTGAGCAAGTACACCAGGGGGTAAAAGTCACCGCACGCAAACCGAAACCGAGACCTTTCAGAAACGTCTCAATTCCAATTCAGTTGAGACGTTTCTGACACGTTTTCAGAAGGGACGTACACAAAGGCGTCCCCGTCACCGAACTATCACGTCCCAGAAAACCAGAGCAGAGTGGTCTCCTTCACCGTTCCAGGGACGCGCTGTGGAACGTGGTCGGAACGATTCGACGTGAGGGGCAAATGCTCAAAAAAGGAGAGCCCAGAAAGACTTGAACACGGGCTCGCGGCCAAAAACACATCGTAAGCCATCAATCTCCAAACCGCTACACCATAATGTACATAACATTTGTTCACTCTCAAAGTATATAGTCCAGATAACGATCGCGAGTGTTTTATATTTCTCAGATCTTTTGATGATATAATCAAATTGACCTTTACATATTTTGTAGATTTGTTTTCGTTTTTTGTTTTTTGTAGTTTTACCTCAGTTTAGTCGAGGTTGAGATCCCGATTTTATGTTTCTTAGATAGGAATGAGATGCTGTCCAAGAAAGCCATAAAGGATTGTTGCAACACCAACAGCCACATTGACCAACATATTATATTTATAATTAAACCTTTCACCAGCGCTTAAGAAAGCGAGATGAGCCAGAAACATAGCCCTAAGGATGGATTTAAGTTGACTGGCGTAGTAAAGCCTAAGTTCGAGTAGAAGATGATGTTTTGCCTTGGTAGGATAAAGTCGAAAGAATCTCCCACAAGCCAAATAGAGACCATAGAGAGCATAAGCAGCGGCATTGAAGTAATCTAAACGTTTGGTCCAAGGTTTATCTCGACAATGAAAGATTGTATTTCAAATCCAAGCGTTCATCCCAACAAAGGTATTACCCCGGTATAAGTTTTGTAAAGGCCATGAATGAGGGATGGTAATGTTCAATTTATAGTAAGAGAATAGATAAGTAAGTAAATTAAAGATACTAAAGAGAGCAGATAGACGTTCCCAAATCACATGCCAACATCTGAAAGGCCATTTTCCATGAAACTGCACAATTCTACCAGGAGGTAAACCTTGGAGTTCAACACCAGGAGTTCCTATATTTGATTCCATTGTAAGTAGTGTTTCATCTTGAAATATTTAGTTCCAACATCCTTTTGAAATTTCTTGATTGATCGGAAAAGGCTTGGTACGCTTGATGAGTGACGAGAGCGAGTGAATAACACAAGCTATGGACACTGAGGTCCTTCAAGTCAACCGTTTGTTAATAAAAGGTCATTAGTGACCTTATAATCCACACGGTGTCTGTTCAAATAAGTGACAGTTTGTTACCGTTGGCAAACGGTGTCAAGTTCCTGACACCGGGTGACACGGTTTTCAATACAAAAAGGTGTTTCGGTGACGGAACACGTTTCTCGTCGGTCACTGACACGTAACTTTTGAAAACGTAACAAAAACCGTTCCAGGCCGAGGACGTTTACCCCCTGGTGTACTGTTTGTCAAGTTCAAACAAGTCAAGTGCAAGAAATTGATGGAGCAAATCTCACAATATCACAACACATAGAGCTTTTGAAGACAGAGTTCTTATTGATCATCCAGCGGAACTCAATGACATTCCAATTGAGGAACAAAGCTACATAGAATCTGTGTTTGACCTCACTTGGTTCAATAACTCTAATCAAGTATCTACAGATGTCATGTCAGTGGATGATTCTGACAATGAATCATGGGACAAAGATGATCTCTTCATTTGATTTTCAACATTTTCTTTGTCCTTTATTCAAGTAATACATCATCTGCAAGAATTGATGTTCCCCTTTCAACACTTTGAATAGTTCTTTTGTTCTTTTGCCATTTTTTTTTTTGAGTTTTTTTTGGTTTTGTGTACCCAATAGGTGCGCCCTTGGCGCCCCCACTATAGGTGCGCTGGGCGCGCCCTGAATCCAAACCCTGCGCCCACCACGTGAGTCACAACACACTCCATTTTTTTTCTCAAGAATGTGCACCTCATGTGCATGCACCAGGCACCTACATGTTGGACCTGACCCAAGGATAGAAGCTCCCAAACAGACAAGTTCTGTTTGGTTTTACCAACCCTCACCCCTCAACTCCACCCAGGGCTATGAACTGGCCCTGAGGGCTTGTGACTGGCCCCGGGGAACCGCCCAGCCCTGGGAGGCCTTGCTGCCCCTCAAAAATTGGGGAGGGCCAACCAAGGCACACCCTGAATAAAGGGGGACAGGGCTCGGCGGGGCAAGGCCCAATTTTGGGCACAGAAGGAGACAAAACAGGGCATGGATTGGCATATATTTCAGAGTCACTTGTATCTACTCATCAAGTATAGAGTTGTAATAAGCTTGTAAATGATTCAAAAAGCTTACAACTTCTAACACGCATCTACTAGACTACTATTTGATCAAGTTTGAGTGATAAAGGAACTACCTAAAGGTAAGAAGGAACAAGAACAGTACTTGTATCTACTATTCTATAACTACGAAGTAAAAGTAAAGAGAAACATTTTAACCAACTTTAAAAGTAAAAGTAAAAACTAAGAGAAAAGTTCTTTAATAAAATTTTGAGACATAATTGAGCCTTGATATTTTGTGAAGTAAAAGATGCACAGTGGTTGCTCATGACTCTCAAAGTGTCAGAGAAAGTTCTTTTGGATGGAGCACTAGTGGCAGGCACAGCAAGCATAGCTTTGGCCATACGTGCTAGATTGGGCCGGTGACATTGATTCGAACTCCAGTAATGCCAGACATCACATCACTCATCTTCTTGAGGAGCAGTTAAATACTCATTGACCTTGTGCTCAATGGTTATCAATTTGTGGGGCTTAATGAAGTGTTGAGGTTGATCTAGGGTGAGAGTTTCTTCTTGAGGTTTGACAATATTGATGTCAGGATCTTGAGCAGGTATGAACTTTCTGGCTTGATCAGTGAAATGTTTAAGTAAATCTTCTTGGCTCCAACCAAGAGACTCCTTGGTTGAAGCTTTGACCGCGTTGATTTTCAGGTAAGGATCAAGTATAGTAGCACATTGCTTTCTTTGGGGATGTGAACAAAGGGACAACTTTGCAACAAGTTTCATGACTGGGCAAGAGGTGAGCAAGACTGTAAGCATATGCTTATAGCAAGAGTGATCACTCAAGAGAAATTCCCCCGTGCCAGAACTGTGAAAATTTTCCCTCACTCTTGCACACCTGATCAACTCGCCAGTCAGGAATCTCAGGTTTCAAATTTCACTTCTCAAAATCCACTTATTGCATATTGAATGTTTCAAATACCACCCACTCACCCAGTGTGCTTGTAGGACGGCCCCTGCTTTGCGTGAGAAAGAAAACTTTCCGGATCACACAAAGCAGACCGGCCTGTGGCCGCCATCCCAAACGTCCTCCCCCTACTGATAGTGTAGGAGAAGGACAGGGTGGTATATGTAAGGTTACATATAGCAACCCACATATAGACATGAAGTCTAGAAACCGTTGCTCTCCAAATGGATCTGAGCAGCCTCTTGATAGTGAACAATTTTCTTCATCATTTATGGTATACAAATAATGTTCTGGAAATTTCCAGAAGATTTGTCCCAGAACGTCAGAAAGAAAAATTATAATGGTATCTGGCATTCTGGTGTTCTGGAAGTTTGAACGCCCCGGCAGTCCAGAATACCAGAATCCTGAGTACATGACTGTGACACAAAGTGGAACCTTGTTCACAGAAATATATTTTTCCGGAACACCAGAAGGGTTCTGGTGTCCTGGGAAAACCATTCTGGAAATCTCCAGAACAATATTTGTATACCATAATTGGCATGATACACTCTTTCAACTCCTTGCAGCTGGAGTTTTATCAAGTCTAATGATAAAAAAATAAATTAAAGTTAACAATGAAAACTAGAGAGGACCCCAGAAATCTCCAGGGAAAGTATCCAACCTAAAACCACCCAAATTGACCTTTTCAATACCCTGTGACACGGTAAATACCCAAAAATAAGACATAAACGATTCCGGTTTTGTCAATAGGTTCAAAAAGCAAAAATCACTAAAAATTTCCCAGGAGACCAATCCATTTGTTTTTTGTTGGTATGTACATCCAAAAGAGTGTGTTTTTGGGCTTTTTTTGGCCCAGGACAAATCCATACCTGTTACATTGGCAGGTCTGAATTCAAAAAACCTGATTTTGGCTCAAAAACCCAAAAAATACCTTTTTTGTTGGTACGTCGGTGTTTTTTTTTGACCCTCAATCCATTCCTTTTAGGTTGGGTACTTCACCTGGAGCTTTCCGGGGTCTTAACTAGAGAGAAGTGATGAAACACAAAAAAAACTCACTGCTTCAAGTTGTTTGACCAGCCATTGGTAGTCAGGAATCACACTCATGAAGGTTGGATGCTTGTTACCTTCAATGTCTTTGATGACATGAGCTAGAGGAGCTAGGAATTGCACAAGGGTCACAACAAGGACCTACTCATCTTCATCTAGTAAAAAAGGTTCAAGTGAGGTATCTCCATTGCATACGTAACGGACTACCAGCTGAAGTTCAACAAATTGTTTGAGGCAAGTGTGAGTTGAAGACCACCAAGCTGAGACCTTGTGGACCAACCCAACCTTGTGTTTGAGCTTGGAGAATCCCTGAGTGGCGCTTTCGAGGGCAGCTTTGAGTTGAGTACTGTTCTTGACTTGCTTGTGGAAAGAGCGGACACAAGGTAAGATGGTACTGATTTTAGAATGAGGAGTTGGCTTGATGAAAAGAGGAACAGGAGGTTGATTGGGGATTTGAGTATCAAGGGTGTTGACTACAGGAGGGGCATTCTTGCCATTGAAGACAGCTATTCCAGTTTCGGCGACCAGATTGATGACATGCACAACACATCTGTGGAGATTTTTGGAGGCATTGAAGCTGGGTATCATGGTCTGAAGGTGTCGACCCATAGTTGTGTTGTTTGAGGTGTTATTGGCAGTAATGCAATGAAGGTTATTGCCAAGGTTGAGCTTGTCCAGAGTGTGATGGTCCAGAGTGTGATGGAGTAGAGCTGCAAGATCGGATCTGGTGTGAGGTCCTTCAATTGGTTTCAAAGCAAGAATAATGTCGCACATGTTGAAGTTTTGGTCAATCCAATGAGCAGTACCACCAAGCATCGCGGTGTTACTGGGAGAAGTCCACCCGTCACACGTGATACTGATGTGTGGAATAGTTGAAAGCTCGTTGATGAAAGAACCTCAAATGGTTTGAAAATTCAATAAAATACCTTTGGAGACCACAGTTTGTTTCAACAAGATGGATGGTGTGGCGGTGTTAATCATGGTGTGGAGTTGCCGGAACTCAGGAGCATCAACGAGACAGATTGGGAGTTCCCAATTAACTACTAATTGGATAAGAGGCTTTTTGAGATTTGCTTGATTGAAAGGCTTGATCTTGAAGAGTAAAAGAAAAAAAGATGAGAGTGACAAACATTCTTCAAGGTGCCTTCACTATGTTGCTGAACAAAATAATGCCACACCCACAATGAGTGTGCAGTTGCAGTGATATTGGAGTTGACTTCAGAGATGGAATCTGAAGGAGCCATACTGCTGGTAGCTGGAGTACCTAATGTCAATGTGTTTGCAGCAGCTGACACATGTGCTGCGCGGAGGATTTGCAACAAGCTACGGGTGACAGGAGCAGTTGAAGCAGGCATTATATGGGAATTTAGAATATATTCTTTAAAAGGAATTGGAAATACAAGATATAGTAAAGGAAATCTATTGATAAAAGGAAGTCTAAAGAAAAGGAATATAAGAGGATCTACTTGAAGGTTAAAAGCTTATTACAATCCAGTGTCCAACATGTACAGTGTGATTTATGTAAGTGATTGGTTGAGTCTAATCTTGATGATAAGTGATGATCTTCAAAGGGTTTGTTGACAAAAGAGGCTCAGGCATTGGCCGGGCACCTGTTCCCGGGATACATACAGGGCCTTTGTGTGTCTCATCATGTTAGGTTAAGGTGTCCCGGGGTGTGGATTGCTGCCTTCTCAGATATCACCGGGCAGACTCGGCCGGGCGGGGCCAGGGCTGGGTCATAGCCCTAACTTCACCCCCTTGTGTAATCAATTCCTATCTCATTTGCCATGACCACAAACACCACAGCCAAAAACACATCACCTTCTATAGTCAAGTACCCCAATCCTATACCCACTCCTTGACTTGATCTCACATTTCTGAGTCACACAGCAGTTATCTGCACAGTTTTTCTGCCATCCATGGCTTCAAAATCAGCACTCTCAACCACTGCTCTCAACACCTGTCTACCCATATCAATATATAGGGTATACAAATATGGTTCTGGAAATTTCCAGAAGTGTTTCCCCAGAACACCAGAAGTTTTTTTTGGGTGTGTTCTGAACTTATGGTATTCTGAAGCTTAGAAAGAAAATTGTATTTATACCACCACCAACTCGACCCTCCTACTCAAATTGGCTTCCTTCTCCCTCTCTTCAAATTCCTCCATTCCAATTGGCTATCCACAACCTTCCTGCAAGCATACTTACTCAACTCTTGTCTACACAATTGTTAATTTGCAAAAGCCATTGGTAGTTCTAGGACATCTGCTCATAACAAATTGCAAAGCACCACCTATCCACCTCTCCTTGCTACTTCAGCTGACAAGCAATACCCTGCCACAAATTCCAAAGGCAACAATTTGATGAACAACAAATCAACAAGTCTCTCTTGGTCCAACTCAAAGCAAGCTGCCTCATCAATTGCTGGTTATATTCCAAATCTAATAAGTTCCTCAGGTCAAAAATACCTTATTGATCTCATAACCAAATCAAGGTTGCAATCTCTTCTAGTTCAACTCAAATAAATCAAAAAGATCCCAGCAACGCCCGAACCAATCCAACACAACACATTATGACTTTTCAGAGGTTTTCCATGTTGTATTGGCCAACCCACATATCCAGACCGATACCCAATACGATATGAGGATAAAAAAAATCCGGTCGGCCATATTGTGTCGCTGAAGCAATACAAGCCGATACCGTAATTAAAGATTGGTTGCAAGGCTTTTCAAGTAAGAAAAAGGCAAATTGCTTCCATCCTATATTGTGTTGCCGATACCCGATATGGGAAATCCTCACTCCTCATATTGGGTAGGCTGAACCGACATGGGAAAAACCAATGATTTGGTGTTGGTTTGGCGACACAAAACCAATCCAATACCAACATCCATGCCGGATTGGTTTGGGTGTTGATCCCAGTCTCACTCCTTCAACCTCACCCAAAAAGGCTACCAGTCCAATCCAAAAGCAAGAGGGCAAAATAGTGACACATCAATCAACATGGAAGATTGTAACACAACTCACTCACTTTCCCATCAAGACCAAAAAGACCTCTTCTGCTCAATACCACATCAATGTAATCTAGCTTCCTGACCCAATTCAGCTCCATCAAAATCTGGCATTCATCAAATGTCACCACAGCCCATGTTGATTGTGGATACAACTACAACTGAAGATTGTGAGTTTCTGTGAGTTTCTTGTTTGTTCCACTTTGACTAACAATGTGATACTTGTTACTTTATAGGTTCTTCATCTTTACCTATGGCAGAAGTAGAGGAAACATCAAAAGATACAGACAAGGCCCTGAAAGTGGTAGAAAATGCCTTGGAATATGTAGCTGACAAGTCACTCCTTGATTTCAAATATTCCTTCAACAATGCCAAGCTCCATCAACATCAAACCAATCCTTCAGTTCTTCCACCTCATTTTGCAAAACCGGATCAACTCAGAGTCTCAAAAACTTGCAAACAAAAAGCCTTAAAGGCCACACAGATAATCAATTGCAACCCAACTCCTGTCCCAGAAGAACCAGTACCCATTACAAAACCTCACAAATGGACAATGCCAAAGGCTTGAGTTTTACTCAATGTTGAGGAAGACAAAGAGGATCCAGAGAGCATAGAACAAGAAATATGTGCCAATAGATCTCCTCCTCCCCTTTCCCAAAAAATCCCAGGCCGTCGGACTAGGGCAAAATTGCAAAGACTATGCTTCCACCCTTCCACAGAGAGCCTTGACCCATCTGCAAGCATCTGCTGTTGCCAAACCAGAAGTAGGTCTCAAATTTATCATTCATCAAACTCGCCATAAGCTAAACTAATTTCTAATGCCACTCAATTTTTAGCACAGTTTAAAATTACCAAGCACAGCTCAACTTAAGGCTCAGTTTACTTGCCTCCTTTCAACAACAAACCCCTGCCAACATTCGACATTCAGCCAATACCCCCCCAGCCCTGAGCATCAGTAAGGCAAAAAAGAAAGTCAATACTCACCTTGCCCACTTTGCAGCTCATAAACACAAAGCCACACATTTCCCATCTTCAACCCTCCACTTTTGCTAGTGTCAAAACAACTGATGCAAGCAATTTCTTGGCGCAATGGCTCATGAATTGTGTACCAATTTTTTTTAATCCCTTTTGTACATCCTGTTCAATTCCTTTTGTACATCCTGTGAGATGCAATTACAAGTTTTGCATCTAGAGGCTGTCTTTCACTCTTACATCACTTCAAAAGTTTTTCTAGTTCCTCATTCATTGCTTCCCTTTTATTCCTTCTTTTTCTGTAATTTCTGTAACTTGTCCACTTCTAAAAAGTTTTTTTCTCTCTTTACTACTGCCTCATATTCTAGAAAAATTATATTGTCTTTCTTTTTTTTCTCATCTTCCTCAAATACTCCAGGGCTTTTAGCTACCTGAAGTGCCTAGTGACACAAATTGATGGAGATCAAGACAAAATTCAAGAAGTAAATTGCAATTTAAAAAAATCAAGATTTTCCAAATCCAAATGCAAGAGGATACACCCAAGCAAAGCAATCAAAAATTCTTATGAGAAAAAGAACACCTGATTTGAACCAAAGTGTATTGACCGGTATATATATACTACAAAAACATGTCCTTTGTGCTACTGATTAAACAACTGCCTGTGTGTGACTGGTGGCGATGTTCAAGCACAATGATCTTTAATTCTTTCCCCAGCGCCGTTCTTTCATACGCTTCAAAGGCTTTCAACTTTAGATATCGATCTTCTAAGTAGTTTACCATGATCATGCAGACAATCAATGCAGTTGATCTCAGCCACTGATTCTACAAATCATGACTGAAGTTGATAGGTTGCTTGTCGAGGTAAACTTCGTTTTCTCCTCCCGGGCTCAATATCGTCAATAGTTTCAGTAGTTGCTCCGTCACATAGGGCTTGATTTGCAGCTGGTAATGTTAATGAACTCAGGGAAGTGGGATTCATGACGACCACCCCTGCAAATCCTGCGCCTAGATGCCATCCAATATGACAATGTAAGATCCAACAACCTGTCAAAGGATTGGGTCAGATTATCAGATACGCGAATTATTTGAGTATGATGAAAACCACCGCATGAAAGAAAAATACATACCTGGATTGTCGGCAACTACCCTCACTACAATCAGGTATGAGACATTGAAGTGTTTCAGACATCCATTTTGTTAGAGGTTTATCAAGCACGTGTATCAACCAGACCGTATTATTACTACCACTCACAAACTACGTACGATCCACCTGCGACGACTTGAGTCTATCATGAGGCGAGGAAAGATATATAAGCGGCCTAACGGGTTTCTATGCTCAAGACCATCAAGACTTACGTCTCTTCTCAATGGATTGGTGGTATTATAGGTCAAGGAATCAGCGACCGATGTATTGAGCTCCCCAGTTCCACTCGCTACGATTTTGGCCTACGTGAAGTGTATTGATTTAACAAGGGGGTTCACTACAGCTTAGAGGTCGGAGTATACACGTACATCAACTCCATCTACACTCCAAAACACCAAAACACGTCAGTATACAAAACGTGTCACATTGTACGATGAGTGAGACTGCGACTCACGAAGATGGTATGGATGGTCAAGTGCAGAATCGAGATTGTTGATAACGATATCATAACATCCATTGGTTGCCATCGTAAACGCGGCGACTTCTGAAGTATTAAGGTATCCTTGTCCTCCTGAGATCAGTTCACTTAACAAAGGTTGATAGGTATAAGCTTGAAGACAACAAAATGTGATCAACAAACATTAGTACCCGGAAAAAAACAAGAAAGTGGAAAGGGGTTTTCAAAAGCTCACTTAACCAGGTTGTATCATTGACGAAAAATCGACCTCTGCTGGTAGTAGTTGAGTTTACAGTCGAGGTCACAAATCCAAAACTTGACTCATAGAATACCTAACAAAACCCAATCCAGTTGATCAACTTTATGTGGATGAATTGATATTGTAGATCATACTGAGAAATGTAACTTACGCGCCCCAAGACATTTGTGCATGCTTCTTCGGCAACTAAAGGTACTAAAGTATCAGCTTCCAAGTCAATACAATCGCCAGAAACAGTATCGGACCAATCAGTGGAAGTTGGAGTTGTAATTGTTGTATTATAAGTAGTGGCCGTAGAATTGACTACTCTGATTATCGCTCGAGCGGTTGCTGCATCTCCAGTCATTCCAGGTGCAACTTGAATGTATAACGAAAACGAATCACAGGCGGTTAAGAAAAGGGAAGCTCTGTTCGAAGAAAGTGATCATACTCACGCCAAGCCCCTGATTCCAGAAAATGCAATTCAAAACGCAATCTTCAGAAGGTTTCATGAAGACTTTATCAAGAAAATAAATTCTTACAGCAATCTGTGTCCATGGCTGCTCTAAGATAGAAAGTATTTCCAACGGTATCATTGCTTAAATCAAGAATTACACTGTACCTTTCTCCATTATCTGAGCACATCATCGAAAAATCAAAGGTCAAACCTCCAAGTACCGCTTACAATCAAATCACGTGACTTACGAAAGGGAACCCGATGAATTGCTGTTGGTCCGGCCACTCCAGTTGCATCTGCCTCTGTCACATTGAGTGTATGCTCATCAACTGATACTCGAAAAAGAGCATGAGATCCACCTTCTATGAGGCGAAGTCTAGTTTTCTGACCAGCATTAAGATCAAATGTCAAATAATCCGTTGGAGTTGTACATGTTGAACCATTATCTGCATTCGTGCAATCGAAATATCCGATACCATTGATCAAAGCCGAATTCTATTCACTCAAATAAATCAGAATAAGGTCTCCATAATATTTTGGAAAAAAGAGATATAGAGCTGCATATGGCTTACAGGAGATCTTCAAGCGGTTAAGGTCAAGAAAAAAATGTCAAATTCATTTTCGTAAACATCAGTCGCAAGTCCAATGCTTACGGTGCTGCAGATGAACCCATGTAACCCTCGGGTGAAAGTTGCTCTTCCAAAATCTGGGCGCCCATGCTATTTTTTAAAAACCAGCGGAAAATCACTATTGATCAAGATATTCAGTGTGAAGATGAGATCTGAAGATCTTACTTATGATACCAATCGCTGCGGAAGGAAGAAATGTAAGTATTATCAGTAATCAAGCAGATGGTCCGATTTTGTAGAATTGTAAGAGCTTACTTCATGAAAAGTATCACATCTTGATCATAATCAACCCCTCTTACTAACGGATCATTCACACTGTGAACAATGAGTGGCCCGGCCTACGGAGTCCAAGAATGATGAGCTAGTTTACACATTTTCGATTTTAATCAGTCTATTCTTACCAGACCGTCCGCCGCGTAGTTCTAAAAGGTGAATCAGCAGATTAGGAAACAATGTAATATAAGATAAAAACATTGTTATCATACCTGAGAGTGCGCATGATACCCTTTCAAAGATACCGGAAAGACAATATTAATCTATGCTGCGATTGAATCAATGAGATCCCACTCACAGAATGTGCCATATTGTCTGCTGATGGTAAATGTATACGTAAAGGTGCTACCAGCTGGAATTGGGCACTGGGTCACACCAGTAACACCATCCATCCATGCCGTACCATTTTGATAAATCTATGATTGAACCGTGTCGTCGGCAAAATGTCACAGTCAGATCTAACAAAGGAATTTACTTACGCCGTGCCAATGAATAGAAACAGAGTCACTCAAGGAATTTGTGACTGCAACATTGATTGTATCCCTTCGGCGGAAGAGAAATCGGCACGTTAGGAGCTGCCAGACACTCCGAAAAGAACGGACGAAAAACAGATAGCTACTCACCCTTCCTTCAAAACCAAGACGGAGAAATTTTTAGAAATTCTGTCAGCTCTCGCCTCAAAAACATCGCGACCTGATGAATATGGCTTGAGTTGACACCCACATTGGCTTCTATTAAGGGCCCAGGAAACTGAGAATTTATTACAAGCATATTTCTAAATTATATCATTAGATCTTTCAGTTCCTTTGTACGCTTAACTACACTCTTCAAATGACGCTCACCTGGTGTATCCATCTGGAGCCGCCGTTTCATTACTTTAAACCGCAGTTTTAGTAAGACACTCACTGACGAATGGCCTCGATGAATGAATCATATGGCTTTGAATTGGACTTACGTCAGAGTCCACGCGTAGTTCCTGGTTTGAGCAGTCGAGGTAATGTTGAAGTCTGCGGAGAGGTAAAGCTCTGAAGAGTTGACCGTAACAGAAGCATAGCAAGATAAGAAGAGAATGAAGAGTAATGAAGAAACCACAATTATTCTCTGGTCTAAACTATAGCCTGGCATCGTCGTGTTTTAGGTATCACAAATAGAAACTATCAAAGGCTTTACTCTCCTTCTACCACTTATCACACAGTAAATCTAAGATGTACGGCCCTTCGGAGGAAGACTGATTCGAGGGGGTGATGCCATATATACCTTTGTGAACCACTCAAGCTGGCCACTCATTGCACGGCTTGAACACAATTTTGTTGGCAAAATACGCGTCGCATAACCGCCGCTTCATCACAACATGACTGCGGATCTCTGATCAGGATAGGAGATTTTGAGGCGATGAAAAACAAATGTCCCCACTGTAAGATTGTATGTTAATCTTGTAGAGCTCTGCAGAGAACGAGCCATTTCTGCCTGACAGCCGATGCCGTAAGCTGAGGGTCCAAGGCGGTGCGTCATGAGGTTTGTCTTGAACATTGATCTGAGATTTTGTTAAGAGCCGAAATTGTTCTTATGTAAACCATACCCTAACTCATGGCGTAATCACGCGTGGATCGTCAACAACTGATCTTCTCTCATTCGGCCGGTGGTGGAAGATTAAGAAAATTCGGGAGCATACGCAGCAAGTGCAGCTAGGTCCTGCCAACTCAAGCATCCACTTGGTTTGAAAATTTCAGTTGCACATGATTGCGGGTGATAAGAACTTCTAAGATTATATTCACCTAGATTTGAGATCCTCATATCTCCTTCCAAACCCTCTTCTCATTTTCTTTCCAGCCGGAATCTGATCGGGGAGACGCTAAAATGGCTCATACATCTCCTGAACCTGAAGACAAAAAGCAGCCCAGAATTGGCTTAAAAGTGTTTCCCTCGACTTGAAATTTGAACTTACAAAGCTATGCTCACAATGAATCGTCTGCCTACCTTCCCCTTTGTGTGCGCCATTGCACTTCTACTAGTCAATTCTGCCATTGCTGCTAACCTTGCACAATCTCGCGCCTTTGGAATTTCTCGCGTTTGTAATGGCTCTATCGCTTGTTCGCTCATCAATTCCAACTGGCCGACCAACAAAGACTTCACTTGTGGAAATGTTTGTCGACGTTTATATCTATCAACCGCACATCTAGTTAACTTTTTCTCAACATTCAGGAAACTATTTCCTCGATCTCCTTTGCTTCTGCCTATCCTTACATGATGATGGGGGAGGGAGTCTCGATGGTAAATTCAAGTAGCTCATGGCCCTCTTCAGTCGCGTCCGATTGTCAAAATAGTACAACTGCCGACCGATATCAATATAAAAATGGTAATGTCAAAAATTCTCTGGCTCAGTTCGATTGAATTCGGGCTGAAGAGGATTTTTTTGTGACAAAAACCAGGAGTTTGGAATGCTTACTATTCGATCGTCGCCAATTGCGGCTGTACTGGGACCGGAGAAAGTGCACTTCCCAATTGCACTGCTGCTACCTCCCAATCGAGTGGAGCTTGCAATGTCGCAATGTTGAGCTCAATTCACCTAAGGATGTATTTTTTATACACGTAAGATTCTCACACTGACGTATTCCGCAATCACAGGTTCACATTCTGTGCGATCGAGATGAACGATGTCCTCTGCACCTACACGTAAGGTAGCCTGGAAGAAGAGCTTCTAAAGCCTGTACACATGATAGCCATGCCTTATGTTCAGGTTGCATCTGTCCTACAAACCATGTATCCCCTTGACCTACTCCACTGCAGTCTGCTTACCCTTACATCCAATGGACAGCTCGAGTGCAAGAACTCACTTGCCAATGATGCACATCTTGATTTATTCTTCTTATAATTTGTGCTATTTTGAAACTGGTACACCAAATCCAACAGTGTTGTTGATTTATATGCAAGAACAATTATATTAGAGTTTGATCCTCTTTGAACCCAACTTACAAAGGCACGACTAAAGTGGAATACTCCATGTCAGGTTATGGGCGCGCTCATATTTGTGTAGGCGCGCCGGGGCGGGTTTTTTTGGATTTCTCGCGCCGAGGCGCCACTTGACGCGCCGGGCGCGTTTTCTTACAAAAAAAAACGCCAAAAGCCAAAATGTTGTTTTCATATTGTTATTTATTCTTATATGTTTGTATTGCCAGAGCTACATACTACAGCAGAATTCCCTTTTTAAGGTGAGAAAAGCTGAAAAGAGCTGTCATCAAAGCTCACAGCAAGTATCCAAGTCTCCAATATTGGTAACAGGACAAAGAACTCCTACAATTTGATGTGATTCTTGAAAAGGTGTGCCAACCCTCATTTTGTTGATTTTTCCAACGCCTAGGCGTGCCAAAGGTGTGTTTTTTGCGCAGTGCTCACAAACTGAATCCCAAAACTAAAAAAAATCTGTATTGGAAATTCCAACTATTGAGGTTTTTGATCATCATTCATTCACATTCCGAGTGATACCACTACTATAAATTTATTAACTTGATTGTCCTTTTTTTGGATCAACCCACTCACCCAGCTGAGTACTTGAGCCGGGGCTTTTGAGAAACTGGAGTGTTCAGTATCACACAAAACAGCCTTGGGTGGGTGCTCCGCTTCCCCATATGAGGTTGAGATTTAGCCAAGAGATTGGACAAGATATACATGTAGGTGGTTGTTAAGATATTCTATCTTATTTAGGCGGTCAAAGATCATTTTCCTATTTTGGATAGTGGTCAGGTTGGAATGGTGGATGTATTGTGTGTATGTAATCAGTTTTAAACAGAAATGTTGTGGGGCAAGGTTAGCATTAATTGGACAAAGGGGGTTAGCTGGTAAAATTGAATCAAGGGGTGATGGAGAATTGTCTTTTTTGGGATATCTGTTTGCTCTTGTAGTTTACTTACCCCCTCTTTTCTGATTCTTTTTGTGTCAAAAAGAATCAGTGAATTTTCCTCAACTTTTCATCATCATCTTTGTTTCTCTACTTTATTATACTCATATATTCACTCTCATAATAGATTTCATTTCATTTTGATTTGTTCTTAAACAACATCCTTTTACGTGTGCTCTTCAATTCCTTTTGAGCTCACAGGTTAGTCATTGGCCTAAACATAGACCCAGCAGTTGAGCTATAGTCTTACAATGAACCTGTGCCCTCAGGATTTCCCTTTCTGTGCTATACACTTTTCTTTGTAGATACGTCTAGTCAGGATCCTCAGGATTTTGTATAAATCCTTTTGTCACAAACATTATAGTGGTCAAGTAGGAACAAAGTTTGTATAGAGACAGAAATGAAATCTGATAGACAAAGTGACCAAACAACTTCCCATAAGAGAATGGAAGCACAAGAGACTGAAAGGCTTCTTGCTCTGACCAAAAAATCAAGTCTTCCACTACATACAGCTAATCAACAGCTAAGATGAACTGATAGAAACCATAATATATGAAAGTTAAAGTGGAGAAGAGAAAACAATAGGGTTGTGTGCATTGTATTTCTATCCAAATGAGTGCAAAAGAACACATTACAAATTATTCAAATATGAATAATAAATTGAGCAAAAATCCCTGTGAGCCTCATTATTACATCATTTTCAAATTCCTGTTTTCAGTTGATGTTCTGTGCACACAAGCATCACTACTTAATTAATACAATTATTCACCCATCTGGTTTGATATCATCCCAGACCGTCAGACCAGTGTTTTGTTGAATCCAGTTTAGTTTTCAATTATGAGACATCAGATTTGCTCATCAACCAACCCTTTGTCCCAACTGGGAATCATTTTGCCCTGAGCCTTTCACATCATGTTTGATATATAAGTAATGTCTGTGATAAAAGCAAAACTGAAAAGAACTTATTGAAAAATATATTTCATTTGAGAAATTACGAAATGGATTTAAATTGAAAGAATAAAATGGAAAAAGAATGTATTCAACAAAATAGGTATTATACATCTCATAAGATAAGTTTACTTATAAGTATTTATTATACTTGAGCTTATGTTATCCAGGAGATGAGTTATGTCCGTACTTATGCCCTGGCTGACATATAGAGAGGATATTCTTGCCAAAACCATGAAAATCATACATCTTCCCAAGTGGGAAGGGAGAAATGACTAGGAGTAGAATTGTTTGTAGAAGGGTTTATCACTGCACACCTGAGCCATAAGATCCACACTACATATGTGCAGAAGGCTGAGTGAATAGGTGGCCATCATGTACATACAGGTCTGTTCAGGTGCCTGCCCATCTGGATATGTGAATTGTATGTAATAGCCGTGTTCAAACCTAGCCCGGTTGACACAAAAACCAGGTTACCCAGTTGCTTTTCTGGTGGTAACTTTGTGTATCCATTGACAGTTCTTGACAGCTTCCAGCCACAAAGTCCACCGGGTCAACTGATTTTTTTAAAACCAGGTCAGGTTTGAACGCGGCTAATTAGGGTTGTGACCTGGACCCAGCCCTGCCCGGCCAACTCTGCCTGACGTCTTCTGCAGAGCTGACGGTACGCGCCCCGGGGCATCCAGTTCCTGCTCCATGACAGCTGAATATGGCCCCGTGGGCGCTCCAGGCGGCTCGGGCGCCCAACCCGGCCGGGGTGCCAACTCTTTTTTTGCCAAAAAAACGCCTTCACACTAGTCTCTTACTGGCCCTGATTGGCCCTGAGCAGTTTTCAGAGGTCATAGGGCTCACTCAGGGCTAAATTTGGCCCCGGGGCCGGCCCTGAACTTTCAGGGCCGGGTCACAGCCCTACGGCTAATGCATGCTGTAACTTTTTCAGCTTGACAAAAGCATTCCGTTCACTACATACATTGATTCAAAGTCTTGATGTAATTTCATTGACTAAACTTCATTTAACACCCTTTCAGTTACTACCAAATGGCTTCAAGAGTAGTGGCAGACTTGTTATGGAGCTATATGTAGTCAATTTTTAGGACAATTTTGACAAAGTGAAAAAAGTTACATGTTGTATCACATGTGATTTACTCATTTTGATGAGCGGTGAACTGAGTGGACCTGTATGTACATGATAGCAATCTGTTTACTCAGCCTGCTGTAAATATGTAGTGTGGATTTTATGGCTCAGGTGTGGAGTGAGAGATCCTTTTTTGACAAACTATACACTTGATCATTTTTCCATTCCCAAAATCACACCCAATTGTTACAGTGCATGTAGTATGAACTATTGCATAAGAATATATCAATAAAATTCACAATAGCCGTATTCAAACCAAACCCGGTTGCACAAAAACCCGGTACACCCGGTCAACCTTTTGGCTGGAAGCTGTCAAGAGCTGTCACTAGATAAACAAAGTTATCACCAAAAATGCAACTGGGTGTACTGGGTTTTTGTGTCAACCAGGTTTGGTTTGAACACAGCTAATATATTAACACTAGAGATCTTTACTCTTTGAAAAATTGGATCTCACAAAAAATATGGGATCTTATGCCTGACTGTAACAAAAAGTTTCAGGGTTTAGAGTGTCTTGCTTCATCATATTGAGCTACATTTGACCTAATGTACCTTTAGGATATCCAATCAAAGGCAATACAACATCTTGTATAGTGTATGATTGGCATCCAGCTTCATTGTTCAGCACTTTCACCTGTGTAACTTTGTCTTATAGGTCATAAAAACACCCATGCATTAGCTTCTGTGAAGATGTAGAGTCAGAAAACTACACAATTTCTCTTGTTGCAGTCTTGTTGTCACCATCCAGTGCTACTTCTACAATATCTTTCCCGCCAGTTGTGACGGCAGGTAGATCTTCAATGGCAGGCTTCTCTGACTCACACCCATACAGCTGCACTCTTTCTGATAAGACATAGCTCCATATGTAAGATTGGTAGATGTGCATATAAATCATATTCAAATTCTTGCAGATCTGGAAAGATATGAAAGATCAAGAAAGTCAGTGTTGATCAAGCAATACCAACTTGAGGACAATGCATCAATACCAGCCACTCACACTAGCTAAAGCTCCAAACTTATAAGTGAGTCCATCATTTTTGCTGAAATCTTGTAAAGCTAGAAATATTAAAGGATATAAAACAAACAGATGTGTATGAAGTTTATTTCTCAAGTTTTCATAGAAAATTTGATTCAGCTACATTGCTCCGCCACACATCTTCTTGGCATAACTTCCATATTAGCTTTAGCATCTTTGCTTTGTTCCCAAACCAAACAAGCATGTTCAGCATCTTGAGTTTCACCTAATTCCTTTCTTATCATACATTCATCTGTGACCTTTTGTGACCCCTGACCAGACCACAACACCAAATGCTTACACCACAAAGGTCCCCAGGTCACTGACAAACCCTGTGGAATAACTTTATTCAAAAACACCCAGAAATGATAATTAAACTTACACTCTCCAAACATTCAGAACTTTCAACAATTTTTGAGTTCTCTCTGATTTGATAATAACATCCATTTATGGCAGGGCAAAGACCAAACCTTTGGATTGACTGGTGTTTTTTATCTTTTCAGTCTAATATATATCAGCTTCTGGCTTGCCTTGAATAAGAAATAAAATGTATAATTCAATTTCTAAACTCTGGGAAGAATCTAACAAATTATAACCTTTCTTATAGTATGAATGTGTGTGTCACAAGATTCATGATATTATGAGAAGTATATAATCAAACTTAATTAGCAAATGACGCAAATAAAATATCAATTATGGTGTATGCTGAATGACTGATCTGACTAAATGAAATTTCAAAATTAAGACAAAAGATTGAAATGAAAGAGAAAGTAATGTTTTTGGCTTGGACTACCTATTTGGTATTCATCTAGACATCTTACGACTCCGCCTTTGATTAACGTTTTTTGCCTGACCCAAGTTGGAACTTACTATTTTTGACTTTAATTCAGCTCCATTGGAATTTGCAGCACCAACACCAGGTTTTCCGGTAGGATTAGGGTCCTTGTTTGGTTCACCTGGTTTACCACAAGAAGGTTGAGCATTCTGTTGTGCTGGCATTGGCATGATATCTGGCCATGCAGGTGGAAGTTTGAATCCCGGATAATCCTTATCATGAGCTGGTGTATAAGACGCCCTGTTTGGAGTTCCATCATAATATTCTCCAGTATTTCCATCTTCCCATCCGAAAACTCCAGTCTGGGGATTAGCAATCGGATTAGTTCCTACTATTAGTGAGATAATGAGAAGATTGATTTAGTTGGGGTAAAGGCAGAATCAGACTTCAGTCCAATGACATAAATCCAACTGGAAATTGATCCTTGGGAAGCTTACTCACATCCTTTGAAACCTCCAAGATTACTGGGTCAAGAGGACGAGACGAGAATGAAGTCATGGTCAGTGTTTACCGATGCATATTACAGATCATGCATATTACAGAGAAGGGGGATTAATCATGTAATATACTGACTGCCAAACAAAGATGTGTGAGTTAGTAGGGTCGGACACAAGCTCGCCGATCGGTGGGAAGGCCGAAAAGTAGCAACATGTTCCATACGACTACAATCAAATCGGGATTTGTGAGACTTTCGAGGATACAAGATGATTTGATCTTGGTCGATAACTCACGCAGCCATGATAGGTATCTTTGGAATGGTCAACAGTGAATATTGCCATGAATTGAACTGTTGTTCCCAATTCATTTTTGGAGGAGATGGACAACGATGAGCGATTTGATTGGATGATCACTGGAAACTCGGAGGGATAAAGACTCACTATCGGGGAACACATTGCGCGTGTTATGCTGGAACAAGTGTATCAAAATCATGTACCGGTACATAGAAGTGAAGGGAGTTAGTTTAGATATCATCGAAGAAAGCTTCGAAAGAAGGTCGACTCACCGCACACTCAGCCACTTGAATATCTTTGGAGCAAGATTTTGCTATGGGAAACAAAACGAAACAAGTCATGGAAATTCAGTGATTCCATGATGGAAAGAAAATTGCCTTATAAGCTTCCAGAAAAACAGACGTAAAAAATATATTTACGTGGATTTGTGGATAACCATCCTGGAGAGACGTTATAGTCATGTACAAAACCTGTAGCTTCATCCCAATTGGCTTGAACTAAAGTCAAAAAGAGGCACCAAATGGCCAGGATTATTGATGGTGTAGAGGTGCTGGATTTCATGGACATTTTTTAGGACTTGAAACAGAACAGATCAAGCAGAAACCCGAGCAATGCGGTTACTGGTGAGGTCTGATCGCTGATACAAGAAAGTCAAACCAATGTTGTCAATCAAAAAAACGCGCTGAGCAAGTTGAAGGCACAACATGAAACTTGGAGAAAGTGGGACATTCACAATGTGAATGAATCTTAGATGAATACTACGGGATCCGAATTCTTTTAGGATCACATGAAGCGAAAATGCAGAAATTTTCAGTGATCAGCAGGTATCCCGTTTGCTAAAAGAATCAATATGATGGTAGTGCACTGGGACGAGCATATCTCAGCATCCAATCATAGCGCGCAATCCAAGATATGCAGACCAGGCATCAGTGATGGGGAATCCCTTGCCTGGGCTCGTGGACTGAAGTGACGGATGTCATAGCCGTCGAACAAGGGAGCGCACATGCATCAGTGAGCTTTAAGAAATTCCTCACCTTGTCGATTCCAGCCCGTGCGATGATGAACGTTCTCTTCAGGATAACAGTCGATAAAGGGTAATAAAGCTCAGTGTGACCTGGCTCCCAAGAGGAAAGCGAAATGAGCTGATCTATGCTAGACTTGTCTGATCATAGCGCTGACTTCATCGCATTCCTAAACCAACAAAGAGCCAGTGTGCTAAGCCTAAGGCGCCGAATGAAAAATCCAGCCCCCGTCGTAATTCAGTGGTAGTTCATTTCAACCTATTTCAACCATAAGTGCCATTCGGATATCATGGTTGAAACAATACCAAAGCCCCCACTTTTTACCACTGTGCTCATGACACAAGCAATTCTGGTTTGTCCTATATACATAACCATATGGTCATTTCGAAGAGCACTCCCGTTTTGTCAAACTACACACTGTATCACACTCATTTGTGATACCACAGGGGTACAATCCTTCCTATCACACCTCGGGTCAAACTATCAGGATAGCCAGAAGTCCAGGAAATAAAATCCTCGCTAGAATCACAGAGCTTCAATGTGAAACTTTGGAAAAAGTTGATTAGTCTAACACTTCAGTTATGTCAATTTCAATGAGGACCCAACCAACGCGATGCCAAGTCATTGTCCAGGAAACAAGGGCCCCCAACTCGAGAGAGAAGATCAACTAAAACTGAGTTCGCAAAATCTTGTGCCGATGACTCTATCTACAAGAACTTATGATATACTGGCATCTCACACGCAAAGTCAAGATTAGATGATGTGGAAGAGTTAGTACGACAAGATACTACATAGTCATCATCAATCCAACCTTTCTAGGATCTCTGTTAGCAGTCGTCTCGAATAAAAATCGGTAAAGTTAGGTAGTCGATTGATCAGATTTGCAAAAAGAAGACTTTTGGCGCAAGAAGTCTAGATTTGACCAATGAGTGGAATTGAAGTCTCAATGATGAACCATGAGCTAGAATCCAGTTGGATAAATCTCTCGTTTTTGTTTATTGTAGTGGCCTGTAACCTACTTCACTTCTTCCTCCTTGATATTTTTGGAATTCATGATGAGCAAGTCGAATAGACGTAAGACTTGAGTGTGACTTTTGAGAGTGTAATGGCATTGAGGATCATATCACAAGAATTCAGATTCTTTACATGTACAAGAACCCTATAGCTGCCTTCTTCCGGATGATATGAAATAGCGATTTTTTCATAACAATTTTTCTTGATAATCGAGAGTAGAAAAGTGCCTTTGAGCCATATCCACAAGACATTTGATCTACAAAAATGATGAACTCATTCAATAGTGATATAAGACTTCCCATCTGAGGTGAGTATATGCTCCATTCCAACAGAAAACGAAGTCCAATCCGAATGCGAGGCTTGAGATACAGTGAAAGACGAAGATCCTGCAAAGGTATGTTTTGGTACACTGAAAGTGTAATCACCACTACCCGAACCAACATATTTGTATTCAGGTGCATCACCGTTCCATCTGATGCCTACCTTTCCATCACCTATAGTCACTTCACTGCCATATTTCCAAAGAGTCGTACCACATGAACCAGAGCTTATCAAGGTTGTAAGGAATAAAATGGATCGAAATATGGTACGTCCAATCATCTTATTGATCTGATCACGCGGGTTGAGAAGGTAAATCAGTTTTCTATAGCTAAGAATGACGGGACGATGAATGATTGGGAGAATTTCTCAAAGCTTCAATACTTACGCTTGAGTTCTCAAGTCACAGGGAAACGTGGATCGTGGATCGTGGATTAAGAGATTGAAGATTGAAAATCCAAGTGTTGTTGAGCGTCTGTGAGATAGTATACAAAATAGATCTAGTCAGTTTTAACAAAGGCCCTCAAGAAGCGCCGATATTTCGCACATATTTTACCAAGGAAGCAAGACCCGCGCAAACAATTTTATTTAGATCAGCCCTTTTTGTAGGCGGTAAGATATGCCAGTGGTGAAAAAGAGCAATTGAAGTTGGATGAGAGAGCCAGGCCTCCAAATGGATTTGTAATCACGGAAAGGTAAGGAGCTGGAGCTGGATCCATGCCTACTGATACTTTTCTTTTTATACACCATCCTGATCGCTCAACTCTAGAAAAAGGGGTGACTAACTCGCCGGTACAACGTTCTTCAAATTGCGGGAACGCAAAAACTTGAAATGAAGATCAAGAGTAAGAAACCAATGTTGGATGATGGGTTTGAGACTACCACCGCAATTAGAACACATATGGTTATCATCAATAGCAATTCACCACTATTACTACAACTACACTTTGTGATGTTTATGTTCGAGACAACTTCGAGATGTTTCTTAGGGAACCTCATCGATTAATTTTGATGGTGAGTCATTCACATCAACCTTGATAACATGAATTCTCTTCTTTGTGTCAGATAACCCAGACTCTGGCGTAAGTGTCAGAGGGAATGATGCAGGCTTACTTGGTCACTTGTGTAGTCTAGGCATCGTTATCATCATTTCCAAGTTTACGCATCAACAATCCAAAGTTAAACCATCCGGATGATGTCTTTTTCAGGTAGCTTTTGTTTCAATACATCAGGATATTGTGGAGCGCGGCCATCGATTGTCAGTCGTCCTTGCGTGACCATGCTTCAAGACTAGGAGAGAGGCCGCTAAACTATCCTTCATGATGCAAGGCGATTCTGTGAACTGACACATATTTATGTGTATGTATGGCTGAGCTGTGTATTGGTAACATGTGTAGATCCGCATCGCCATAATTTTCTGGATGAAGTCACTGGTAATCTCGAAAGTCTTCAGTCCACTTGAAGATGTCCATCATCATCACTCTCATAGTAAGTTCTCAACCTTCAATTTCCAGAAAAAACTACATCCTATCAAATCAGCTAATGGTAATTTTTTGTTTATTCGTTCATCCTTTGTCAATTAGCGTCATGGTCAAAGTTGAGTATCCAGCATAGTCACCCTAAAGAAGACCAACGTTTGGACGCTAACTTTACTCACTGGATCATCTTCATAGCCAATGATAATTTGAATCAGATCATTCAAGGTCAAAAAGATACACCTTTAAACGATCATGGAATCTCTCAAGCAAAACTCACTGGAACTTATTTAAAACAAACTTCCATCACATTTGATGAAATCTGGAGTAGCGATTTACAAAGAGCTCACAAGGTAATCGAATCCTACTTGAAAACCTCTCTAGAACTTATTGAAATCGAAAAGAGACCAATTCAATTATCTTGGTTGTACATGGAATTTAGACTGCGACGGTGATTGCTGAATCGCAACCTAAACCGATCAATGTTCAAACCGATGTCAGATTACGGGAGCGTGTAAGTCATCATCATAAGGTTTCCAAGATCAAACGATCTGATTTTATTCTAACAAACTTGGTTTTGTTTTTCTGTAGTTCCTAGGTGATCTACAAGGAAAAAGACGAGACGCAAATGCAGATCAATCAACAGCAGAACCTCCAACAAAAGTTTTGCAACGGTTACTAGAGTTCTGGAATGAATTAACATCACGTTTAGAAAGCACACCTTCAAGAAACCCACGTCGGATCTTGATTGTCTCACATGGTGCAGCACTTCGAACTTTAATTCAATCAGGATTAAAGTTGTCCTACAAATTTGATTCATCTATTCCTGAACGTATCATGTTTGGAAATTGTTCAATCACTGATGTTGAACATTTACCGAGGAAATTGGTCACTAGAGCTGGTCATGTGAAGCATTTGGATCCAGTTGAATCTAAGGAGACTGAAGTAAAGGGTACAGTGGATGATATTTGATCAAAGACTAGTTCCGCGGGATTAGAGTTGGTCTCGAGTTTCCATTTAGAGGCTTCAAAAACATCATTGATAGCTTTTTTGCATCTTCAACTTTGAGGTCGGTACTTTTCCTCTACTCTGATTTCATCAGGAGATCCGAGAAATTTGTCTCCTCTGGGACATTTTTCTATAGCCAGCTTAATCTGCCTGTGGTAGATTGGATGGACGCAGTTTATCGATCAGTAGCTCATTGTCAATTGGAATACATCTTTCTATAGAATTTCAATCGGATTTGTCCAGACTTCATTACTTGTATATTATGTTCATACATCATGTCTATTCTGCATCAGTTTGATCAATTTATCATAGAATTTCTTATCCTGCTTTGAAACTGGATGACTGTTACAATCAATTTTACGTGGAGAAGACACCAGAATAGAATCAACATAAAAATCAGTTTACAGATCATGATCGATTTTCATATAATCATGTGAATTGATCATGGGCTCAGAGTTAACAAATCAATGTTTTAATCAATTTGCAAATCACGAATAATAGGTAAATACTACAAGTTATTAAAGATCTTGCTGATGAGGTACTAAATCCTTAAAATATCCGCACTTCTCACAAGGTTTGCCTGCGTCGACATAAAGCAGCAACGATAGTGATATCGTCCACTTTACCTCCTGTCATATCATGAATCCCATTCCGTCGAGCTTCCGCCTCGAATGGAGTGAGCTTGTCAGTCTAAACATAAAGGTCAAGAAGTCAATTCACAAAGTTGATTAACAAGGATTTTTGGAAAAAAAGATCAATGCGTTGATTGTTGTGCTCACCTTGAAACTAACTTTTCGAGCATAATCACATAAAGTTCTAACTAAATCATTCATCATCTCCACATCATCTTTTCCACGACTCATTAATTTTTGTACAACATCTGAAATTTCTTTTACCCAAAGATTATCAGCCATTCCATCTGTCAAAAGGATCACCAGATCACCATCTTTCAAATCTTGTGTACCTATCGAAGCTTTTTGAGGTTGATCAAGTTGTTTGAAATCTTCTGGATTCCATCCTTGTTCCTTTGGTATCTTAGTAAGTTGAAATGGACAATTAAAATAATGAGTTTGTGATTCGGTTGAAATCAAAATCTTCGTAGCCTTCTCTCTCAGAATCAAAAGTGTAGAATCACCTAAACAAGCCCATTGAGTTGAGGGTTTAAACGGATTAAGTTGTGCTAAGAGTGCAGTTGAAGAACCACCAGTGATAGCTGAATCATTTAAAACGGCTTGATATGCATCGCTGAGTGTACGAAGGGGCGGATGAGAAGGATTTCGCTCAAAGAAATATGAAGAGTAAAACATCAATCCTTGAGCTACTTCTGCTGGATCGATTCCATCTTCTGATTCCCATCCTCCTACTCCATCAGCCACACCTAATGAAAGTAATCTTGAATGATCATCTTTTTCAATCAACCACCAATCGTGACCAGAATGAGTTAAGGTTTTGAATGAAGATGGTGAGTTTTTTGTATTCGAATGATGTGAGATCATACGATCATGCCATTGTTTCTTTTGTTTGGTGACCCATTTTTGATATGCTGGAAGATGTTTAAGTGAAGTTTGAGGTGTATGATGATGATGATGATGATTCTGAAAGCTTGGGATTTTGATGAGTTTGGATCTCCTTTTGATGAAGTCCTAAGAAAGATCAGCTCACAATCGGCTTTCCAGCAAAATAAGATGCTGTAATGAACTCCCAACCTGGTTCGGTTTTGGTTTCAGTTGATGATTGAGTTGAATCTAGAAAAAAAAATGTAAACAGTTTCTTAGATTCTTCAAACAACAAAATATCTCAAATTCTTGAGATCATAAATTGAGATTATGCTCACATAGTGATTTAGGATAAATGGAGTCGAGGTTATTTCTGGGATATTGTGATAAAGTGCTAGGTTTGAATTTGAAAGTCGGATTATAACATCGAATCAATCGAGGTAACTTTTAAATCAAAACATCAAGTCATAATTAGTCAACATTCAAAGCTTTGCAACGTTTTCTGAGTGAATTTGTCAAACAAAATATGCTTACCTTGGCCATTAAAACTTTACTAGGAGTTTCTTTTTGGTATATTTCTTTTAGAACTACGATCAGAATGATTTTCAAATTCGATCGATCATTATCATCGGATCGAGTACTACTGGCCCCGAGATACCCGCTTCCAGAAGAGAATCGGGGCACCCATCATTCATCATCCATTGAGGTGGTTTCTTCACATTTCCTCATGATCGGCTTCAATCCCACATCAGAAAGGTGAAGAAGATGTGAATCATACAGTGTTTCTTATAAATTTTGACCCAGTTTTCTTGCAATATTTGAGCAAATTAGCGGTACATTTGGGGCATAAAGTCGTGAAAATGACTGTAACAAAAATTAGACGAAGGACAAGTTCAATATGTCAGTCTCTTTGGGTATCTGGCCAAGCTTATCCGTCTCTCTATCAGATCGATTCGTGGAAATGTGGATACATAGTCTCACGAAAGAAAGCAAAAAGTTTGGTATAGTCTTAGAGCACGGCAGTTTCAGCTACGTGCCTATCTTTTTGCACTTGCATCCAGGCAGAACGTTGTTCATTACGTGCACCGTAGATAGTCCTAGGAAAATATCCAGGATTTTGAATCCGCTCAAGATCGTTTTGCGTGTCTTGTTTGATATAAGGCTCTTAATTTTTTGTGATTTTTGTGAAGCATTTTGACTTCCTCCGAGTACGGTAAATTGTGGTCCGCCAACCGCGCGACGTGGAATCATCAAGAGGTAAGAGTTATATCATAAATTCCACAAAGCTTGTACCTTTCCAAGTTAGAGGCCTATATAATCTCTGAGCTCAGCGGATCGGTCTGTCGGTGATGTCCTTCACATAAGTCGATTATGAATCGCCACGGTCACAAGAATTGGCGGTAAAGGACCAGGTGAGCAACTTGAATTCCCGGAAGCTTCATTTCTTACCGGCTCAGGAACAGTCGCTGCGAACATAGGTTCAGAGGTAGAAGTATTCAAACAAAGGTCAATTTCTTTGAACAAGACATCAAGAGATGGCGCGTTTAAAGGGCATAATTCATTAGTTCACGGCATAGATGTAGTGGTCATGGGGTGCCTGAAGGGAGAACGATGCACTGGTAATGAGTCTGAATTCTCTGGCTGGTGAACTACTTAAGCAACCCATTTCCTCTTCGGTTCCCCCAGATCGTTCCACCAAAAATCTTCAATCTCTCTTGCACCTCACGCAACATATCCTTCTTCCTTATATCCTCCTTTGACAAACACCTTTCTATCGATTTATTCCCATTTCTTGCGGAATCGACTTTGAATTTACAAAAAAAACACATACATCTATACAATGTCAAACGGAATGTTTAATTCAAACCCATCCGTGACCTATATCATCGACCCACGATACCGACCCATGCAGGAAGTTGTCCGCACCACACCTACTGCTAATTACCAGGTTGCTGGCGCTTACCAGGCTGGAGCGCAAGTAAACCCACAGCAGGTGAGTCATCGGTCTATCTTCGAACTCGTACAAACCATTCAATTTCAAAGCTCAAATTGACTGTCTCTGAAGGTTTACTGCACACAGAACTCCTCCAATCTGCGTCCTCTGCAGCAGATCCAGAACTACCCTTCGAACCACGCCCAAATCCGCGCCCATCATCTGGCTCCGGACCACATTCAGAAGCGCGTGAAGCTGAGCCACCCTGAGGAGACCCCCGCCAAGATCTGCAAAGAGAGCTCTCCCCAGATCGTCCTCCAGAAACGGGCCCAGAGGCCAATCCGGGGGGTCAAATTCGACCTTGGCCCAAGCCGCCCAAGCCATCCGAAGCACCTTCCCCGGGCCCCATGCCCAGCGAAGCGCCTTCGCTCATGCCTCGCAAAGCACCTTCGCCAGCCCCCCGTGACGGATCAAGCTGATCAGGAACCCGATCCTTCGACAACTTGGAAACAATCTTTGAAACACCTTGTCGATGATGTCGTCTTTGATGGAGAAGATGGTTATTCCCCGGAATTCCATATGAAGGTTCTGGCTGCGACTTCGTTTATTGATGAATTGTTAAGTCCTCCTTCTGGATCTACTAATTGAGGTGATCGGATTGGTGAGTCATTTTTACTTGAGTGAATGATCTTAGTTCCACAGAGCTCACTTACTGAACAAGTTGACTCAGTCTCTGCATTGTTCTTTATAGGTACGGTGCGTTGTTGAGGTATAGTCTCATTGGATACCCAAAGTGTTCTTGTAGTCTTAGGAATCCAGTAGTGTTGTTTTACTATCTTGAATATCATTTGTGTTTTATCTTTTACCTAGTGGTCTCATTGTTCGAGTTGTTTTTCAATTTTTTATTTAGTTTTTTTTTATCTCAAAGTCTGGTTAATTCATCTAAACCGGGAAACGAGGAATTTAGTTTGTAGCATGGCTTGTTTCGTTTATTATCTTGTCAATTTGTCAACGTCGTTTTCTTGTATCAGTATCTATGCATTTTCATGAGGCTCTATGTAGGCCTCGTTAAAACTTGCTTAATCACAGAATCACTCATGATTAATCAAACGTGCCTCTTGAATAAACAAGTTCATATCAGATATTTCCCAAAGATGCATTTCCAGAATTTGTTGGTCATCCCCATGGCACTTCAAAATCATGAAACCGAGATTGGACCATCGGAGGGCTTCTTGGGATTTAAGACGGTCAACGCGCAGAGCTTGTACCTATATCTCGCAATGCAATCAAATCTGCACAAAATTACGGAGTAGCTACCTCCAGTTTTACAAGCAATCAAAAATTCATGAGGTCAACCTTAAAAATTGAATGTCACAGTATCTTTGCTTTCAAAACTTTAAGCCCAACAAATTACTAAAGAACCAAAAAGAAAAGAATGTATCATGATAAGATCAATATGGTTTTTCTGTTCGATTAGCTTTAAAAGTTTCCTAAACTTACGAAAATGGTCCACGATCATCATCAGTTGAAACAGCTCTCATCTTGATATAAACCAATTCCCCGTATCCACCAACTTGATCATAGATACTTTGGCACGAGTACTTTAATCTTCCTTCTTTCATGTTACTTTTCAATTAAAGTTTTGTACAATCAAAATAAAACCAACCACCAAAACAAAATGTCATTAGCCCTTATATTTGCTCACTTTACACCCAAGTAAAAATACTCAACTCGGTTAATCCAATCTGATAACAAGACCAAGCCTGCTCTCCGGCACTTCGGGTCTGAAAATTAAGACAATTCAACTTTCTTTTTCTTTGCTCATAAACCAAGAATTTAAAATACTCACACGACCCCATATTTCATAAGTATCAGCCCAAGCTGATCCTCTCCAAGTAAATCTCTTACCTCCATCAACAAAGAAAAGATAAGGAGCCGACAGATTAGGAGTGATAATCATATCACTCGTCAAATCAAACGCAGCTTTCCTAATTACGCTGATCACTATCAATAAAACACAAAAGTTGATACAAGTTAATTTATTAGCTTTGAACTTTGACTGATTTTCAAACTCAAAGCATTTACCATCTTTTTCTCGGTAATCCCATTCAGGTTCGCTACCAAATTCATCGATGTAGGGCAACCAACCTGGAGCATGATAAGACCATATTCCTTTACCTTCACCATGGGTTTTGAAGCCACCTTTGGATGAATGTGCTCTTAAAGACCAAATCAAGGTGCCAGATACTACAGAGAGCTCACGGTGATGTTTGAGTCAACATTCTCGAGAAAAGTTCAGTTTATTGTCTTGTTCTCTTAGACTTACCCCCATAAGTGGCACATTTATTCAAGAACTTTTCGACTTCTGATGCATTTGCAAAAAAACCATACTCTCCACACATAAAGCTAAGAAACAAAAAAAAATAAAAAAACGATTCTTAGCATCATCAAATTCAATCAATCAAACAGAAGCACAGAGTTGTGGTAGAAGAGAGAAACTTGAAGATTGAACTACAAACACTTTTCCATTTTTTCTTGCTATTTCAACATCATATTGGAGTCTATCTGTTTCACCATAACCTATTGGAATAAATCAAAAAGCAAGCTTTTATTTATAAGTTAAAGTGACAAGAGAAAAATCAAGAAAAAAGACGGACCATAATAATGCCAACTGATAATATCGACTAAATTGCTCTGTAAGACTTCTCGCTCATGACTAGCTTCTACCGAATCACATCTAGCGAAAGAGCCATCCATAATCAAAGTCTTGGGTGCTAGACGTTTGATACTAATTCAAAATCTCAAACCAAAAGAGGTTTTTTAAATCAATATAAAAAAAACTCAAAAGAGGAAAAGGAGAGAAGATGAGGAAAGATTAACTGGGCTGCTATTTCTAGTGTCCAGGCTGCTGGAGCCGGTTTATATCCTCCAGAATTCATTTCATTTCCTGTCTTTGTTCCATACCCAGAAATTAAAGTATTTCAAACATGAATCAATTTAACTCTTCTTGAATGGAGGCCTGAGGATGTGTTTGATTCTTACCTCGAATGCCAAGATTGTGGGATCATCCCCAATTCGAATTCCGGTGTAAGTATTCACTCTCTTTCGATCGATTGATACAAGAAAACAATGAGGATCTCTGGTACTATGGAAAATATTTCAGGGTTTTTAAATTTAAAAGGACTTACATTCAAAAAATATGATATAATCTTTTTCATCCTGATAGATTCAAACCAAACAAAATCCCCCATAAAGGATCCTCATCAGTGTTCCTACTAAAACGAGAGCTTAAGAAAGATGTGATAAGAAAAGTGAATTTATCAAACAAACGAGTCTATCGATTCTGGATCAGACCACCAATCTATCATTTTAGCTTCTTGCCAAGTTTTCAAAGATCTTCTAAGTCTGATCAAATCAGTAAAGTTTCCAACCCAATTGGTTTCTTCTGATCCAAAGTCTTGATTAATAATTGGAATAATCAACCTAACATTATCTACAAGAATTTCCAAAAAAAAATCGATTCAATGATTATAAGAAAAGCTTGATGATCTAGTTTAGCTGTGATCCACAAACTTACTACGTGAAGCTAAAGCTATAGTTTGATCAATGGATTTAAACATTTCATCGTCATACAAAAAGTCTGCCTATGATTCAAACAAAAGATGGAGGATGTCAAGACCAAGAATCATGTATGAAAAGTTTAATTTCGTATAAAGATGATTGACCTTTATGGGATCCCAACCATTGATATGACCACGAGTGACATTCTTAGAAGTGATCTTGAGAGTATAAGTTCTAGTCACTGGGATTTTCCCAAATCCTGAGATCGTACGCAACGTATCCTCTTTCTCGAAGCCGTCATTATCGAACAACTACCAAAAGAAATACCAATAGTCATTCATCGATTAATAAAGGCTTTCCAAATATATTCAATGATCAAAAACCATACTCACATCTGGAGCACAAAGACTAGCAAATCTAACGATCTCACCAGTTCCTTCAACTTCAAGTAACCCAGTCGTAGAATTCCTGACAATGAATTTACCACGATTATCTTGTGAAGGAATAGCAGTGGTAGAAGATTTCAAAACTTTTTGTGGATTGAGTTTGATTGAATCGAGTTGATTGATCAATTTGATTTCTTTTAAAGCTTTTGATTTTTGATTTTCTTCTGTTTCGATTTCTTTTCCATTCCATCTTTTCCCATTTTCCAAGTTAGAATGATTATTCATCGATCTTTATAAACTAGATTTTCTTCAAACAAAAATCGATATCAGAAGCCTCTGAAAGGGTCTTATGAGTCTGATTTTATGATACGGTCTTTAGAGTGGAATCTTTTCGATGTGTGGGATTTCAATGACATTTCGTATCCAAGAAAGCAAGCTTTATATCTATTAAGAAAGTCCTTCAGCTCATCGTTTGCCCCCATCAACGGTCAGAGCTCCTTTAAGTACCCCAAAAACCAAGCGAAACGGTTTGGAAATCAGCTTATAAATCGTTCAAAACCTCCAAAAACCGTTTACAAGTCAGCCAAAACAGGATTGTTAGTTTGACTTTGTTTCGAATTTCCATCATCCCAATTTTCCCACTCAGTTCTCACAAGAGAAAGATGCTCATTCCATATTTCTTCAACACCGAGTATGATGTCCAATTGGGGTACGCATAATATAACGAGTTCAACCGCGAATGGCTCTTGCTTATTCACCGACCCGCAACTAGTCTTCCCTCCTGAGATGGCTTACTGGCTTACTTGAAAATTAAGCCTTTTGCCTCAACCCGACTATTTGCATGTATGTCTTGGCTAGGTCAATCTCACTGTTCTGAAGTTCTGACAATGCAGGGTACATCACTCAACGTTCCAGAAGGCTTGAGAGAGAGATAGGGCAAACGTAGCTGACTAACTGCTGGGCAAACTATTTACTCATGTGGAATCTGGATGTGCTCAACCACTGCGCGGGCACCGATGGTTTCTCTCATACGCTCGATCTGACTATGTATTTCAGAATTGCATGCGAGATCGAAGAGCTGGACTTCAAGGTTACATAGAAGACTGCTAACTCAAAAATGATAATAAATGTAGTTGCCAAGTATTGTCTGTTTCCTCCATCGTTGCATTCCTCTCATTGTAAGAGTGGATCTCGGTCTGTCAAGAAGAAAGATAAAGCACGGAGAGATGTTAGAGTCTTATTTTTCTTCTTGTAAAAAAAGGGTAAATAAAAGTGATTCAAACTGACAATGTTTTTGATTGTTACCACTCGTACAACCAACCCGAGTCTTGAAATGTTCACGACGTTGAGCGTCTCTAAACTCTCGGATATGACGACCAGCTTCACGTGCTTCACCGGGATTACGAGCCTTGATAAGTTGACGATCATTATTGGCACCTCCACCATTAGCAGGAATAAGCGAAAGTCTAGCTAATCTAGTGATCATCTTCATATTATTGCTAACTTTCTGATTAGATTGACTTCCACCTATAGCATAAGGTAATAAGTTTTGTTTATAAATGTTTCGAAGGGTACGATGACCTAGACGGGTACCGTTAGGTAAGACGATCTCAAATGGTGAATCACCAAAGTTGGTGGTCGGAGGTAATTCATCATCGCTGGTAGAATCAATTTGCATGTCGACTTGGTCTCCATTCTCACTTGATGATGACATATCTTCCCATTCACCATCAGTTGCTTTCTTCTTTGAATCTTCATGGGTAGATCGATAATCGTAGAAATCAGAGTATTCTAATCGATCTTCTTGATTATCCCAAGCCATTTTACAATGGTTCTATGTCGATTCGAAAAGATGATCAGTTTTTGTAAAGAAAACAGATGATTGAAAGGAAACATTATTCACCTTATCACACATGTGTTTACGTACACGTTCGAGTCCAAGTCTAGCCAATTCTTCTTGACGATCACTCGATTGATCTTCACCACTCAACGTTCCACCAAATCCAGCAGTACAATACAAACAAACATTCCAAACACTGATCCTTTCAGCAATCGCATCAAAGAGACCGGATCGATTAGTCAAGAACTGAGTTTCGGGAATAAAGAAACCGTGTTCTTTGAGCATATGATCAAGGTTAAGTTCAATGCTATCGAAACTTGTTCGACGTGCACAGAAAAGACATTCGGTTTGAGGAATCCTAGGTGCTCGATTTAATCTAGTCGCAATTAAACTTTCAATGTTAGAGTCTTGGTTTTGATCATGACTTTCTGGCTCTTGACTTGACGAAGTATTCGGTAAAGGTTCAGTTTGCATTGGTTTAGGTTCATTGGTCGTAGGTTTGATGTTTTGAGTTTTGGTGTTGGCTACTAAAGTCTTGTGTTTTTTGCTAACGAGATGACTTGATTGAGCACCAAGAGTGGCAAAAGACTTATTACAAGGTTCACAACGAAGTGAATCATGATTAGAGTTATCGGTTGGTTTGATTGGATTTGATGTAGCAGATGATGGTTGAATATTAAGTAATTTCGAATCAAAGCTCGTCGAGTCAAGTGGATCTAATCCCACAATTCTTCTTTTAGCATTGTAACGATGTAAGTCAGTTGTATAATGAGTTCGTTGAGCATTAGGAGTGGTGAAAGCTAAAGAACAAGCTAAACAGGTGTAAGGATGAGTGGTAGCAGTGGTAGCTTGAGTTGGTTCCATGTTGATGATGGCTGTGGTGTAGTGTGAGTGGTTCGTCAGTTTGAGTGAAACCAAAAAGTGAAAAATTGTTTTGATCTTGAAAACTTGACCAGTCTCGATATAAGCATTCAATCCTTATATCGAGCTCATCAATCCTGGTCTCCCCGTTGCTCCCAGGCCGGGAACGGGGCGGGAATCAGGCCGGTTTGAATTTCAAGACGAGGACCGCCTGCAGGCCCCAGATAGGCGGTACAGCGGATCAATTTCTGACAGACCCAGGCCGCCACACTGCAGGCACTCAATATGTAGCCAGCACAGGGATCCCGCTGCGTCTGGTCTGCTTGACTGCTGTGTAAGTGACAGTTTATTATATGAGTTGATGCTGGTGTACCAAACAGCAGTAAGATGAAGAGAATGATACAAGTTTGAAGAGAAATCAGATGTGCGATATAGTTTGAATAATTGATAATAACTTGAATGGTTCAAAGAAAGAGAATTTGAATCTGATGAAGGAAGGAAGCATTTACAACAAAAAACTCAGCAATTGTTTATCGAATAGCATCATCATGAACTTGGAAATCAATCAAAACATCTTACCATCCACATCAACATCAACATCGACACCCGATTTATTAACCACCCATCAGATTAATAATACCTTATCAAATCCACCATTAAAACAATCCAATGAACTTCATCAAAAACATCATAAATCATCAAAACTTAAACTTAATACAAAATTAAATCATTCATCAATCAAATCAAACCCACATCACCACAAAGTACCATCAAATCAACTTAACAAACGTGTCAAAGTAGGAGCAAGAGCAAGCATCGCATGTGAAACTTGTCGGTTAGTCATTGGCTTGAAGATTTCTATAGCTGGTTAGCTTTTACTGATTGGTTTGAAATTATAGTCGACGTAAAGTCAGATGCTCTGGTCAATATCCGATTTGTAGTTTTTGTGCATCTCGTAGTTTGAAGTGTGATTATGATGGTAAGTGATCATGAGTTCTGATTTCCTTGATATATGCTGATCTTGGGTTCGATTTAAATTTCGGTTTCCAGGTCATCCCGATTTGATTAAACCAACACCAAACTCGTTAGTTATCATCTCAGATCATTGCATTGACCGTCATCTTCATCTATCTATTTACAAAACTGATGATCTTGTTGGTTAACTTTTAGGCCATCTAATTCTTTTACACCTACCAACTCAACTTGTCTTTCTACTCCATCTACAAGTTCGACTTTGAATTCTTCAATTTCAAATCTCAATCCTCTAGAGTCAGTCTCACTAATTTGATTCTCCTTTTGAACCAGTGAATCGATCATGACTGATACATACCAATTTGATTTCCTGATCAACAGTTTACCAGATCCAGAGATCCAACGACTAGCTGTCAATGCCTTTTTCACTCATTTCTCAGATGAAAGCCTCTTTACCTTTATCCATCGACCAACCCTGATTCGGCAACTGGACACTAAGACAGTTGATCATGAGATCTTACTTTGTATCCTCACTCTAGCCGGAAGGTATGTCATGAACCGAACCTGGCGATCTTTTCGAGCCGCTTTTCTTAGCTGATCTCCTCTACTACTTCGATCGTTTCAAAGGTTTTGTGATCCGTTAAAAGCTTTACATGCTCATGATTTCCAACAAACCTGTCATTTTTATTCTACTCAACTCTTGAATTCGATCCGTTCTAATCCTGATGTGATTTCATTATCAAGAGTTCAAGTACTTCTAATGCTTGGTTTACATCATTGTACACAGTATCAGGAACAAACCGGTTGGATGCATATCGGTACAGCTGTCAGAATGGCTCAATTGTTAAACTTGGCCCATTTGGATGATGAAGAACCCTTGATCTCGACACCTCTTACTCCCCGATCAAGGATCACTACTCAACAAAGAACTCAACATGAACAAACCCTAATCGATCTTGATATCAAACGTCGAACGTTTTGGGCTTGTGTCTTACTTGAAAGATTGTTTGGCGATGGGAAAGATAGACCAGCGGTGATTAGTTTGAGAGATGGTGATCTGACCACTCGATTTCCTTGTCCTGATAATGAATTTATTATTGGAAAACAAGTGTCGACTGCTAGATTCAGTACCAAACCTTTACCAGTTTGGGCACCTAATTCTCATCGTTAGCTTATTCTTTTTTTTGATGATCTGTTCAAATACTGATTCAAACTTCTTGTTTTTTTTTTCTTTCGAAAATCTGTCTTAGGATCTGGAATCGAAAATGAAGAAGCAGATCTCTTTGGTCAAACTATGAGAATAGCTGAATTATGGAATCAAGTGATTGGTTATGTTGGAAAAGGTGGTAGACATCATGATAGAAGATGTCCTTGGTTACTTGATTCAAGTTTTGGAAGACTTGATGAACAATTATCAGAATGGGATCTTAATTTGCCAAGTCATTTACGTTACTCTGAGTCTAATTTGGTGGCACATTGTATGATTGGACAAGGAAAGGCTTATGGATTGGTGAGGATGCACATTCTATGACCGTTTTGGAAACCTGCTTTCTATTTACTATGAACTTGGAATTGACGGTTTTTGATTTGGATCAAACGTTTTTCTGATAGATGCACTTATTGTACTTTACCTCCTTATTGTACCTACACCGCGACTACCTACCTTTCTTGCCTCCTTTGGACTACAATGTGAGTACTTTATGAAACGGATCCTGAAGCGTCACGTCTTTTTTGCTCTCTATCTCTCTTACCTTACCAAATAGATCACCAACCTCTTTCTTCGCTTTTTTCTACTTCATTAGCCACGCAACGGACCGATTGACGGTGAAAGCTTATGGCATCCTAATCAGAGTGGAGTCGAAATCGTTCCACCTAATCCAGATTGGTGGAAAACATCAGCAGATACATGTTTTAGATCAGCGAATGCGGTGACGGATATGTTGATTAATCTTAGTCACCATGCATCTCGACTTACTAATCCTTTTGCTGGTTATGCGATCTTGACTGCTGGAACGATGCATATACATCTGTAAGAGATGAGAAGAGATTTTTGATCAAGCGCAATGGTCTTCTGACTAATCTTTCGACCTGTTTTCTTTTTTCGTCAGATGGTTTTGGCCTTTGCATGCACCTTATGTGAAGAATGTGGGAGAGTATCTCGCGTCTGATACAAAGATTTTGAATGAACTGAAACAGACCTGGTCGATCTCGCAGCAATGGTGTCAAGCTTTGAACACGTGAGTATTTCAAAAAAAATCGACAAGGAGTTCAATATCTTCAAGCTGATGTGTTGTTTTGAATGCTCTCCTCCAATACGCGATAGACATTACGCGTTGAATAGTTTTATTCACGATAAAGATAGTGCAACAGTGATGGCACCACCCCTTCATTTAGTCAGAGCAGGATTAATGAAAATTATTAATATCAATGCGCATGGATCGAGCGATCAATCCACCAAATCACCCACAGGAATCTTAGAATTGATTAAAAAGACACATGATATCTTTTCAGAACCATGGCCCGAACCTAGTACGTTACCGATCCCAAGTGAATCTATTAATCATAAACAATCACAAGCAGAAGCCAGTGAATTGTTTAAGGTTAGAGATCGATATGAAGGTGATATCCGATCACATTTTGTACATGATCAAGAAAGAGATGGTGAGAATGTAAGATTGGCAGATCTGAGTCAATTAAATGATTGGAATGTGATTAATCTTTTGAGTGGTTGGAATGTTGGGATTGGAAATCATTCGACTGGATTAGATTGGGTAGATTGAATGGTTTGGTTTTGGAATGGGTTTTTTTGGGTTTGATGATCTACTCATCAGTGGGTTTTGTTTAGTTTTGTTCTTTTTCTTGTTTGACCGGAGGTTTTTGTTTGTAATTTGTGATAGCATTTGATTATAAGGCAATGTAGGGGGTTTGTTTTGCATGATTTATGATGAGGTTACTCAGTTGTATTTGTATTCATGTTCGAGAAGCTGGTTTTTTGCTACCTACAACTGTTTAGTTTGATAGAAACCAATCCATACAAGTTTCTACATCGAAAGCTTGTAAAAGTGTATGTATGTGTTTTGAAGGGTATTCATTGAGAGAATGTCGATTTAAAACCATACTGTGGGTTAAAGTTTTTGAAATTTTGACAAAATGCTATCCTTCAACCAAACTTTAACCCAATCAAAATGACTCAAGATTCATCATCATCATCAGAAAGTTCATCAAATCGATCAACTTCACCTTTACCATTACCAAAACCAACCAGGTAAGAAATTAAATCTGGAAAATCAATCAAATATAATAAACTGATTTTGATTTTGATTTTGAAAAATGAAAATTTTGACAACAAAAACAAAAAGAAGGACAAATCATCAAAGTTCATATAGAGCACCATTAGGATACAAAGTTTTGAATGAGATTCAAGAATTTAAAGTCTCTAGTTTAGATTTATCTAAAGTTAAAAATGATCAAAATGATTTATGGATCATTAGATTACCAGCTGGTGTAAGTCATGGTATTTCTTTCAAAAAACAACTTAAATTTCTCTTGATTCTAAAGACTTCAATGGGCATTGATTAATTTGATTGATTTCTTTGATTGATGGATTTAGGTACGAACAAAACATCTTGAAAATTTAAAATTAGATTTAAAATCGATCCAACAAAAAAGCAGTACAAATAAATCGAAAGATCCGATCAAACTTCAAGACGTTTTATTAGGTAATCTAACATATGAAGTTTTCATTCAAGATCTTTCAATGGAAGATTTCCAAAAGTTTAAAAATTCAAAACTTGAACCTGAAAGTCAAGAAGTTAGTAGACTTTCAATCTTGATTCCAAACCATCAATCCAATCAATCTCAACTTTATCAATGTAAGTTTAAAGATTCTTTGAAATCATGAATGAATCCATCCATAACCTTTTTTTGTTGGTGTGTTTGATGATTTTTTTGGAAATTCGAACCTATGGTCAAAACAGCCACCAAACCGATTTCCAAAGTTCTTTTCTTTCGAAGAAAACTCGAAACCGAACCGACGAACAACACAAATAACCCAAAGGAGACAACAAACCCATTGAATTATAAACGAATCCAACCTATTCAACTTGAAACTCGTTTAATACCTTATGGAGCTCAAACTGATGGAGTAAGTTATGAATATCCATTAAGATCAGAAGAAGATTCAAAACTTAGAGAAGCCAAGTTGGATTCTAAACGAAAGATGAATGACAAATCATTAAATTTAAAATCAAATCAGTCTCAAAAGAAAAAAATTAAAATTGAAAAATAATTGAAATTCTGTAGGTTTTTTTGAGCTTTTTGTGTGAAGAAGTTTGGTTTTGAAGGATTATACATTTAGATCTCTTTATCATGATCGATCTTCTGGGTGTTGTTTTTTTTCCCTTTCTTTTATTTATCTTTAGTATCAAAAAAAAAAGATTGTATTACACTTGTTTTCATTTTTAATTTTGGATTTCAAAACTTGAAGAAAAACTAAAATCTGATTTGGTTAATTGTTTTTAAATTTATAAATCAACCCACAAACCAATCAACAAAAAAAAAGTCAAACTGTAGATCTTCATGTCTGTGCTCTAATCAACGCTGTTTGGTTGAGCTTAATTAATCGCCTTTTACCACACACTCGCACAGCCTTCAGTTGGCATTTTGTTAATATTGTATATATAGTTAAACTTTTTACCGAATTCTCATCTTTCATGTCCGTGGTTTTCAATCTGGTAGGAAAAGCGCGAAAAGGAAAAGCGCAAAAGGCGCGGAAATGGCTGATGACGCAGCCTGAAGTTGAATGACATCGCTTCCATGAACCCAGCTTCAACTCTTCATGAGATCAACTCTGATCCCAATCGGGATAAATAACCCAGATGAGACGGGCAGAGTATCGATTAATGGCGAATATGAAAAGAATCATCGAGAACAACAGGAAGAAGATTTATTCTGAAACAGCTTTGAAGTAATTGTGGAGAAAAACATTTGATCTTTGACAACCCATAGTCGCATAGGCTTTGAAATTGTGATGATCTGATGGAAAGTGAAGATCTTCATTATGCCTATAACTTTTGCGTGAGTTCAATGCTTCGACCTATGATGAATATCAAAAGGCCTTGAAGTTGTTCAATCATCTTCTTCCAGTTGTCTTGTACTACATTCTTTTGTTAAACATCAATAATCTTCTACTGACCATGTCTCGAATCATCGAAGATAAAGTGATCAACTTCATCACACATTTGCCATCAAATGCAAACCCATATCAGGCGGCAGCGGATTGTCTCGCTACTTTCCTTCTCGTACGTCTTGCAATCTTACATAACGACTTTTCCTACTTTAACTTTTCATACTCGATATCAAAAGCCATATCCTCTACCATCTTGGTCACGTTATCTTCAACGTGTGTATGCCGTAACATTCTTGATGTGAGAATGCCTTCTTTTCTGATCAAAATAACTGCATATCTAAAATGAATTAAACTTTGATGTTTTTCATTGACAATCTGACCTGAATATCTATCAAGGATGTTCTTTCAATCGATTTATGTTCTTTACGTTCGCTCAAAAACAAAGAGATTGTACCATATAGGATTGAATTCTAGTAAGTGGCTTGTGACTGTGAATAATGTTTGAAATTCGATTTAGATGAATGACCTGTTTTCTCTGATAGTGGGACTCTTACAACTTGATCGTGCAAACCATTGTGGATTATGCTACTTTCTATATAGTATAAGTATGCTTACTTCTTCCAATTTCTTTTAGCCTTTAGCAAACGGATCTAACATATACTTTTATCAACCAGTTGCATTATCAGAAATCATTTGTGAAGAATTGGTACAATCTGGGCAACTGGACCAAGGATGGCCCAACTTCTTACTCGGCATTAAACTCACACTTACAGTTATATGCGCTAGGTGAGCCTCCGATCAAGATTACCTCATCATCTCGCGAGCTGACTTGAATTGATCTTGTATACTAGCGGTGAGTGTGTTTGATCTTCTTCAAATTCTCAATCACACACTGAACAACATTCCCATATCAAACCAACGGTCACTCAGTAATTCTGTGGCTATGTATCTGCCATTGCGCATTGGATGCGCTACGACGTAAGAACCAAAGAGGCCAAGTGCTCTCAAAAACTGTGACATGGGCAATGAATACGTTTTTGGTGATCATTCTCTTTGCCCCAGCTGGTCAGCTATGCGTTCAAATTTGATGCGGTGTGGGATGAGATACACCATCTGAATCTATGTTTATATCTTACATAGTTCAGATCATCATCTCATTCTATCAAGTTACCATGGAATATCAACATATCAGAAAAATGGTGACGGGTATCATTGACATTTACCGGGATTTGGCACCTAGCTGCTCCCTAGTGAAATGTAGCGTGACACAAACAATACCTCAGCTCGTTTCACACTGGTCGGTTCTTCATCACGTTGTCAGTTTCTTTCTTCAAAGCAATCCCACAAGTTCACCTTGAATGACAAATTAGTCTTTTTTTGATTAGGATCTTTTGGAATACTATACTACATTAGGATCAGATTCTTATCTATTTATATGTGGTATCGTTCTTTTGGTAAGTTTTAAATCCATCTGAATTACATTATATAGTGCTCAATTTCTAATGTTCTATGTTTGATTCTCTATTAGGTTTATGTTCCATTCCTTTTCCTATTATCTCGAAGCTTTAATGATCAGGAAGGATTAGAATCTTCATTGAAAAAACAACAGGAAGGAGTCTTTTCAAATACTTTATTAGAATTCACAATTATCTTATTATTATTGATCTTAGTCAGTTGTGAGGTATGTGATTTCTTGAAAGTCAAGATTGATGATTGAGTAATTGATTTCCTCTCTTCTTGATTTTCTTCTACATAGACAAGCTTGGTTCACAAGGGTGATTTTATTTATAATTCTAGCTTTTGGCTTATCAGTCGTATTGTAATTTGATCATCTTGCTTTGAAAGTGTTCCTTTTTTGTCATTTCTCTAATCCTTTTTTCACAACCTTGTAGGGCATAGGTGGTGTTATCTCAACCTTGGGAAATACGTAAGTAGAGTGAATTCTATAGTTTGTGATTGTTAGAAAACTAATGTTTCTTCACCTTTCAAAGTGCTTTATTTTTGATCTTATGCAGTCTATATAGGACTAATCTAGCTCATCAAGATACTCACATTGTGATGCCAGAGATTCCAGTACCTGTGGCTGTATATCACAAATCTAGTGAAGAGGTCTCAGTATGATATCTATATCCATGAATTCGAGTCATATGTCTGGTAACATCTTTTTGAATTTCAGCTCTTAATGTAGAGTTTATGTTTTGGGTTTTTCTTTCACAATTCATTCTTTTATCATTTTCTCCAATCATATCCTTCAAAGATATCAATTAACCATACATCTATCCATAGTCTATGCCACTCATTTTTAAAAAGTCAATTCAGAATTCTTCATATCGGCTTCATATTGAAATTGACTGTGTGATGATGGGCCAGGGAATTTTGGAATTTTTGTTTACAATCTGTGATTCTAACGAGAAATATATACTGCCTTCATGATGACCAATACTAGCATGAGTTCCTTGTGAGTAATATCACAGTGACAGAGGGCTTTGTAATCCACCATGTGTTCTGGATGAAGAAAATCTTCATCGAAGGAACGCTCTGTGAGCAAGATGACATGAAAAATATGACCACTCAAAGATAAGATCGAAAAGTAACAGTTGTGCCTATCAGAATAAAAGAACAGTCAAAACTGAAGAATCTGGAGAGTATACCACTTGCCACAGAGGAATTGGATTAAGAGATTAGAGACATGAGTAAGATTGGATAAATGGATATGAGAGAGAGAAAATTAGAAATGAAAAAGAGCAGTGAGACCAGACTAAGTGAGAATTTGTGATTAATATTGGTGAAGGAGAAGGCTTCTCTGATGTGATATAGTATGAGAACAACCTTGCCGTTTGTTACCTTGCTGTTGCATGAGGCTGAACAACAAAATAGGATTCCAGAAGGCTTCACATCAATCACAATGCTCATCATCTCACTGTTTTGGTACTTTGAATAGACTACTGTTTAAACAGAGAGTACCTGCCACAACAATATCATGCGCATATATCACACGCATCAAAGGAAACAAATAGAAAGTGAGAGAAAATACACAACAGAAAAAATGTATAGAAAGATCAAGAAGAATCAGTCTTAACCATTTTGGAAGCTTTGCGCTTCTCTGCAGCTGCCTTACACTTCTGCTCCTTCTCCTTGTCAGATAGAGCTGCTGGGTTCTTCCTCTGATTATTTTCTGAAAGATAAAATTCAAACAAAGCAGAAAAATGTGAATTGAGAGGAACAGCATCATTAGGATGTATGTCAGGTTAGACATATGTGGTGTTGTGGCTTTGAGAAAAGCAGGAACCTGCAGTTTGATCTTGAGAGAGGTTTGCTGTTGTCCATTTCTACTAGCTCCTTTGGATTTGAATGCTTGTCAACTTCTTGATTGGTTTCAATCATCCAATCTTTCTATGATTCTATTGGAATCTCAGGTGAGGGTAGACCAACTCCCAGAGGCAAAAAATCCATGTGCATCAACAGAGGAATCAAAGATAAAGCTTTGGAGAATAAAGTCATTGAACTTGTAAAGAATCTTCTGATGTCTTCTGTTCTTCTTTGAATGGTAGGAAAGTGTAACATACCCAGCTGGTGTGAGGTGAAGGACCAGTAATCCTGGGTACATCAGGATCTAATAGCTGTGCAATGGTGATACCATGGTTGTGCAGCTTCTTGAAATGCCAACCCCCAAGCATTCCTACAGATTCCCTTTAAGTCATTTATCAACATGTCTGTGTGGTGTTTGCCGGTAGACAAGCGCACACAAGTCGCCTTTGTGCCTCAAAAGCAGTCCATGTGCGCTTGTTGTCAAGAGACTGTCATAAGGACACAGTGTATGTCTGTAAATTTCAAAAGGCCAGTCAGCCAGCCAGCCAGGTGAATTTTACCCTGTATTTATTTACACCTCTTCTTTAACCAGTGCAAAATTCCGGGTGTAGAACTAAAATTCCCTTCTGGCAAGATGAACTCTACACTCAATGTTTTGCACTCAATTCATCTACACTGACACAAAAAAAATTAGGTGTAAAATTCAAGATTACACCATCTAAGATGATGTTTACACTTCATTTCTTTTACACCTAATCATTGGGTGTAAACATCTGGATGCAATTTTCTCCCATCCCTTATCTTATGAATGAGATTTCTATAATTTTAAACAAAAAAGAAAACTTGAGAATTGCTCCTTTTCACTAACTTGGCTAAGTCCCTCTGTGTGAGCTGCAAGCTTGAGCAAGCAGATGGACTTACAAGGGGTTCTCTGGGTTTTCTTGGTCATAGCCTTTTGCTTGAGGCAAACTGAGCTAGATTTGTCCATGGATAGAGTAACCTCATAGGAGTACATACACCAAAGGAGATATATGTAGATGAAATAAAACCCCAAGAAGGATCCCATGGAGATCCAAATAGGAAGAGACATCTGAATCAATACACAGATGTTCTAGTGAAATGGTAAAGATATATCTCTTTTCCTGTCTTCCCACTTTCTTTCCACTTCATCTCATTTATCTCTTGAATTTTCCTTTTTAACCTTACACTATCCACAGTTACAATTTATTTATTTACAAGTAAATTATAACTTATCTATAAAACTTTACTATCTAATTTTTTGCCCCCCGCCCACCCTACAGGTTAACCTTGCAAGGCAAGGCAAAAAATCAGAGACAATCAAAGGGTCTGCGATCAGCAACACCTCTCCTGAACGGAGAGGTTTAGCCATTGCAGAAGTCTCTACAAGAGACGCCTTTGAGAGCCTCCTCCAATACCGAGTCCCGCAGAGAGGAGAGTTCCAGAGTAGAGAGAACTATCCTTGACAGCAGAACTCAACTCCCGCTATACTACTTTCCCTCACCTAAGCACAAGCTAGGCAAGTGAAAGAAAGATTTGACCCTCTTGTAATAAAATTCTAGGTGTTATAAATTGTAATGCACAAGTACAAACATCTCTTGGTGGGAGAAATTGATATCAAATGAAAACTTTTGCCATCAATTACAACTTTTTTTTGTTAGACTCAATTCTTTTCATTCAACTTTTTTTTGCACCTTTCTGTCTCCTGAGTTTTTTTTGATTCTCATCAAAATCCAAACTTGCTATTGACATCAAAATTGATCAATTTGAAACTTCAAAAAAAGACTGCAGGGTGATGTTACATATGTCATGTTATGTAAACCTTAAAACCAATTTTGAACTTCTCAAATCAACCAAAATAAGTTCATCAAAAATCTGTTGAACTGAATATCCAATAAAAACACTTTGAATTACGTGCCAGGAGGCTTTCAAGGAAATATTTTAGCAAGATTTCAAGCTCATTTGGATAATCCCGTATCTTCATTAGTTAGTACTCAGCAGGTTTATGAGAATCCGGCGTATTGCTCTTTGGGTCTTCTAGTTCAGAAGATGATAGGTCTGAATCAGGGTTCATTTTTGATGGTGTTGTAAGAAACAGCTGAAATCTTTCCCAAATACCTTACTCAAAACCAAAAGTTGAACCTTTTAGTATTACCCCTCTTGATCCCCAGATATTACTTCACCACAATCTGCTACATGATCTTTCAAATCTCAAAATTAGCTATGTACATTAACTTCATCATTTTCAGTAACACAGATCAATCCAGATTTTTGAAACTTCAAAAATACAAATCTTGAGCTCATGAATTTCAACTTTTTTTGATTTTGATGAGAATTTCAAAAAACTCAGAAGACAGAAAGATGTAGAAGATCTGGAATGATAATGATTGAGTCTAACCAACAAACCTTGTAATCACTATGACAAAGGTTTTTTTACTATCAATTTCTTCCACCAAGAAGGTGATTGTAGAAAACTGAGATATGTAACCCATAAGTCCCTCTGCTTGCTAAAAGCATGGCCCAAGGCTGGGGTACCTACACATAGTTAACTTAATTCTCTTCAATTCAATTTCAAACAAATTCTTCAATTAGATAAGCTACAACTAATTTTTTAAATATGTTGAAGATTGTAGAAAGAATGAAAAAGTTCAAATTTCAGTTTTTCCAACAAGATCTAAACACAGCAAGTGCCATTATCAGATTGGATTAACCGAGTTGAGTATTTTTATGTTGGTTTAAAGTGAGCAAATATAAGGGCTAATAACATTTTGTTTTGGTTGTTGGTTATTCTTGAAAACTTCATCTGAAAAGTAACATGGAAGAAGGAAGATTAAAGTACTCGTGCCAAAGTATCTATGTTCAAGTTGGTGGATACAGTGAATTGGTTTATATAAAGATGAGAGCTGTTTCAACTGATCAATGATGATTGTGGACCATTTTTGTAAGTTTAGGAAACTTTTCAAAGCTAATCAAGAAGAAAACTGCATATTGATCTTATCACGATACATTCTTTTCTTTTTGTTTCTTTAGTAATTTGTTGGGCTTGAGTTTTTGAAAGGAAAGATATTTTGAAATTCAATTTCTAAGGTTCACCTCATACATTTTTGATTGCTTGTAAAACTGGAGGTAGCTACTCCATAATTTTGTGCAGAGTTGATTGCATTGCGAGATATAGGTACAAGCTGTGCCCGTTCATTGACCGTCTTAAATCGCAAGAAGCCCTCCGATGGTCCAATCTCGGCTTCATAATTTTGAAGTGCTATGGGGATGACCAACAAATTCTGGAAATGCTCATATCTTTGAGAAATATCTGATATGATGATGTTTGTTCAAGAGGCATGTTTGATTCATCATGAGTGATTCTGTGATTAAGCAATTTTTAACGAGGCCTACGTAGAGCCTCATGAAAATACAATACTGATACAAGAAAACGATGTTGACAAATTGACAAGATAATAAACGAAACAAAACATGCTACAAACTACATTCCTCGTTTCCCGGTTTAGATGAATTAACCAAACTTTGAGATAAAAAAAAACTAGATAAAAAATTGAAATCATGTTACAACAACTCGAACAATGAGACCACTGAGTAAAAGATGAAACAAAAATGATATTCAAGATAGTAAAACAACACTACTGGATTCCTAAGACCACAAGATCACTTTGGGTATCCAATGAGACTATACCTCAACAACGCACCGTACCTATAAAGAACAATGCAGAATCAACTCGTTCAGTAAGTGAGCTCTGTGGAACTAAGATCATTCACTCAAGTAAAAATGACTCACCAATCCGATTACCTCAACTAGTAGATGCAGAAGGAGGACTCAACAATTCATCAATAAACGAAGTCGCAGCCAGAACCTTCATATGGAATTCCGGGGAATAGCCATCTTCGCCATCAAAGACGACATCATCGACAAGGTGTTTCAAAGATTGTTTCCAAGTCGTCGAAGGATCGGGTTCCTCATCAGCTTGATCCGTCACGGGGGGCTGGCGAAGGTGCTTTGCGAGGCATGAGCGAAGGCGCTTCGCTGGGCCTGGGGCCCGGGGAAGGTGCTTCGGATGGCTTGGGCGGCTTGGGCCAAGGTCGAATTTGACCCCTCGGATTGGCCTCTGGGCCCGTTTCTGGAGGACGATCTGGGGAGAGCTCTCTTTGCAGATCTTGGCGGGGGTCTCCTCAGGGTGGCTCAGCTTCACGCGCTTCTGAACGGGGTTCTGGGCGTGGTTCTGGGTATGAGTGCCGATTTGTGCGTGGTTATGAGCGTAGTTGATGTAGTTCTGATTCTGCTGTAGAGGAAGCGGATTGGGCGAGTTCTGCATGTAGTAGATCTTGAGAGACAGTGCAATCGAGCTATGAATACTTATACCACAAGATACTTGAAACATATACCGATGACTCACCTGCTGTGGGTTTGCTTGCGCTCCAGCCTGGTAAACGCCAACAACCTGGTGATTAGCAGTAGGTGTGGTGCGGACAACTTCCTGCATGGGTCGGTATCGTGGGTCGATGATATAGGTCACGGATGGGTTTGAATTAAACATTCCGTTTGACATTGTATAGAAGATGTATGTGTTTTGGTTTTGTGAATTCAAAGTTGATTTCGCAAGAGTTGGGAATAAATAAATTGATAGAAAGGTGCTTGTTAAAGGAGGATATAAGTAAGAAGGATATGTTGCGTGAGGTGCAAGAGAGATTGAAGATTTTTGGTGGAGGAATTGGGGGAACCGAAGAGGAAATGGGTTGCTTAAGTAGTTCACCAGCCAGAGATTCCAGACTGATCACCAGTGCATCGTTCTCCCTTCAGGCACCCCGTGACCACTACAACTATACCGTGAACCAATGAATTTTGCCCTTTAAACGCGCCATCTCTTGACATCTCGTTCAAAGAAATTGACCTTTGTTTGGATACTTCTACCTCTGAACCTATAATCGCAGCGACTGTTCCTGAGCCGTTAAGAAATGAAGCTTCTGGGAATGCAAATTGCTCACCTGGTCCTTTCCCGCCAATTCTCATGACCGTGGCGATTCATAACCGAGTTATTTGAATGACATCACTGACAGACCGATCCGCTGAGCTCAGAAATCATATAGGCCTTTAACTTGCAAAGGTACAAGCTTTGAAGAATTTATGATATAACTCTTACCTCTTGATGATTCCATGTTGCGCGGTTGATGGACCACGATTTACCGTACTCGGAGGAAGTCGAAATGCTTCACAAAATCACAAAAATTTAAGAGCCTTATATCAAACAAGACACGCAAAACGATCTTGAGCGGATTTAAAATTCTGGATATTTTCTATGACTATCTACGGTGCACGTAATGAACAACGTTCTGCCTGTATGCAAGTGGCAAAAGATAGGGACGCAGCTGAAACTTCAGTGCTCTAAGACTATGCCAAACTTCTTGCTTTCTTTCGTGAGATTATGTATCCCCATTTGAATTTTCGCGAATCGATCTGATAGAGAGACAGATAAGCATGGCAAGATACCCGATTCCACTGACATATACTGAACTTGTCCTCAAGCATTCACCAAGAAAAAAGTTGATGTGTTCAATTTTGAGTAGGTGTGAAAGAAATTAATCCTTCAAATGATGGTTCTCTTAGGATCTTCAACTTCTCATCCGGATATTTTTGTCAATAAAAGCTAGGAGTCTTTGACCACATACCTAGATACCTCCCGAAAATTAAAAAACCCAGCCTCATTTCTCAAAATTTCATCGGTTTCACGAGATAGAGAGTTCCCTTCCTTGACACATTGATCAAGCGATGATCAGGATTCTCCTTACATATTTGCCCAGGATCGTCTAATTTTTGTTACAGTTGATTTTCACGACTTTATGCCCCAGATGTACGGCTAACGGCTAATTTGATCAAATATTGCAAGAAAATTGGATCAAAATTTATAAGAATCCACATTTTCGTCACCTTTCTGATGTAGGAAAGAAGCCAATAAGCAAATATGAAAAAACTTAAACCACCTCGAATCCGATGTATGAATTCATGAAGAACAAATATATACTCATCTTAAATGATTTTTTTTCACTTACTCTAAATAAAAATCATAAGAAAACCAAAAAAAAATGAATTATAATTATAATCTATAATTTTCTAAACCTATATACACATTTTTGATTTTGATTTTCCCATAAACATAAACACAACCCAAAACAACCCTTTTTTGTTCTTCTTGAAAGAAAAACTAATTAAGAAACTAATCATCCAAAAAAAAGCAGAAAAGTATCTTATTTTATTTAACACACACAATAAAACCAAAAACTTTTTCAAATAAACTTAGACTTTTTTTTTATATTTATACTTTTTTTTAAAAAAGATCTCTGATCTTCATCCATCAAGCTTTCCAATCAGGATGAGGCATAGCACAAGTACTCTTAACCAACCTATTCCTCAATCCATCAATCCCATCCAGAACCAAAACCGGCAAACCACCTTCGAATCCCTCTTTCTTTTCCAATCCCAACTCTTTCTCAACTTTCAATCCCATCTCTTCAATCAATCTATTCAATTCATCTTCTCCAATCTTCTTTTGTCCAACACGTTCTTTTAATCCTAATCTTTCAATCTTTTCAATCGGAACTGGTACGTTTTGTGATTTGATTTGAATCGAAAGTTTAGATCGTTCAATCGATTTCGGATTAAGATATTCTTGATAAAACGTTTCGATTTCAGATTTGGTAATCTTTTGAATCATTTCGGCATCTTTATACCTTTGTTCAAATGCATAATATCCCGAATGAATATGAATCCAATAATGTGATGCTCTAGAAAAGAAAAAAAAAGAAACCACAACAAATCAATAAACAAAACGTAAACTCAGCCTATCTGATGAAAATATCAAAAAAAAAAACACTCAACTCTTCCCAAAGATTTTTAAAATCTTCTAATAACTTATTAATCAAACTCATCTTTTGATCTTCAAATTCTTCTTCACTCATTTCCTTTAATTTCACATCACCAAACCAAGTAAAAAAACTTTCAATTCGACTTTCAATAAACTTTGGATCCCGTTCAGATTGAATCGTCAAATTCAATCCAATCTGTCCTGTTGATCTTCTCAAATAAGTATAAACCATGTATCCTAATTGTTCAATCGTCCTCAATTGATTAAAGGCAGGTTCATTGATTAATTGTGATAAGAGTGTTAGTTTGGTTCGAGTCGAATGACATGTGATGTCTCCGATGTCTATAAAATCATTCACTGCACTATTCAAGTTCGATGGATTCATCAAGTCTCTCTCATAAACCAAATTCGTGCCTAGGAATTCATTCTTTCTTTTAGCACTCATCTCAATCGAGCCTCATGGAGTTTGGCTAACGAGCTTACCTTTGGGAATCCTCAATGAATGTGATTTTCTCAATTCATCACTTTTAACCGGTTTGAGATCTAAAATCTTCGTAGGTAATTCTATTATCTCAATCGCTTCCTTTAAAAATACCCAAAAACATCAATCAAACATTCAATCTAGAAAAAAATGAATCACAATCTAGAAAAAAAACTCAAACTTACCTTTTCATTTAAATTCCCATGTACAAGACTTTCCACAAATCCTCTTTTCAAAAGTTCAGGAATAAATTCTTCAACATCTTCCGGTGTGATGACTATTCACAAACCCAAAGAAAAAAACACCCAAAAATGTCAATCCATCACAAATCAAATCAAAATCAAATCAAATCAAATCAAAAAAAAAAGGATCAGACCCACCTTCTAAAGCCATCAATTTCTCTTCATAGCCATAATGCAAATCATTCAAAGCGGCTTCAATCCAATACCCAGCAATGCGAACAGGACCTTCCAACATAAAGTTTTGATACCTACGAATTTGAAAATCTTTAACGAGTTCAAACTTTTGTCGATCGACTTTCAAATTCTTTAATCCTTTTAAAACATATTCAAACAAGACCGAAAGTTTTTGATGATATCCATCTAAATTAAATATCATCGAATCTGAATCATACGAAATATTATACGATAATCCTGCTAGTTCAGATTCATATAATTCTTCATTTAATGATTCTTTTAATAACTTGGTGATATATTGAGTCTTAATGATATTATGAACCGTTTGATCTATAATCGGACTATCAAAACAAACTTTCATCAAATTCATTCCTTTAAACTTGTGGTGGGAAAAAAACAAACAAGATGGTGAAATCCTAAACTTACTTTCGAATCATCACTACAATCGAAGCTCTAGGAACCCACCATCGATCATCTTTCTTGTGCCAAAGTCTACCAAACTGATCATCTCTTATACAATGAGGTCTCCGACTGGGAACAGGAACATCCACTTTATCTACCGTGAAATCCGTTGAGATAAACGAATTAGGTGGAGGTAAACTTAATGCACCAGATTCACGAATCAATCGAATGGCATCCAAATCAAACAAATCTTTCGGAAAGTCTTGAATACAATAAGGTGTGTTGTACCAAGGTTCGATTAAGTTTAAGTTGACCTGATTTTCAAATCGACCGGATTGACATCCAATCACGATCCTACAAGATTCCGGTCTCAACAAATCCATCGTCTCTTGAATCAATTTCGAATCAAACTTGTTAGTGAGATATGAAGATGATAAGATCGATTCACGTGGACATGGTTTTCGCAATGAAGTGGCTAATGAGGTGGCATATTGACCCGGAGCGGATTGTGATTTGAATCGGAATCGGATCTCGGCTAATTGAGCTTGTTCTCGAAATGACCATTCTTGTGGTGGGGTGGATCTTAGGAGATCAAGGTATGCAAAGATCACTTGGACTACTTCTTTGTAATGAGCTAGCCAAAGAAGATGAGATGAGTTTTGTGAATAGATCAAAAAAGAGTGGTTTAGAAATTCACTTACATAAACCTTCAGCCGTGAGATCTAAAGTGATTTTAAACAAATCAAATCCAGTAGCACCACCACCCGGACCACATTGAAAAGTACGAACCCAACCTTTTTTCTTTAAATAACTAGTAGCCGAACCCACGCCTTCATGACCAATAAAATGAGAAATAAAACTAGTAGGTTGAGTATCATAAAACGGATCTTGATCAGGTAAAGGAAACGTGATTTCTAATAAATTATTATCTTTAACTAATTGAGTAAAGATGATTTTTTTCAATTCGGTTGCGGTATAAGGTGAACCATGAAATTGATCAGGTAGAATTTCTTTATTTGGAATTTCTGAAAAGTGTTGTAAGACCATTTGAGTTAATTCTTGAATCGAATTTGTACCTGAAACAGCTAAAGTCATCAGATTTGAAGAATAATGTTTTGAATGAAACTTAATTAATTCTTCTCTAATATTAATGCCTAAGGAGATAGGTTGATCCCATAAGGTTTGTAGATTGCCAGTTCCAAATTTCCAAAACGAATGATGTTCATGTGAAGAAGTATGTTTATCTAATTGAAATAACTTCCAATGATCTGATTGTAAATTCTTACTGTTTTCTGAATCGACTGCTCTGATTTCTCTTTCAGTACATGTTTCCGTAAAGAGAGGTGAGATGAAGAATTGAGCAAATCGATCTAAAGCTCCATCTAAGGCTGATGGATGAACTTCGAAGTAATAAACCGTATCATCCATTCCTGTGAAAGCATTTGAATAACCCGAATGTTTTGCCAAGTATTCAGAGTATTCGTTTTCAGAAGGATACTGATGTGGTGAATGAATGATTAGTGAATGAGTGAATTAGTGAATTAGATTAGAGATGACTAACTTTTTTGTTTCCCATGAATAACAAATGTTCACAAAAGTGAGCTAGACCAGGTAGTTGAGGTGGATCGGAGAGATGACCGACATTGACCGATAGAGCAGCCGCCGCTTTGTCAGCCTTAGGATCATGAATCAAGATCACTTGTAATTGATTATTGAGTTTGATGATTTGATAATCTCTTTGATCGTTATCTGATTTGATGATCGGATTAGTAAACCTTTGATAAGAATTAGATGATGATGATGAATCTCCATTCGATTCAAAACCTAGATTTCGATCGAATAATAATGGCTTGGAAGCAGATGATGATGACATTTGATGTCGATGTTGATGGTGATGTTGATGGTAAACTGATGATGGTTTGAAGAATGAATGGTGATGATTGAATGAATGACAAGTTAGTTTGAGTTGATGATAGATTGATGATGATTTCTTTAATCGATTGATTAGGTAATTCATCTTCTTCCTTTCTCTCTCTTAAATTGGAAACTTACTCAGATTCAATCAGCTTATTAATGATTTTCAATTAAGCCTATGCACTCAACCTAACCATTTCGATTCATCACTCATCACTCGGTTTCACTCTTTTCCTAATTCGCTTCATCTCTCTAACCACTTTTCTCATTTCTCATCATCATCCATTTCGAAATGACCGCTCAGAACACTCTTCCTGTTTACTCCATTCACACACACATTCACTAGCTAAACAGTATAAACGAATATGAAATAAAACAATGATCACTTAAACATTCATGTTCTGAAATGAAATCTCAAGAAAGTATGATATTGTCCTTTGAATACTTACAAATTGAAGCACCTGTGGAAGATGTTCAAGAGTGTTTTCAAACCCCTATATATTCACTTGTAAGTTGTAAATAGAAACAAACATCAAGCGCTTCAGTGAGGTGCATAAAGTAATGCAACTCCTGAAGCCGGAGGATTCTGTCCCGTACCAAATTTTCGTATTTGATCACGTGACCACCTCCGTGACTGCGCAAGCAGTCATCCACCGCGTTCTCCTAACTTTTTCGACAAACTTCACCAACCCCTCACCCCTTTCCTCCCCTTCTCACGTCCTTTCCCTTCCTTTTAGTTCTCGGGAATGGATATCGAGCCTCCTGACCCTGGTCAGCAAGTGGTCTCAACTCCTCGGGACGATTCATCGGTGTACGACGACGCGATGGACGCTTTGGGTCCCACCGAACCGCCGACACCAGCGTCGACGAAGGCTCTCCCAACGCCTTCAGCTCCTTCTACGCGTCTATCGGTCGCTCTCAAGAAGATCGTCCTCCCTCCTCTCTCGACTGGAGGATCGTCTGAGGCCACTCCACTCTCCCGCGACCGAAAAAGGACGCGTCTCGCTACTCCACCGATCTGCCCTCTCATCGAAGCTGATGAGCTCTCAACCACCCCACGCTCGGCTCGTATCGCCAAATTATTTCCAGGGGGCACTACGACTTCGTCAAGGCCCCTTGACGGACTCATCCAACGCCTGATCGAGGTCACGAAGGCTACCCTCGTCCCCAAGTCTAAGAAGACCAACTCGATCAAAGTCGATGTTGAATCTGCAGCAGACATTCTCCTGCTAACCGGCCTGATCAAGGAACAGGCAGGCATCGAGGCAGCAAGTCGAACTGTGTTCGAGCCGGCGCGCAAGACAGTTACCGACCCGAACTCTGCTCTCACGTCAGCGTTTGAGTTTCGAGTCTCGACCATCGCCGAACGCGTTGATGTTCTATCAGAACACATCGCTAAGCTGGTGGCTGACGGCCATTCAATACCAGCGGGCGGGAAGAAAGCCCCAACCAAGACCACATATGCGTCAGCGACGTCTAAACACGCGCCCAACGCCTCACCTCCCCAAGGAGCCACACAGGCCAGGTCCCGTGCTCAACCAAAGCCGGGCTACCGCCCTCGTGCCGACCACGCGATCACTCTCAACCAACTGGACCCCGCAAAGATAGCGGGTGCTGAGAAATCCGTCCCAGAATTGATAAAAATTCTCAATCTGGAGCTGAAGGCGAGCAAAATATCGCTCAAGCCTGATGACACTGACACCATTGAGGTTAGAAATGTCCACCGTCACCCGTCGGGTGATCTCGTCATTTATTTAGACTCACAGCGCCACGCTCAAGCCCTTCGCAATCAAGAGAAGGACTGGCTGAGCAAAATCTCACCGAATCTTGCGATTAAGCAGGAGTCACACGCGGTAATAGTCCACGGCATACCTACCACCTTCAATCCGTCACGGCAAGAAGATATTGATCTTCTGAAAACGTGTAATGGATCTCTTCTAGACGACGCTGTCTTTATCAGATGGCTTAAAAAGGATACTGGTGCAGACACCAATAAACGTCACTCGTCCCTGCTCATAGGGTTCAAGACTCTTAGTCAAGCAACCCTTGCTGCCAAGACGAAGGTCTGGCAGGGCAGAGGTCGTCACCGTACCGAGCTCAGTGGACCTCCTCCCACCCGCTGCTTCAACTGCCAAGGTTTGGGGCACACAGCGGCAGCCTGCTCAATCCCCCCTATGTGCCCAACATGCGCTGGCCCACATCACGCACACACTTGCCCAGTCAAAGGCTTGTTAGCCTTGAAGTGTACAGCCTGTGCCAGGTGTAAACTCAAAGCTGACCCAAATGCGGACCTCCCCAGGTTGTTTAAAGAGAATCATGCTGATTTCCTTCACCACCCATTCGCCTCTACTTGTGGAGCAAGGATTGCTAGCCAACTCCCGCCCCACAACCCAAGTGGCTCGCCTAACATAGTCATCTTAGAACAGCCCAACTCGCCCCTTGCCCAATGTTAGAGCAACGGATACGAGAACAAATTTCAATGCAGAACACAGCTTCGATTCTACAACTGAACTGCAATCACTCAAAATACGTCACACTTTCACTTTTTAATTCAGACTTAACCAATCTTTTTTCCATCATCTCTATTCAAGAACCCTATGTCAATCCCTTTGATAACCTCCCCACTAACCAGACAAACTGGACGCTAATATGTCCTACCCCCAAGACTCTCACTGAAACTGACAGGCCTCGTGCCTGTCTCTACGTGAGACAAGACCTATATCCAGAAATAAATCCAATCCACCATACGTCACGGAATGTCGCTGCCAGCGTCCTGTCGATTGATGGCTTCGAGTTTTTAGTGGCAAGCGTATACAACCCACAAAAAACACTTGACGGATTTATTGCATTCACCGACATCTTGAAAACGACAAACCTCGAAACACTAATACTACCAGTTGTTTGCACAACTGATTCAAACTTACACTCCCCACTGTGGAACCCAGACCACAGCTCGACCTTTGGCAAGGACGCTGACCTCCTGATCACGATGATGACGGAGTGGAACCTCAACTTACGATCACCAAAGGGCCAACCCACTTTTGGTTTGCACCGCGAAGACACACTAGGCACCTCCATTGACCAGGTGTGGGTCAATGAGGACTTCGATGAGGCCACGATAGCGTGCTTCATCGACAACGAGGATATACTCAATCACCAGTCGGACCACCAGGCTCTGGTGATCTGTTTCTCGACTCGGACAACACCAGGTAAGAGTGATGTAAAGTCGGGGAGGAAAAATTGGAAGAAGGTAGAGTCGGTTCTACTTAAAATGGAACTTATGACGTCCCTTCCCAAACTCCACCCTCTGCTCACTCGCGACGACATCAACACATTCGACGAGTTGTTGCGGAAGGCTGTCACCGACGCCCTCAACAATAACTCTCCCCCTAAATCAACTAACATGAAGCACAAGCTTTGGTGGCGTCCTGAAACTCTCGAGCCCCTCAGAAGAGCAACGGCAAAGGCAAGACGAACTTTACGGAAACACCACACCCCGGAGAACCGAGCGGCCTACAACAAAACACAAAACATCTTCAACAAGGCTGTTGACAAGGCCAAAGAAAGCTCTTGGCGACAGTACTTATTGGAACTCGATCACCAGACCCTCTTCCAGGCAAGGAGGATAGCTTCAGGCCGAAAGCCATCCTCCCTTGTCAGCACGATCATCACATCTGACGGCAGGACATGCACCTCGAACGAAGAGAAGGCAGAAGCCTTGTTCTCTGCGACCTGTGTTGCTACAGCTCCGTGCAATCTCGACGACACAAACCACCTCTCCTTCCCTCTCAAAGGCTCACAACGACTATCGACAGAGATCACTCCTCTCTTCTTAGATTCCATCTCGAACGAATCAGTAGGGGCTGTGGTCAATGACAGCCCCCCCACCAAGGCCCCAGGATCGGACAAAATCCAAAACTGGGTTTGGAAATTGGTCTGGGACGTGGTGAAATCCCACGTTCGATTTCTTTTCCAATGTGTAACAATCACAGGGTTCATCCCTCGAGGTTGGAAACGCGCCACCACTATTATGATCCCTAAGCCGGGAAAAGCTGACTATACCCAGGCATCATCATATAGGCCAATCGCTCTCTTGGTGACGTTGGGGAAATTTTATGAAAAATTGCTGACCATTCATCTTTCGGCGCAGGCTGAAAAACTCAACTTACTACACGCTGGTCACTACGGTGGTCGACCAGACAGGTCCAGCCAAGAGGCATTAGTCCATCTTGTATCTTGGATTAAAGGTGAGTGGGCGAAGGGCAAGGTTGTCGGCGCCCTCTTCGCAGACGTGAAGTCCGCCTTCCCCTCGGTCCACCACCCACGCCTCCTAGACACCCTTGAGAAGATGGGTGTCAACACGCAAACACTTGACATCATCTTCGATTTCCTATCCGAACGCACTACCACCCTCAACTTCAATGGCTTTGAGTCCCAAGCCTTCACCCTCGACCACGGGCTCCCTCAAGGTTCCCCGCTCTCACCCCTCCTCTATTTACTCTACAACTCATCCCTTTTAGGCATCACGGACACCATACCCACGGCCACAGCGCTGGGGTTTGTGGACGATGTAGTACTCCTATCCTCAGCACTCGACACACACCAGCTCAGGTCACAGATGCAAACACTTTCTTTTTGCCAACAACAATGGGCAAAAAGACACGGGGCCATCTTCGACACCAAGAAGACATTCTGGGTCTTATTCACTTTGCGTGATACCGACCCAGCCGCCATCCCAACGATTAACTTCGCCGACAGGAAAAACCTGGAACCGGCTCCCTTTGCCAAATGGCTGGGTATAAAGATTGACAAAGCTCTTTCTTTCAAACAACACAGGTTAGACACGATAGCCAAAGGCAAGCAACGCGCCGGCTTCCTCGCAGGTCTTACGAAACAAGGCTGGGGCATACCTCCGAAGCTCCTCAAGACACTCATGACAACAACAGTTCATGCCGCCATCGACTACGGTGTGATGGCATGGATGCCTACCGAACCATCGAAGTTTTTTATCGAACAACTCACGATTATTGATCACACCTGCGCCCGTGCTGCGCTGGGCGCCTTGAAATACACCCCCAGCATCTTCTTACGTCACGATATGAACCTCGTCCCGCCGAAAATAAGACATCAGAGTAAAGTCCTGAGCTTTATGGCCAGATCATTAACTAAAAGCCGCTCTCATCCTCTCTTTAAGATCATACAAAGGTCCCAGCTTTCAACCCCTTCAAGCCACAAGAACCCCTTCCACCAATTTTTTCAACACAATCTATACACTCACTTCGAGGATCACGCGGTCCAGCTTCCAGTTGACCCGGCATCCTCGCTCATTCGCCCTCCCAATTACTCCACCGTGCTGCAAGAGGACGAAAAACGTGCGATCTCAGATACCTTACGTTTGAAGCCTTCAAACCAACACCTCCTAATTTTCACGGATGGCTCGCGCATCCCCAACAAGAATACGGCGGCGGCCGCCTGGTGTGCTAATACTAAAGGCAGCTCATCAACAGCATTAGGCCCTGCAAGGACCCAAGGCATCTACCAGGCTGAGTACCGCGGTGTACAGCTGGGTCTCAAACTAATACTCGAGCACGCAACACACGCGACTCACTGTGCATCCATCGTCCTCGACAACCAGGGGGTTGTCAAGGACTTGAAATCCAACTCATCCTCTGTTTCATCCTTAGACAACCGACACACGGTTTTCAAGCAACTACAGTGCATCCTCCACAGCTACCCCCAACTCCGAATCGTGATCAGGTGGTGCCCTGGCCACAAAGGCATCCCTGGCAACGAGATTGTCGACAAGATTGCCAACTCTTTGGCTAAACGAGACTTACCAAGTACGTTCACAAACGTACCGAACACAGCCGCCTTCCTGGCGGCCATCAAGGAATGGCAAAAGTCCCAATCCGAAGCCTTCACCAAAACCGAGATCAAACGCCTCGGTCACCAACCCAATGGGAAGAAGCATCTTGATGGCTTGGACGAACTCAGGAAGCACGAAATTGCGACCCTCACTCAGCTACGCTCAGGGCATATTCCTCTTAACTCTTACCTTCACCGATTCCAACAAATGGGCAACCCATCTTGCAAATGCCAAGAGGGGATCAAATCAGTTGATCACTTTCTGTTTATTTGTAACAACTTCACACAGGCACGAGCATCCTTCGAGCGCGCCATTGAACAACAAGGCTTCAATGAGCAGAAGACACTTAGGATGGACAAACGACTCCTCTCCAACCCAAGCGCCTTCAAGGCAACAGTTACCTTCTGTAACAACACGTGGCGTTTTGCCAACCGATGGGTCTGGGCAAGGATCTCAGGAGAACCCCGTCCACACAATTTCACCGAACCTCAAGATTAATTTCTAACTCCATACCTCACCGCCCTAGTCCATTTCTTCCGTTGTACACATGTAACCTAGATGAAACAGCCAACAGCTACCTTTCCCCTGACACAGCCAGAGGGGTTTTACTGGTGCTGGAACATACATGTAGTGTTTGATAGCCTAACGGCTCAAAAAGCACTTTAAGCAATGCATAAAAAAAAAAAAAAAAAAACTCCTGAAGCCACAACTTTGCAAAAGGTAAATTCAAAGAATTAATTCACTATTTGTAGGATACAAAGTTAAAACTGGGATTTTTTTCCCAGTTTCCCAGTTTTTGTTTTTGGCTGTGTTTGGAACTTTCCCACGTTCTCCCAGTTTCCCAGTTTGCGTTTTTGGCTGTATTTTGAAAACTGGGAAACTGGGAAAAAAATCCCAGTTTTAACTTTGTATCCCATATATGAGATCAGTAAAATGCTGGGTAACCAAGACCCCGGAGAGCTCTTGTAGAGGTCCATGATGTAAAAGATTTGATTTTCTTATTGTATTTCACAGCCTCTACACCGCGTTAAAAACTCTTCACAATTGTGTACATATGAATTTCACAGTTAACAAACTGATTTGCTCCTGGCTAGGCATGGTTGAGGGAGAAGCAAGGGATTTGGTCAAATTTTTATCAATCTAAACTGTGGTGAAGTGTGTGAGTATACAAATTTGTTTTTACATCATGCACCTCGATTAAGAGCTCTCCGGGGTCCTGCTTAACCTGATTATCAAACCAACCTTTCACAAACACCAAGCTTCATGTTACATTTTTGACTTATCAACTTTCAAAAAGGAAACTTGAATCCATTTTTTTTGTAATCAAGCTCACATGTTTTTATCGAATCAGAGATCTAAAGAATTTATTCAAGCTTTCATCCAAAATTTCTAAAACATGATATGATTCTGAAGATGATGATTTTTAAATGCATATTAAATACTTAAAATAATATGATAAAGATTACATATATATACAGATATAGTGATTCTAGTTAGACTGACCAGAGTCAACAAGATAAGCTTCAATGACTCTGGAACATACAAATACACAGATGCAATATATATATAGATAAATAGATAGATATGTAGAGACAGGAAACACATGCCACAGAAAACAGATCCAAACACGTTTACATCCCAGCTAGTTTAGCAGTATAATTAGCAATCGTAGGTACAGCTACAAGTGAAAGTAAGATGATCCCATAAAGTACAAAGGAAACTGTAGCAGTTGCAGCGGCTCGAGGATGAGTGTTGAATAAACTAGACGTCCCAATCGCTCCAGCAATGACTCCAATGGTCATTCCGACCGTGAAATAATCATCAGAGCCTACCGTCATTCGAACTCTGAGTAACTTGAAAAGGTAATCACGAACAAGTACCGCCTGGTGTGTTTGATAAGAGAATCAGATTAAGATAGCTATGAGTAAGATGATCAAGTAGGCAGTAGCATCGAGAAAGGCACGAGCTTACCAAGATCCCAGTGACGCAAATGAAGACTACCACCAAGGTTTCATCACCTCCAGTAGCATTGATGAATTCGATCCCAAAAGGCGTTGACATAAATCGAGCAGCAAATGTGATCCCTCGATCTCCCTCAATGCCCATCACACGAGCCAAGTAACACCATAACAGTAATGAGACCACACAATTAGGAATAAGGACAGCTAAGATCTTAAAGAAATTTGAAAATAAGTCGCTTCGATATTTAAACAGTGGGAAAGCTAAACAAACCTTGAAGAGTGATAGGAATTCACAAAGATAAGCATAGCCATCAGTCTTGGATTCTTATTTGGTTCATCCGAAAATATTGACTCACAATTCCGGCGACAAGAATAGTGGACATGACATCTCCGGAGCCAGGTGGACTCCCATTGTAACCTCTTGACCTCCTGAACAAGACAATATACGTACTACCGTTCGAGTAGTCATCCAAAGCTATCACCAAACAGCAATTTTTATGTTAAAGATGTTGAAAAACATGGTTTGAATGAACCGAACAAACCAGGTAGCTTACCAGAGACGAGCGATAAGCCCTTGATGGCACCAAAGATAAAAATGAACAAGATTGTAATCCCACTCGTGACTAAGATCGGATGTAAGACCTTTTGCCATGGTCGAGGAATCACTCTTCGACTGAAGATCCAAGACAAGACAACTGTACCAAGAAATAAAGGCAGACTACGTTTTTCACCTCCAGTTGTAAAGAAAAGTGGGATTCCAATGAGGAAGACGATGAAATAAACCATCGGGTCGAACCAAGCTGCCATCCTTCGAACCAATACATCTTCTGGACTTTCTGAATCTGTGCAACCTTTTTCACCGGGAAGCTGCAAGTGGCACATTTGAAAAAACTGCATTAGATCTACATGATTGGGTTTGCACAAACAATCTAGAAAGTAGAAATCTAGTCTGACGAACCTTTCCTGTCTCGAGATTATTCCCATCATCGATTCCATTTGCGTCCATCGTCATCGTCATCGTCATACTCATAGTGAGATCCAAGGTCTGGCCCCCGGTTGCGGGCACACTATTCTCTCCGTTCGCTCCGCTCAAAGTATGGAGTTGAGTGGTGGCGGGTGTGATTTGAGATCTTTGATCGTTCTCAGCACCATTCGCCTTCTCAAGATCAGACTGTGCTTGAGGTTCTGGTTTCTCCGTAGACCAAAAAAAATTCAGGGCTTTACAAATCCCAACTGTTCCTACCCAGGTCGCCAAGAAGGAAGGGCCAAAGAGTGCGACGATCAAGCCAATCTCCTTTCCTGGGATGGTTTCTCGCAACGGAATCCTGAGATCATTTTTATCAAACAGAAGTAAGCAATCACATTCACAAGATTTTCCCGATTAGCGGAGAGTTTGAAGATATCTGAAGAGGAAAATTTATATAGAAAATAATTAATCACAGGATAAAAGAGGTCGTGAAGAATAGACCCATGTTGCCTAACACCCAATCTGCAGCTGGACCGAAAAGAGCATGATGCCATTTTGATAACTTATTAGGTGAAAGTCGATGGATTATGATCATGAAGAAGAACAAGATGATCATGAAGACTGCCTGTGTTGGTTTGAGGATAATTTTTTTTTGATGGTCAGTGCTCTGTAACCGGTTGGGTTACTGGATCTGGGCGAGAATTTCTTGCCTCGACACATGTAGATGAATACATGAGGATGAAACATCAAAATGAACAGGCAAGATGAATCTTACTCACCGAAGATGGAAAGGTGAATGGAAGTAGATTGATAATTAAATCCACGAGGTAAGCAAAGAACAACAAAATGATGATTGCCACTGGAACTTGGACATAATGCACTGCAATCTTTCTTCCGTGCTCTTTGATAAACTATCACCAATGAGAAGGGAGAGGACATCACTAAACAGCGGGGAATGTGAGCTTGTAGTCTGTAAGAGGAGCAGCTGCTTACCTTTCGCGATGCGACGCGAGATAGTGCTATGAAACTCATGAGGGATGTACTGAATGAAGAAAGTCGTAAAAAGCGAATACTAAGTTAAAGTTCAAGTTAAGAGCCGCACACGAGAGGGGGTGAAGTTCGGAAGGAAATGAGCACAGTTCCCTTTTAATAGGCAGATTGTCTTTCATCCACGACTTGATCTTTAGCCGTGAAGAGCTCACCAAATGATCGGAAGGCTTTCGTCAGGTACGTAAAAGATTGCCAACGCCAAGTATCAAATTGAATGCCAAGAGGAGTTGATGCCCATTACATGATGACTCTTTCAAAGATTGATGAGCACCATAAGCCTAGAGTGGAAAATCTTGAAACTGCAGTGTTTCAATTTTCAAATCACAGCGAGCTCTGGTCGCCCAATATGTTTCAACTTTGGTCCACATTGGAATTGAGATTGGCACAGCTGGACCAACGAGTATGTATGTATGTTATCAGCCCGTGTTACAGATTTCGTGGGCAGTTTCACCGTCTCAAAGTTTGTGATTCTGATTGGAGTTCCCGAGAGCATTCAAAGGGTTGCCGAAGTTGCCAGCGCTGCTCTCGGAGCTTTCACGAGGGCGACTATACCTTCCAAGTTCCCACCCTAGTGCTGCCTGGACGAGACAAATGTCCAGGGTAGGATCAGTAGGACTGTACAATCCGTTGTTTCAAAAAGTCATCATTAGAATTCAGTGAAAGCGGCATTGTTGCAAGGCAATTGATGGAAGCTAACATTGCCAATCGCGAGTCCGCGACGAGTCAATGCATAGCAGCACGAAAGAGCACGAATCCGAATCCGGACTGACACTCTCACCTCTCTCACCCCAGGTGATTTCTCTCGGCCCTACCGCTCCGAGTAATTCAGGAAGGCCGAGATTCAAAATCAAATAGGAACTTTCGGTAAGCTTTGTATCAACAGTTAAACAAAACGCACTCTAGACTATAGGCCACCAATAAGAGTATCCACAGGGGTGGCCGTATTTTGGGGGCTCCCAAACAGACCCCCGAGAGCAATTCTCAAATGTTGGGGGTCTATAAAAGGGTGCGTGTGCAGCGGAGCACTTAGAGAGACTTAGAGCATCTCCAACGGTCATATGGCTCTCGAGGATGCAGGGTGTCAAAGAGCAAAAAAGCACTCCAACGGACCTCGCACATTCGGGGGTGAGACGTCGAGCGATGTCGAGGGCCTCCAGATTTCCATCCGGGCCCTTCACATCTGCGCGGTCTAGACTCTATGGGGGCTCTCGACATCACGTGCCACTGCTCTCACGTGAGCAATACAGAACACTTGCACCCAAAATTACTCGCAAGAAAGAATAGAGCATCCACAGCGGACTTTTCATAAATTTGGAAAGTCTGACTTTTGAATAGTCGGCTGCAAGGGTTATTTTTGCCTTCAAATATTGTTGTCCACAGCGGACTGTTCATTTTTGGACTTTGATTTACTGTACAAGCATACCTCAAACTCGTTTGGAGCAACTCGAACAGCAAAATTATCACTTTCAGAACACACTTGGTTTGTTCAGTGTGATTGATATACTGTAAAAGGTTTTTGTTGAGTACAACTAATTGCGCATCAACACAATCTTGATCTATAATAACAATCGACATTTTTATGACCATATGAGGTCTTTTACAAAGTTGTTTTCGACGATATTGAACAATTCAAAAATTGTTGAAGGGGAACTAGAGATGGATAGAGCCTGAGGTGATGTGGCAGAGGAATCCACAAAAAGTTGTCACGTGCAGCGTTCGCACATGATTTTTTAACTTTTCAAATCTTTGGATCCAACCATCAAATTTGAAGGTCAGGTTCAAAAACTTGAAAAGTCAAAAATCAGAATCTTTAAACTTGAAAAGTCTGCTGTGGCAAAATTTTATGATTTGAATCATAGTGTCCTGTAAACTATCTGGATGTTGAGATTCTTCACTGAGTCAATTGAACACCAACAAAAGATGCCCTGCAACATCACCTGGAGCAGTCCATGAATCCACTGAGGTCTTTGATGAAAAATCAATCTTAACAAACACAAATTGTAGCCATCAATCTTTAAAAACTTGATGGGTCCAAGTCTTGAAGGTAGTGTGTTCAATCTCAAACAGGTGCTTGGTACTGTGAAGAGCCCCATCATTTTAGAATTTTGACTTGTTTGTAAAGTGGTCCAATTTTTGATTACTAACACTCATCTTGTAGATCTAATGATACTGATCATTAATTGTCCTAATGTTGCCTATTTTTGATGTGTGATGAATAAGTTGTTCAGTTGTAAAGATTGATAAGATAAGCTTTTTATGTTTCAGGATGGGGGCACAGCCCTTGAAAAGAAAGGTGCGCCTAGGCGCATTGGCGTGTCTTCTCACAGTGCAAAAAATTAAAAGCAAGCAAAACAATGAAAAAATGAAAACAAAAAGTGGAAAAATTGTATTTCAGCATAAGACACGCAGTGAAAACAAGAAGTTCAGCCAAATGTGACTTCATCTAGGCGTCACTAGTTGAGTTGGAGGACTCAGCAGACAATTCTGGCTGAACGGTGTTGATATATGCTGATTCCTGGTCAGGAATTGATTGGCAGAGACTGATGATATGCTTCTGTAATAAATAAGGTCCCCCATCCAATCCCAGGTTGTGATATATAGGTGCATTTGGCCTCTTGTTACCCAGCTGATTGACTGTGTTCTTTGGCCATGAGAAATCCAGTTGAAAAAACACCACAGCCACTTGAGGGGAGAATCATTTCGGTTTGGGGAGCTGTTTGATGAGCCTCATTACTCTGGTTTTTGATTTTTGGGATTATAATGATGAGGTTGATGATGAGAAGAAAGCTTGAAGTGGAGTTTAAAAAAAACAGACAAGGAAAGCCCCAATTTCTCACTATGTGGCATACAGCTTTTTTAGGCATGCCAACCTGATTTTCAAGATTGGTAGGTGCACCTCACACCTAGGTGTGTGGCACATGCCCTGGCATGTCTTTCTTTTGCACCCCCATCCTGATTTGTGTTGTAAATGTTGGTACATGTGTGTATGTAAGCGCAAAAGTCAAAATTCACACCATTCTCTTTGATTCCTTATACCTTTTTCACAAGCCCTGAACTACTAGTGATTTAAGGGCTGTAAGTTATGAAATCAAACATTCTGCATCAATTGAGCTATCAGCCATCCTGACCTGACAAGTTTTGACATACGTAATTGGCTGAAAACCCCCATTTTCAAGGATTTTCAGACCTTTTCACGTCTAGTATTGATTTCTTCTGCATCATAAGATCATTGTAAGTCAATCCATTCATAAGAATAACTCTAAAACTCAGTTTAAAACTCTTGGAAACCACTAAATCCCTCAAATCAATCATTACATATGAATGAATCCTGTAGCACCCTTGTTTACCATCCTCAAAGTTCCCTCTTTCTTGAATAATTTCACTCCTCTCTGATCATTCCTCATGATAAAAGTTGTTGCTGACTAATATGATCATCCTCTTTTGTAAGTTAACCTTCCTAAACCATCAAATTGATAATCAATAACCTAAAGGACAGCACTATTTGGCAACCGCTTTTTTTGAACCGACGCCCTGTCGGTTTTCGGTACTTGCCCGCGCTTTTCTTGCAAACCCGGACCTGACTCAGCCAAATTTGGCCGCAGCCGCAGCAAATCCGGGCATCAAATAACTTTCCACAGCTTTCCACTTCATTAAATTGGAAATAGGCAAACTTAACTAAGTCCCAGTCTGGACCTAACCACCAACTCCAGGGTGGTTAGGTCCAGACTGGGACTTAGTTAAGTTTGGGAAATAGGGCTCTTCATCATGGAAAACCGGGCTATGGCACCACCTCCGATCACATTTCAAACCGGGCTACCACCTCACTATCACTACATCAAGCTACAACCATCCCATCTCTCGTTCTATCCCTCTCCTGAAGCTTAGGAGAACTGACGATCGAACGTTGCATTTGAAAGGTGACCATTCAATCTGAGTCACCTAAAGATGGTAAGTGTCCTTCTCTTGGTCCCTCGATTCCATCGTATCTCGTCTGGTTCTCCTTATTCCTTCCCAGATCTCTTTCTTCACAACACAAGTACTGACAGTTCACCTCGCCTACATTACATCTACAGCAGTCAACTTTCTTTGTTTAATTCAACTCCAGTAATCGAACCGTCTTTGTCCTCATCAGATCTCCTTTCTTGGTTGCTGCCATTCCCGGAAGTATTTGGCGAGCACCACAACACAGTAATGCTTGATAGCACCAATATCTCAACTTGGATCAAAAGATATCAACATCGATTAAAAATGTGAATTGAACAAAGATGATTCAAAAATTCTGTGTGGTACTGTAATTATCATGTTTGTATGGATGATTGATGGGTTGTTGCCTAACTCTTCTCACAATCTCATTTTAATAGGCTTGTTGCTCATTGCTCACTCTTGTTGTATGTTACTTATCTCCACTCTAACACTCATTTGTTTTATTTCTATTTGTCTTATTTCTTGGGTTTTGAAGAGATTTGAAATCTAAAAGTGATCGATCGTTGTGATAAAGATACCTGTCAGTCAAGGTAAAAGTCCGTCTGCAAACCATTGCCTTTGATGAGTGAGAAAATGAGCCAATTGAATGAATGAATTGGTTGAGCGAGCATGTTCAGGCATGTTTGCTGAGCCAGCAGAATTTTCAACCAAACCGGGCAAAACTTCAATCAAATAGGGCGCTGAATACCAAGTATCCGAGCTCCGGGCATCGGGTCAAAAAAACCGGTTGCCAAATAGTGTTGTCCTAACCTAAAAACCATTTTCCAGCCTTTTGCCTCCATATGTTTGAATTTTTCCTCAATTCTTAATCTTTCAATCTTCTTCTTTCATTCCTTTCATAACATATTTCATTCTATTGAATATAAATTAAATGTACTTCATCATCAATCCCAACTTCAATGCCACATAATCAATTGAGATTGAATCTTACTAATATTACTATTTTTATGATTTTTTGACTTTTTCTTGACTTGTTTCTACCCTTATTAAATTGTGTAATTGATTTGTGAATAATCAATAATATTCAAAATGATTTATAAGAACCTATAAGACCCTGCTGATCATTTAGCATGACTAATAAAATATAACTTTGACTGAAAACACATCTTTTACCATAAATCTTTCATTTTTTTACTCATATAAGAAGTTCTGCTCACCACAACATTGACTGAGTGATTTTACACGGGCACTGCAACACAGCATTTGCT